TTTGAAACTTACACCAGCGCCAAGTTACATGTTCTGTGAAAGCGCCACTAATGATGGGACCGATGATGATGCCGATCTGGCCAACTACACGAGGTGTGTCAGTCAGAATTTCCATCCGAGCATTATCTTGAGAATTTGGAAAACAACTTACTGCCCATAGCAAGCCCAGTATAAACTACATTTCGTTATAAGAATAAGCATGTGTCTGAATATGTTGGGCCTCCGATCCACTTACATGGCCTTTTATCGTTGGAAACCGCGCCAACTATGACGGTCAAAGTCCCATTCGAAAGCCCAGCACACCCGATTCCTGCAATACATCGGCCAATAATGAGCATTACAGAGGACTGAGCGGCGCCGCAGACGGCAGACCCAACCTCAAAGATGAAAAAGAACGTCAGAAGCGTCCACTGTTGAGCCACGTTATGATTAGCATCTCCCCCGAATGTAGCTGCCGATGGTTACTAAATGATGTGATAGTCGGCTCAGCTCACCTTGGTGCTGAAATATGTGTAAAATTTCCCCGTGAGAGGCTGAATGGTGGCGCTCGCAAGTGAGTACGCTCCCACATACCACCCAACATCCTGAAGACGATTGAAATCGCTGGTAATTTGGGGGATGGCCTATGGTCAAATACATAATTAGCTCTCTTTGTCCCCTAGTGAATACCTAGCAATGTATGCTCGTTAGATGACCAAGTGAGAAACGTACGGTGCTGAGGATAGCAATATCAAGCATGACGAGGAACATCAGAGTTGTCAATCCCGTCATGAGAATAAAAAGCTTGAAGCCTGTGAGATATGGCGTCGCGTCACCAACGGCGACAGCCGGCGCGTTCATACTATCCGGGTCGCCTTCCGATTTGGATGATAACGTGGCGCTGCTATCCTTGACGTTGTCTGTTGCGTCAACAGTAGCGACGGCTTTTTCCTTGGGTGTGGCCATATTTTCCTCGAGCCGATGACCAGAGGCCTTCTCCTCCACCAAGGGACCAGGATAGAGAGGGGTTGGGCGAGGTAGAGAGGAGCAAGTTTGATGACTCGTGCATGTAGGTGTGACGGTTACATCAGCTTTCTTCGTTGGGGACGGTTAAAGGCGATTGTTGACATAATATAGGTCGGACAGATCGTACGTATGTAACCTACTACCAACAAACAGCGTCTTATGTTTATGTTCCCCCCTGAAAGCCAATCCCACGAAGCCAAATCCCGTCCAATCCCGCCGGTTCTCAAATCCGGCCAGCCATTCCTTCCAGTACCATCACGCAATCAGCATATAATTGCGACCGAATCCCGTCCTAAAATGTACTACCTAAGTCCAATCCTCGTCTACATATTTTGCTTGAATTAATTATACACGAACATCATCTTCGTTATTTGAAACGCCGGTCTTAGTACGACCCATCCCAGTTGGTGAGAAGATCCAACCACGCATCTTCAGACAGATCCATGGGTGTGAACTCCTCAGACCCAACACCAGCCGTGGCAGGCGTCATTGCTGTCGAAGGCATGGGCGTTAACCGCTCTTGTGGCTCGCTTGTGCTTTGAGCAGCGGCTGCCACGGCTGCATCCGTTTCGGCAAATGTTCTCGCCCAAAGCGGGATTGCCTGTCTCATGACGACGGAGGCCCTCATGAAAACATTGGCCTCAAAGCTGTACGCCCCCTTGGCGTGGGCTGCCTTGCTAAATTTCTCGGCGATCTTCTCCATCAAACCGAATAGGTCTACTGAGTTCCGCACCATCTGACGATCCACGCTTGGGTGCTGGGTGATACAGAGCCTGTACAAAATGTGTGTGCAGCGAGCCAGGTGGATAACTACCATCAACGTGAGACCAAGACAGTCATCTGATGATAGCGCAAATACACCGTTTTCAAGGCACTGCTTGGATGATTCGATGCATGCAAAAACACACTCTGAGTTGCGGTGGTCATAAGAACCAGTGGTATCTGTTGGGTCGTAGAGGTACGGCAATCCCAACTCGTTGATGCTGGCCACGGCACAGGTAACATACGATTTCACATACTCTTCGAGTTCAGGTCTGTTAGTAGTGTGGCCACGGGGGAAAATCGACTGCCTGACAAAGCGACAAGGTGACATGGAACTCACTATCACTAAGAATCTCCGGAGGAATGGACTTGGTGACGGCATCCAGCCGAGAGGACAACGATTTAACGTAAATCATTAATGGTGCTTTTGGAGTTAGACCGGCTTCAACTTCGAAAAAGCGGCTGTTATATGCAACCAACATGTCGTCCGTGACTTGGAGGATTTGCGTGATGGCCGCCAGGGTTCGATCACCTGGGAGCTCTGGGTTATTGATAAGGTGCTGCAAGCAGTCTTCCATATGGGGCGTCCATCGCATCGACTGTGATCTAAGGAAATCCGCTATACTGTATAGTGTAAGCAATTCCAGGATCGCCACCGAAAGGAGATAAAGTGACACCACTCACCTTGTGCAGATGCAGAAGCAAGCCAGCACTGTTCTTCGTTCTTGATTTGTACGTTTTGGCGCTGGCGCCCGGGATTTGACTGGAAAGCTGTATGCAAATGCAGCACTCGTCTCTTTGCAGGGATACTCTTGCCCAGCCGTTCTATCTAACCGGAGGTCAAATACCAACGAGCAAGCAATATTGGAAAACAAACATAGAGTTTTCTTTTCTCTATTATGATCCATCATCCTGTATACAGTATTGATTAGTCTTTTCTGCGGTGTGGCATTTGTCTGATGTGTATCCATACCATGACAGCCATGTAATGAGACCTTGTAACAAGTCCATGTTGCGGTCTGCTTCAACAAGCATTCGCTGACCGATTAAATTCCGGAACTGCGTGTCAAGGATGTGTTTCTCCGATGATGAGCGGCTAAGGATAACACGAATGGCAATCCACAAACATGGTTGTTCGCGTTGAAAGCTTCCAATACTGTGCCAACAATCAGCTGTCATGTATTTTGCCGGTGCTTGGGTGGGTTCTGCAATTTCACTGCCACTTGCAAACGTACTTGAGATTATCTGGAAGGTCTAAAAATGGAAATGTCTTCAAATGACATTCCCTGAAGGTCTTCAGAATGCCCTCAGCCTCCAGGATAGTCAACTCTGGGGAGCCTTCCATCTGCGGTGGAAGGAAGCCCGGTGGTGTAGCGGCATAGGAGGATGATGTTCCGGACAAAAAGGACGGCGATGAGCTTGAATCAATAACAACAGGGGGCTGACACAGGCCTCCGGTCTGGGGCTGGCAGTTGATCTGCTCAGTGGGAGGAATGATACTGTTGGCAGGGCGCTGTGTAGCATCGGACGCAGTCTCTGTCGAACTGGAGGCGGCGGCAACGACCGCTTGGGATTTGAGCAGGGTGACCAGATCGTCCAATTTAGCCTCCAGGCCGGAGGTCTTCCTGGTGGTGGTGGGAACAGTACGACGAGCCGGGCGCTTCCGAATGACCGTCGAGGGCTGGCATTCCTTATTCATGCGATGACATCGCTCGCAGCTCACGCCCGCAGGCCCCCGGCCAATACACCTGCACTTGGCTTTGGAGCAGCCCGCACAGGCGTGGCCATAGGGGGCTGATTTGCGCGCGGCGGGATTGGCGTCCATCGCGGTCTGGAGACTGCTACTCGATCTGGTAAGCACATGAATCAGTGAATATGCGGGAGGTGATGGAACGGATCAACGATATGGTATTTGAGCGCAGGCGTGTTGAAAGCAGGAGGAGCGGCGGGATTTGACGGATTCTCAATCCCGCCGCGAGAGACCCACCACGGATTTACGCAGGCCTGTGATTGGTCTGTTTCCTGGTCTTCCTTTTCCACCTCTTCGTTGCCTGATGCATTTGTGCTGATATTGCACAAACACCGACACGACAAAGTTCCTTCAAAGAACGGCCTGCACTTCAGTCCGGCTCTCGTACCCGTACCATTCCTTCATAATGCCTAGAAACACTCTCGGTACTTGATGCAAAGGTTGAAACCCGACACTACCCTATACCACCATGGTTGAAGAACGCGCTCCCAACGAATCACGAAGAAACGACACGATTCCTTGAAATACTGGATGAGCCGGCCCTAATCAGGTTTATTTCAGCACTGGCACAGATGCTGTTAGATACTGGGCCTAAGAAGGTCTCCGCCAGGCCTCAGATCTGTCAACCATGCTTTGATGCGTTCTTCTTCGAGCGCATTCTGGAATTCAAATGTGATCTTAACCTGAAGTCATCCTGGACAACAGCGGGATCGGAAAGGACTGGTCGTTACCATGGGATCGGTACAATATTAAAGAAGGACGTTCATCAGGTTCTCATTAGCTTTCGTCACCCACTGCTTACTACCTAAGTCCCTCGGTTCAGGTATGATTAAGGAGTCAGATTCCAACCCTTGTCCCGGAATCGGCCTTCAGGCACACAGTACCCACGCCTCCGTTTGATCGTTATTCCCAGCGCTAATCCGCCATAGTTAACGTTCTGGCCTATGACTCAGCCTCTCAGGCTTTTTGGCTTGTCTTTCATCGCTGTGTGCCGCTTAGCACTTCGACAATTTCATTTCCAATCGACATCAGCTCCCGAACATAAGATGATACGCCTCTGGTCTTCGAAAAGCCTCCTGCCGGCGAGACGTTTATTGAGTCGACATAGTCAATCTACAATTGTCGGTGCCTTGAACCCCGAACGCCATTCCAACATCGCTCCTTTGTCTTCTGATGGAGCCAGGCGGAGTCATGGATTCAAAACGCTCCATTGGTATGTTTCGGGTCCCTACATTGGCACGCCTGGGACTGACTGAATAGGGGAACTCCATCTGGGAAGGATGTTAAAATTGAAAACAAAATTTCAGCATACTTGGCCAGTCCTGCAAGTGGAAGCATTGTCAATCGAAACTGTGGCCTTATCTACGTTCCAAACGTGTTCGGTATTTGGCAAACCAGTAAATTGATGGCTGATGCATTCGCTTCCAAAGGGTACCCCTGCTTGATTCTGGATATCTTCAATGGCGACCCAGTGCCCTTGAAGATGCCTGAGAATTTTGATCTCAACGGATGGATAGCCCACGGCTCCGACGGAAACAATCCCCATACTGCGGAACAAATCGATCCAATCATCATTGCTGGTATTAATTATATGAAGGGCTTGGGATTTAGTAGGATCGGAGCCGCTGGCTATTGCTTTGGCGCCAAGGTATTTACCCAGCCTTGTTTTGGGATTCTCTCGCTAGTTGCATTGACTAATTCGAGGTTCTCGCCTAGTACGTCGTACGCAATTACAGCCATGGCATCCAATGCGCCTTTTTGGCACATCCCTCGTTTGTAGAAAACAGTGAATTCGCGGCAATCCCAGGCCCATTGTCCATTGCGGCGGCAGGGGAGGATGACTACTTCCCAACCCACAAGCGCCACGAAACGGAGGAGATTTTGAGGACAACAGGGCAGGAATATCAGATTAATCTTTTTGGCGCCGTTGAGCACGGCTTTGCTGTCAGAGCTGACCCGGAAGATAGGGTACAGCGGTTCGCTAAAGAGCAGGCGTTTAATCAAGCCCTGGTTTGGTTCAATCACCACCTTGGGGAGGGCTGAGAAGCTCTTGGATGCCAAGCAATATTCTAGTTGATCAACCATCCAAATCTACTACACCAAGAAGCGACCAGCATTTCTCGTAGATCGTCGAACCATGTTGAGGTTGGTGTTATGTGTATGAAGAGAAGAACACATGTGAAGCGAAAACATGGCATGGCTAATAGCTGGAATGTGAGCATATAAGTTGCTGTGATCTAGTCCATAGTTTTGCTCAAATTCTAATCTATGTACCTAACACGGTGATAAACACAGCCGGTAATTCCCTTAGGAGGGAAAATATCGCTTTGCTTCTACCTAGCGGGAAGTCAGTTCCCGAAATCTGCGTCTCGACCTACGAGACTTTCCAACCTTCTCAGCGAGCAACGGGAGCACAGAATCGGGATAATATTTCGAGGCCAACTGCAAGGGTGTGATGCCGTATTCATACTGTTCCCAGATGTTGGCACCAGACTCAAGGAGCATCTTGACTATTTGGGTTTTACCAGAGCGCGAGGCCATGTGGAGTGCCGTCTGTCCATCTTTGTCCCTCAGTCCTACTCTGGCTCCGTGTTTGAGAAGCAACCCTACCGCTGGTATCGCATTTCGACCAGTCGCGAGGTGAAGTGGTGTGGGCTTGGGCCACACATCATCGCGTGTGTTCGCATTCGCCCCTTTCTTGAGGAGCCATTCAATAGAAGCAGTGGCCCCTACCTTGACGGCAACAACGAGAGCTGTGCGGCCCTGGTTATCCCTGTCTGCGTCAATTGGTGCACCTTCATCTAGTACCGACTGCATCAGCGCAATATCTCCAGTTATTGCGCCTTGGTGCAGACGACCTCCTCCAGTGATTGCCAAGTACCCTTCATGGCCCCCGAATTGTATCATTAAATCAATGATTTCCTGGGATCCGCGGGCAAGAGCCGCATGTAGCATCGACTTCTGCAATCCCATAACGTCTTTGAGATACTGCCATCCCATAATGTCTTTGACGTTTGCGACATTTTCAAGCATCACACGGATCGCGTCTGCGGTACGATTCCTAACCACACCCAACAGTGTACGGCTGCTTGATTTTGTCATGGTGGTTTCCGCGCCGTGATCAACTAAGAGCTTGACAATTTCTCTAGGATTTATATGCCCGACGGCTTCATGGAACGGAGTTTCGCCCAAACGATTGGCAGCATTTACATCGGCCCCATGCTCAACAATGAGAAACTCGGCCAGTTTAAGCGAACCGTTACTCGCTGCGTCGTGAAGAGGAGTATTTCCATCCCTGTCGGCTTCCATGCTAGCGCCGCTCTCTAGGAGAACCTTGGCTATTGGTACTGGTTCCTTGACTGACCTGGCCATCCAGAGCGGACTTCGACCATAGCCATCTACCGCAGAAGCGTCGACGCCCAGACGCAGAAGAAGTTCGGTCATATCGAGCCGACCAACATATAAGCTCGCTGTATGGAGAGTCGTGGGCCCGTTGATGGATATTCTGGCAGTTGGGTCGGCTCCGTATGAGGCGAGCAGCTCGACCATTTGACAGTCTCCAGCAGCCACGGCACTATGCAGAGCAGTCCGACCCTCATCATCCCTGTGCTCGATTTCTACCCCGTGCTGAAGGAGGAGCCTTGCTGTCTCCAGGCAACCGTCACGGTTGTTCATGTCCTTGTGGTCGCAACCGCCGCACCAAGGAGTACCACAGCGCCGAGGGTGGCGGCCGGCCGTAACGGACAGGGGAGAAATCTTGTGATATCTTTCTAACATGGCATAGGCGCCGTGCTCTAGGAGAAGCTTCACCAGTTGGTGACTTCCATCACGCGCTGCATCCCATAACGCCTCAGCACGATCCGTGTAGTAACCTCCACCAGCTTCCAGCAAGGTCTTGATGGCGTCGTACTTCCCGCAATACCTGGCAGTATTAAAAAGGGTCTCACCGCGTAGGGCACCATCACAACGTAGATACGTGTTCGGGCCTGGGACACCTCCGTGTTCCGCTTTGTTCTCCCATAGCCTGGTAAAAAGGTCGTCCGGACCATGTCTTATGGCAAGAGGGAGGTGATGAATCCGCACCACGTCCAGTCCCGAATCGAGCGCTCGCTGGATCACCGGCATTCTGTTTCCTTTTATGGCCCATGTGATTGCCGAGCCATCTTCGCTCAAGAAATTCAAGCGGTAAAGGTATGGAACCGAAATGTGGAATAGCCGGCGGCAGGTTCGGGTGATGGAGTAGAGGTCTCTTTGGTCAAGCCGGGGATCCTCGCATATCGCGTGTAATATTTCATTGGGTAGATCGACAAAAGGCATTTTGGATATGTACATAGAATCGCGACGGCGTTGAGGCCACAATATTGATGGCGAATACAGGGTTGATAAAGGTCCAGTCTGAGCGCCAATATTGGGTCCTCACCGCCTATCTGTAGGTTAGTACTTTTCGAGACAGCACAAAATATTATTAATCCTTATTAGGCTCGGATTTGGATGTACACCATTGCAATTTCGCGTGGATACGTGAGAGGGTGTATAGTCCACCCCCTCCTCGAGAAGAATATAGTGTACGAAGCCATGGGGCCGAGGTTCTTTAGGTTGAAGGTAGGCGAGGATAATCCATGTTCTTCATGTCCAGCCTATATTGAGAGAAAATGATCGACGGGGAGGATTTTAAACGACGCCAAAATGTTTACTATCGAAAATTTATTCACGCCCCCATCCCCAGTGAGAGACGTTAGAGATACATCTTCTCAAATCCAATCACCTTCCACTCGTTGGTCTCCGTGTTGAATGTCAGGTTCGTATGTTTGACCTCTCCCCCTCTCAACGCGCCCGTCTCAACTATTCCGCCTGCCACTGGTCGCTCAAGATGATTCACCCCAGGGAGCATCGTCAGGTTGGCCAACGGCAAATCCCAACCGTTACGAGTTGCCACACTGGGGGAGCCAAAGAATTGCGCTGTCATCTTTTCATGGTTTAGGTGAAGAATGAAATATCCCCTGTAGTAGCCATCCTGCCACTGGAACACGGAATTACGCTCGAGTTCCGTCCGTGAACCCGAGTCCGAAGACGTCAACGGCCCCGAACGACCACCGGATGAGACTGCGGTGCCAGCCAGCTCTACACCCACGGAACCGTCGCCAGAGTCGGGATCGTATGGTTTCTTTCCGGTCCAGGTCAGATCAGCCACCCAATTCTGATGACTATCGCCTGCCAAGAAGATGTTGTTATTTATTTCCTTGTCGTAAATATGCTTCAGCGTTCTGTTCCGGCTCCCGGTGTAGGCCTATTTTGCGATTAGAGATGCTTTCCAGGGCGGGAAGCTTGTTGTACTTACGTTCCAGTCGTCTCCAGCCATCTGGCCCGACGCATCTTCGATCCGATGGCTGAACATGACTTGGTTCCCGACAACGCGCCAAACAGCGCCTCGGTCCTGAGACTCGGACAGTTGGCGGAAGAACCAGTTCTCCTGTCGGCTGCCCATGATCGAACGACCAGCATCAAATCGAATGAGGTCTATGTAGTCCTTACTCTCCTCTGCATTGGCGTGTTAAAGACTCTTTCGTGATCTGATAGGAGAACAAGAGTTGACTCACTGCCATCAGCAATACTGCGGTCGTAGTATCGTGTGTCGAGAACGATGAGGTCGAACAAATCTCCCATTTTAAAATTTCTCCAAATTCGAAGGTTGTCGTCAAGATCAACTTGCCTACATGTGGCGGATGAGAAGACTGTTTTATGGATGACAAAAGAGCCTGAAAACTAACCGGATAGGCATCCATTCGAAATAAGCACGGACTGCATTCATCTTTCTCTGGTCGACGCTGATTCTTGGCCCATCGTTCAGGAAGGACTCTTCAGTGTTGTCCAAGTCACTGTATCCATCTCTATAACCATTGTTGGCAATTTCTGTTGGGCTAATGTCAGCTTGACGAAATGGTGGGCATAGAATGAGCGACAACCATACCGTGATCGTCCCATGTAGGTATCCAGGCCCAATCTTTAGACAGTAATTGCAGATCAGGGTCTGTTCTGTACTGATTGTGGCGAGTGCGATAGTCGTGAAGAGAAAAAAGGACATGAGGTGGCTTGTGGGCGCGTTCGCCGGTAGGATCGGCGTTCTCGTAGATGTAGTCGCCTAGATGGACCACAAAATCATGATTGTGACGGCGGGCCGCGTTTCCATAAGCGTTGAAATATCCCTTGGCTGCAAGTTTATTCCATTCAGTTGAAGCCCGAGTAGAATGGCTAATGAAGGTCCTCACGGTAATTGCTGCAGGAAAACACAGCCAAAGATATCTCATCTAAATGATCATCCTCTCGGGGAGCAGTTTTTGTTTTCCCGAGAGGGCTCTTGTTTTCGGAATTACAAACGGCAAATTGGTAAAAATAATCTGTGAAGGGCTCCAGGCCCGTTGCTTCGACCTGTGATTATATTAGCCCCCTCATCTCAGATCAGATACCCAGTGATAGGCAAAACCTTGACAGTGAAATCAATGTCAGATGTAGTGAAGGCTGTGCCTTTAGCCGCAGCCTCCTTCGCGGCCGTGCCGTTATTGGATTTAAACACGGACCACTCAAGGCAGATGGGGTGAGGATCGGCATCAATATATGTCTGCGTATCGTGGTTATAGAGAGGGACATCACCTTCTACAGTGACGTTGCTCGTATCGGACTCGCCGGTTGGTGCGATCCGTGTCCAGAGAATAACGCTCTCGGGCCATGGGTCTCCGGACGCTATGCCGTGGGTGAAGTTGAGCTCGTCTGGAGCATACTCCTCCGAGTTGCGCTTCCAGGCCCTTCTCTCTACCAGAGGAATATCGATACCGAGAATGACATGCTCCTGTCTCCTGGATGGAGACTGGTAATTCAAGTTTGAGTTGAGAAGAGCTTGAGCCCCAAGAAGGGTACCCAAAATGATGTACGCCGAGGTGAAAACCATGATCGTACTAGCTTATTTGTTCAGATTCGGGGCATATGGAGCATAGACTAAGCGTGACCTTTTATAGTCAGGAGAGGGGAGAGCAGGAGGGGTTTGCGATGTCTTTTCTGTCACTTGCAGGCGGCATATTTCTTCGTGTCCGAGCTATTAAGCTTCCATTAGGCCATGGCTAGGCGTGTCTTGCACACGAAGCACACCCCATGTCGTGCTCTCGATGCTTTCCAGAAAGAGAATGTGTGATAAATGCGACACCGGTGATTGGGCGACCGTGTGAGTTGCGTTGAGTGCGTCGTCATGTTGGTGGTCCTGGGCTAGAAGACATGGTTTGATTTAGCCAGGAACGAACAGATGATCATCGTCATGTGTGGCCACCCAAAGATCGAATACCCTCACACTTACCAGGCTCTATTTGGAAGGACGTTGATGATATGCAGAGTTGCCTACCATTGCTGCTACTCTTGTTGGTAGGGGGTCATTGGCCAGGTTGCTGATCGATGTTCGAGCAACACCAACAGTCCTCGTGGTTGCTGCACGTGGGTCACCTCTACCTATCGTTGAAGCAAGTCACATCCTAGAGGGTTACATGGCGGGATCTGGATTAATATAACCCATTCATAATTTCAAGGGTTATTGCGATATTTTCCATTTCTCAGTGTTGACCAAAGAAACAAGGACCGACGATGTGCTAGGCTCATGATTGCTCTCAATTAAGCCGGAGAGGCAGCAGCATGCAAGGCATGCAAACAATAATTCTCTCAGGTTGCGTTCACATGACAACTTGGTACCCCTTCACTGTTCCAAGATCCACCCACGTTTCACCTTCACCTCACTCTTCCTCCTGCGTTTCTTTCCATCGGCGATTGTGCTAATCATGCAAAAAAAGAAGTTCACACGTCTCATTAAACGACTTTGTCCATTCATTATGAACAAGTCCCAGTCATCTATATCCGCTCTCGTTTCTACAAGGCCCCGGCAATGTGTTGAGGGAAGAGTGTATGTCAGGAAACACCTCCACTGCGGTTCCTCCTCCAGGTATTGTGCTCGATCGATAAATGGTCTCATCATAAAAGCCACCATGAAATTTCATGCTCGATAGCTTATTCCTCATTAAATGGTCAGTGCGGCATCTTGTGCGTTTCGCAAAATGGAGTGGCTGCGCTGATCCCAGACCCTTGCAACAAAGCACTGGGGTAGTTCATCAAGTTCACCAACCTTCTCCAGCTAACTTCTACATCAACAGCGGCAGTGTCATGCCAAGATATCATCAAATATGCTACCTCCTGCGACAAAACCGAAATCACGGACGAGAGTCACCCTTCGAAAGCTTCGCAAGGGCACCAAAAGCTGTTGGGAGTGCAAAAGAAGAAAATCGCGATGCACTTTCGCGTCCGGCCAGAATTCAATATGCGACGGTTGTCAGCGGCGTGGCACTCCTTGCATGAGTCAAGAGCATCCAGAGCCCGAGGGATCGAGTCAAACCACTGATAGACTCGGTCGGGTTGAGTCGCTGTTGAAGCAGTTGGCAGACAACACCAACACGGAGCGAAGTTGCCCACCATCTCAATCATCCGGCCCGCTCGGAAACGACCGGGAAAGAGAGGGGTCGGTTCTTTCTTCAACAGAGCCATCCCATCACGATACTGCAGCCAGTCCCTTGGTCATGCAAGTCCAAGTTCCGGCTGGTTATGCCCGCGAGTCGGTTCCTCTGAATGCTGATGCAGACAATGACATTGCCCGCAACACATTTTTCTCGGTGTGGCCTAATCAAAGAGAACTTGACATTATATTCGGAATCTCAGTCCACAAATTATGCAGTCTATATCCATTGATAGGGACCTCTAGCGGCTCGAAGATAGATTGTCAACAGCAAAAGTCATCATCCATCAAGCAGGTACTCCAGTCACCACAGCCAAAATCAAATCCTGCAGCATACGCTCGATCGCTTTTCCTTCTCGCCGTATGTCTTCAAGGCAGCGATATTGGACCAAATTGCGCTCCTTCTGACCCCATCTTTGACCATGAGGATGTCATATCACGTGCTGTGACCTCAGCGCACAAGATATTGGAGCATGAAACAGACAACGAGACTGAAACAAGTCTTGAAGGCATTATGTGTCTCATCCTTGAAAGCATGTATCACTGTTTCGAGGGTAATTTACAAAAAGGTTGGCTTACCCATCGTCAAGCAATGCTCATGGCACAATTAAAAGGTCTTCATAAGCAGACGGATCCCATATCAGGTCATGTAAAGGAAGACGATTATCACCGCATGTCCCACCACTTGTGGTTTGAGATGGTCAATATAGATAACTATTATTGTATGATTCTCGGTCTACCCCAGGCAAGCTGTCAGAGCCATTATCCGCTTAGTCTTGACTCATCCAAGCCAGTCACTGCTGATCCGCAAACTCGGCTTAGGCAGGTGCATTGCATGGTGGCTGGCCGTATTTTGGGCCGTCATCATACAGGTCCCGAATGCCAGGCGGAGACAATGGAGATGGACAAGATGCTCCAAAATGCAGCAGGTTGGATGCCGCCTCAGTGGTGGCTTGACCCCGCCAAGTCATGTTACGAATCCAAGACCTTCAGCGGCATTGACGAAGCTGGCCGGATCAGAGATCAACTAATGCACTATCATCTGCTCATTCAGCTTCATTGGCCTTGCATGTTGGTTCGACCTACTAAGCGGGAGTTTTATTATAGTTGTATGTCAGCCATGAACGCCAGCCGAGAGTTGCTGACTCGGTTTGTGGCGCTGAATATGCATAGAACAACAAGATACTACTGTCTCGGTGCGAGTATGCTTGCTCTTGCTGCCAGTATCGCGCTGTGCATATCATATATAATGGTTGGGGAGGATGGAGAGATCGGTGGTCTGATGGATCATATTCTTCATCACAGGCCCGCGGATCGCGGCATGATGGAGGTTTCCCTTGAATCAATTAAACAACTATCTCTGACACGCACTCACCCGAGCGTTTTCAAGATGATAAGTGTGTTCCGCGATATTCTATCTGTCGAGGAAGAGGTTGCGCGCGGCACTCGTTATAAGACGGTCTACACCGGCAATCAGCCTCATAAATTCGAGTGCCACTCGAGAAGAAGCGACGAGGGCGTTGAAATTTATATTCCTTCCCTCGGATCTATTGATTTGGTCAGACAGCATGGTTCTCAAAATCCTGCCATCGCTTTATCGCCGGCCATGGGCAATATCGCAAACTCCGGCCGCCCGCATGATTTGGGAACAACTCCCTCTACTCGCGCAACGATCAACAGCAATCAAAAACAAAATGGGATGGATCTAGAACTCAACTTTGACGACACCATCTTGGACTTTGATCAACAATTCCATAATGAGTGGATGGTAGAGGATGTAGATGGAAGCCTACTTGGTTACATTGACTGAGGTATTTTCGTCGCGCTCGCCCTCATGCAGGTGAGATTGAATTGTGGGAAAGAGAAGTACATAAACTTTTTTATCCCCCGATGGTAGAAATGCAAGATGAAATACATTGTCTTTTTTTATCCCAATATGCCATCACGGCATTATCAGATTCTCTACTGCAAAATATCCCGCCGGGATACCTACTTGACAATATTACACGGTCAGTTTCTCCCCTGTGATGACAAGTATCATTCGATAAGGCGGCAGTACCAAGAAATAATTGCCAAATCACGTCAATGGGACAAACAGCAGATTGAGAAACGCACATGTCTGGAAATGCCATGAATGTGACGTAGCCAGCGTGGCCCACAAAGGCCGATGCTTACTGTTGCAGGTGACTGGACTGAAATGAAATGAGTGGTGTCAGATAATAAACCCCGCCCGTTTGTCGTGGTCACAGCCAAACCTACGCCGTGACACGACTCTCGTCGCTTTGCCATTTGGCATCAAAGAAGCAGCAGTCGCCATCTCCGCCCTCTTTAAGAACTGCGCCATTCCTTGGATCATGTCCGCCACTGCCACAAGGCGAGCTTTATTCCTGCCTGAGCTTGTTGCCCTTATTATCGCGGCCGGCAGGGACAACGACCGGGTTTTGTACGCCTGCCTCTTCGTCAACCGTCTCTTCTTTAGGGAGTCATGCAAGCTCCTGTGGCAAGAGTGCAATACCTATGGCCTTTTGGTGAATATAGGCCATCTTGTCCAGCTGAGCAAGCGGAATCAGCAACGGGCGCAGGTGTATGCCAACTTCATCCAGGTTCTCGACTTTGACGCGCCCGAGGGATCAGATGCGTCAAGGCTTGAGGCTCAGTGGCATGAAGATCTGGCTTGTCTGCAGTTCCCACTACTGCGAGAAGTCATAATCCGTCGTTTCAACCATTGCAATTCCGTTATCCGGTATGCGCAGCCGAGCTTGAGAGTATTCAGCCTCTGGCCAGCCAGCCAGCTCTCCGATGCCTTCCTAGACCAGCTCGGCCGTCAGTCACCTAGACTGATTAATATCTCTCTGGGCCAGTCTACGGAAAGCACTGTTACCGAGGCGGGTGTGGTGCGACTGCTGCAGTGCCTGCGTGCTATACGGCATCTCACACTCTCGCCCGAGTTCGATCAAGTCTGGTCACGAGAGGCCTTTTGCGCCGTTGCGAAATACACATACCTAGAATCATTGGATATACCGGTAATTCAAGAAGAATGGATCGAAGACCTATTTCCGATACAAGGATTCCGCCACCTAAAATACCTTTCTACGAATATTTCGAATGATGGGCTAAGTCTTTTAGCTCCATGTATACCAAGTCTGGTGCATGCCCATATAGATTTTCGACCTCCATGTATGAGCATCTCAGAGGTAGCAAATCTCAGATCAATTACTGATCTTCACCTATCATTTCCCCATGGGAGCAAGTTCAGTGCGCAGGCTCTGCTGTCAATCTCACACCAATGCCCAGCGCTTGAAGTAGTCACACTCGCCGAACACAGCGAGCACCATCCCGAGGCTGTGGGTTTGGATGACAATTTGGTAGACCAAATTGCAATGCATCTTAAAAATGTCAGGATTCTATCACTGAACATGGGGACTCAAACACCTTTGACACTACGTTCAGTTCGTTCGTTATCCAAACATTGTCTGGAGCTGAGAAAGCTTGTACTTTCCTCTTTCTCCATTAGCTGGGATGAGGTGGAAGGAAGAACGAAGAACGATGTGATCTCGACAAGGATGAAGTCTATGCGCTTGAAGCTGCATGGAGATCACCAATTGCTACCGTACGACGGAGCCCAGGACCGGGTAAATGGCGAGGCTATAGATAACCTGGCCCGAAATTTCCTGGGCTTCTTTCCAAGCCTTGGGCCGATCTATATCGGTGGCGGGGGAGATGGCGAGCGGCAATTTATGAAGAGGTTCTTTCTGGCTAGACAGAGATTGAGGGGGATAAATTACTTGAGCATGTAGTTAGTTGCCTTGGTCGCCACTGCGTGGTGCGCCGATGACACTTCCTTTCGTATCAGTGAGGGAAAGGCCTGTTTAAAATGAAATGAGATTCCATTGCGTGTAGGTTCATGAGTTGATACACCCCTTTCTGCCGATTCCGTTGTGACGTTCAACATTGGTTCCCAGCACAGTTGATATTCTCGAAAGACGGGCAATACGCGATCTCCATGTACATACATGTCGGAGGTCCATCTGCCATGGCTTACAGGTCTCAGCAACACTCTGTTTTGATTAAATAACCACATCATAGTTTCAACTTCTGCCGGTGTTTGAGTTACCCCATTCCGGCGCCTTCCGACATGATCGTCAGTCAGCCCTAGATGGTGTCTCGGCTCTAAATCCCCCACCTTCCGAGAGAGACTTACTTGATTTAGTTACATCTCGCAGTCCCAGCTTAAAATCTGATCTGATCCTGATCTCACGATGAAGGCCATTCTTTGTATTAGCTTTCTTGCCGCCGCAGGCCCTGCTTTGGTTCTTGCTCCCACGTCTACACTTAAGGACCCGTTCAGCCTTTACGAAATATTCAGATCGCCTACCGAGCCTTACGGTCCCCCATTCAAGGCCGCATAAGGCAAGTTCTGTTCTTTCTCAGGGCGCTACCTGTGATGGCGAAAGCCCGAACTTCGCTACGTTTTCTCTCCAAAACAAGAAGCTGTGCCTCTTCAACCAGCGGAGTGAATCAGCAGGTTTACGGCTCCATCATGGACGGTAAATTGGCCCTTTTTCCCCTTCCCCGATGCCTGACTCTCACCGGTTAAGGCTTTTTCCTTGTTCCTCTACTGGTCACTGATGGCTAATACGCGAAGTCTGAATCACTCCGACAGGAAAGTCGGAAGGGGGTACATAAATCCTGGTGAGACAGCCCAGGACGGAGCTCTGCTAGAAGCATGGCAGGTAGCGGGGGGGAGGATGACGCTCAACCTAGAGATCGGGTTTTTGGCGTGCCCAGGCGGTGCAAATAGTTCTGATGCCCTATGGCTGTACCTATGGAAGATCCCACCTAAGGGGTGATTGTGCCTGCCGTCTTGTTTATGGCCTGTACCCAGAGTCGCCCGTCAGCTGCCACTGTTACTGAAAAGAGAGCTCTTCTCATCGAGGCAGACACATGTAGCACAGCACGCATATCAAAAGGCTACAATTTATATACGAAGCTTCCCAATTGGATCAACATCATTTTCTTGTAGTAAAAATGCATTCATATTATCGCGCAAGCTTCCGAAATCATTACTCTATGATAAGCTGCAATGCCATAACGCCGAAGCCCATGCCCCAAAATCTCAGCAAACACGTTCTGAGACCAAAATCCAATCAACACATCCTCGAACAAGCGCTGATCAATATTACCCATCGTACCTGATGAGAGTTCGAGTATAAAGTAAAAAACTGCAATGGAAGATGCCAGACCCGACATCTCAATTTACCCAGCGTACATCAGGAAATTCGCAACCTGGGATCTTTGTTAGCGATGTCCGCAGAGTCCGTTCGTCCGGGAGCCGGTCACTAACAAGAGTACATGTAACCAATGCTACCTTAAGAGGTACTCATATTCTCGGCCATTTAAAAGGTGGAGTTGCCATGGCAGGTGCAGCGACACGAGTAGCTGCACCAGTCATCACAGCCGCAGATGGAGACACCCATGTTGGAGATGTTTGGAAGAAAGTGGTTTTCTACTTTGAGAGCGAGATGAGACTGGTTCGAGAAGCAGTTAATTGGAGAGCAGTTTCGCAGAAGAGGTAGACTGACCGAGGGATTTAAATACTGTTCAATACCGACTTCCGTATTGCCAGCTCATCATGTTCCCAAAACAGAGTATCTTGCATACAATTATAAGTCATCCGACACCATAGTTCGAGGGCTGAGGGTGGGGGGATGGGTGGAAATGGACCAATTACCTATGAAGGGCACAAATGTGTTGGCTGGCAATCACTGAGCCACGGGTTGCCTTTCCAGGCATCAGTCATGATTATCCACGCGCCAGATGCCAAATCAAGGCTGCGGCAGGGATTCGATACAGCTCCGTGTCTTATCAGCAGCTGGTCACATCACGTTGGCCATTGGTGATACGACCTGATCGGTGACTCCATCTTCCTTATCAGGATGAGCCCCTCTGTGTTTGGATGTCTACCGCTTCCGGTTAAGATCTGGTAGGGGATCACTGCTTGCTAAGCATCGGACCGTATTCCGCCTCAGTTATCGCCGACGTGGTAACTGTCTATACAAAAGCTTCATTATCCTCTCTAAATTTGTCGCGGGATAATTTGGTTTTCCCTAGGCGTTCTCGGATGGCCTCAGTCAGCTGGTCTAGCATTTGTGCCGCCGCGTTGCGCGCTGGACCGATGGCCACCACGTACCCTGGTAAGCTCTGCATCGTGCCTACAGAATTATGACGTATCACCGGTGTTCATCAGCCGCGCCAACTTGGGGCCATTTGTAATATGCGCTTAGATTTCGTCATGATCGCAGGTAATACGGAGCGGGGCGGGCTGGTGATGAGTTGTCTTCTATCGTCACCGCATTCATAAGGGATTTGGCTACCGCGGAAATCCGTAAGTAAAAGGGGAGTCTCAATAACAGGCGCCAACTTGCTATGATATCCGCGGCACTAATATCTACAGGTCAGATACGAACTGCAAAGGTCCCTCGTTATGGAGTAATGCATTCAAGATCTGCGCAGCCAACGCACTTTCAAAGATGCTGATAAGGCATCTAGAACACCACAAATGAATACGCATTTGCTTTGACACACACATACCAATTTTCGTGTAAATGGGTAACTTCTACGCTAGGTGGTGGAGATTGGTGTTCGCAATGCCGGATGTCGTTGAATTCAGCCGATGCTGGGCTCCGGGTGTTCAGTACACATCTCTCTAACGCAGTTCGTTTTAGGAAGAGTTGAATGAAATTCTACCCGGCAGTCCTCGGTAGGGTGATTATAGACGGAGATTGCGCGAGTGGGAACATGTGGAGGCTTGGTCAGATTTCGAAAATGCATCTACCTCAGTGCACGACACCATGACCCAAAGTGCCCAATCCCCAACCGCAAAGTGGACTCATCAGCACAAGTCAAAACATCTCATCCTCATTTCATTATTTCACTAGGAGAAAATAACCACACATAGCAAAATAGTCGACCAATGGAGTTGTCTCGTACCGAATCAAGTCATAAAGCCATCAACCTCATAAATGCCAAGTCCCAAGCACTCTTTTTATTGGTGAATGACTCGAGGTCAGCCCATGATGACTGCGGTACTAGTAAAAAAAACTATCTCGGTGTTAAAGTGACAAACAACCTCATCACCTTCACTGCGGTTAATCATTCTTTTTTAGACAGCGATTGAGATGCCTAAGCGGCAAACGCTGTTCAGTTGCCAGCATGAGCTATAATGTCTTCGCAACGCAGATCCCGGACGCTGCCTCGGCCACCTAAATTCTGTTTTCAGGCCTACCCTTTCTTGTGAAGCGGATCTCTTTACTCTTCTCCCGGAAACGTCTACTTTGTACCTTAAAGAACATCTGCTTCTTGATGAAGAGAGAACCAAGTGGAAATGTATAGGGTAGGGGGATACTGAGAGTTTCAAGGCACCGAGCGGGGGTAATTGCAACGCTTCCCAATCCCCCGTCAGGAATAGAGTTTGAAAATGGGTCTGGGCATTCATCAAACTTGGATATATGCAACTGCTGCTCCGTTTGAAAGAGACCGATCGCACGTAATTTCTGTGTCTTGATGGAGACAAGACGTAATCACCCCGAAGATATCTCGAAGTACACCGCCACAACGCCACAAATGTGAGACTCAGCCGCAGTTCGCGCCGTTGGTTAGCGCGAACCAGCAGCCACTCAGCGCAAGGCAGGACCTGCATCATACTGAAGGACTGTCTCACCTGCCGCCGCATTTCGTTTTCGCACATCTCGAGATTCTTTCCGCCTCAACCCCGAGCGCAGAGCATTCAACACGCAGCCTTGTGCGACCTGCACTGCGCGACACTGTGCCGATTGATTGACTAAACAGTTGGATCCTGACAGCGCGCGACGCACTGGGAGAAGCCAGCAGATGACCATGGTTCCGTTTGCGCACGCCGACCAGCCCTCGTCTCTCCTCAATCGGCATCCAGTCTAGCAGCGATGCGTCTGCTCCACACAAGCTCCCTGGATCTGGTCGAGATTCCCGACGATGCCGTGCCCAGCTATGCGATTCTCTCCCACACTTGGGGCGACCAGGAGATCACCCTGCAGGACATGGAGCGCGTCATCGCCAACGACTCGGACAACCGCTCTGCTGTGAATCGCGTCACCCAGAAAGACGGATATCGCAAGGTGAAAGCCGCTGCGGCCATGGCCCTGAGTCGCGGCCTCGAGTATTTATGGGTAGACACCTGCTGTATTGACAAATCGAGCAGTGCAGAGCTGTCTGAGGCCATCAACTCAATGTACCTTTGGTACCAGCAGTCTGAGGAGTGCTATGCCTTTCTTTCCGACGTCGGTCCTGAGGTTGTCGAGGACTGGACGGACCCTCAGTCCAGCCTTTACGGCAGTCGGTGGTTCACCAGAGGTTGGACGCTGCAGGAGCTCGTTGCTCCAAGCGCCGTGCTCTTTTACGCCAACGACTGGACCTTTCTTGGCCGAAAAGACAAACCAGAGTCATTCACCAGGGTTATCAGTGAGGTGACAGGCGTCGGCTGTGAAGTCTTGGACGGGAGGATCGACCCATTGCAGCTCAGCGTGTCTGCACGGATGGCTTGGGCTTCTCGTCGCCAGACAACCCGGCGAGAGGATGTGGCGTATTGCCTAATGGGTCTCTTCCAGGTCAATATGCCCCTTCTATACGGCGAAGGGACTCGAGCTTTTAGGCGGTTGCAGGAGGCGATTCTCCAGCAGACAGATGACCAATCCTTATTCGCGTGGAACTCGGCGGATGATATCGAGGATGAGGATCAGGATGCTCTTTCGACTCTTCTCGCAAAGTCTCCAGCCCAGTTTGCGTATGCAGGTGATATCCAACCTCTGCCACCACTGCCCACCTACGCAAGCATGCCGTCCAGCATGACGAATCAAGGTCTTCATGTCCACCTTTACCTACGGCCTGCCGAGGATGATTATGGAGGTTCCTACGAAGCTCCAATGGAGGAAGACTTCGATGCCATTTTGGACTGTGTCATCCATGTTGATAATACATATCTGTGCCCCGTCATCCGACTTCGTCGTCTCTCTGAGGACCAGTACGGGAGAATTCAAACCAGATCGAGAAGACTTTTGCCACCGCCCTCCCCCTACAACTATTGCAGCGAGGACGAAGGGTATCAACATGTTTACGTCCGACAGGAGCCCATGTATTACCATTTGCCCCAGTTCAGAATCCCACCATCACCAACCCCCTCCCCTCCAGATTCCGAATTCGGCATCAGCAGCACCATGTCATCATCGGACCATTCTTTCTATCGTTTTTCAAGCGCCTTCCCTCCTCGGCAATGGAATTCCCACACCATGACTCTCAAAGTAAACTATTCACGCAAGATTCAAGCCATGGGCCTCTTTAGATATCAGAGCAGTACATGGGGGAATTCCGCCATTGATGTAGTTGTTGGTCTGAGACGACTCAATGCTATGCAATGGGAGGGTTGGTGTTTCCAAATGCGCACCGCATGTTCGATCGAGGAATCATTCGATTCGATCAACAGCAAAATCTCCAAGGCGATCGAGGGTACAAAGAACGCGGACATTTCACCCGGTCTACTCAGGGATACCATTGGGGATGATGCTCGATTGATAACAGAAGCGACCGTGAGCGGGACGCAGCTCCAAGGTCGGCTGTATGTTTCCATCACACTGGCTACGAAGCCCGAGATCCAAGCGGCTGGTGTGACACTTACACCTGAACAACAAGAGAAGTTGAGGGAATCCTTGGTTGAACCCAGCCATGAGGACAAGGATATCGTGAATGAATTCGAAGGTCAAGATATTGAAATGCTTCAACGAGACGTCCAGCTTCTGACCGGGCCATGTTCTCAAACCACATGGGAGGAATTCGTGGACCATGATTCAGAAACTATCGCCAGCTTTAATCCTCGAGCCGTGCGCAGCCTGGATAAGGAACCACCAGAGCCAACTGAGTCTTCCAAAGACAGTACCGATACAAAGACACAAGATGGGTCATCTAGCAGTCCAAGGAACTCATTGAATCTCCCCCAGCCAGCGAGCCATGAAAGGCGATCGAGCAGCGCAAGGAGCTCTTGGAACCTCCTCCGACCCCTCAGCCATATCTTGACCATGTCAGCAACACTCAGCAGCCCCTTTGAACCAACCAGAATAGAAAAGCTGAGGAGCACGAGCAGCCCGCTGGCGAGTAAAAGCACCAAGCAGGCCGCGTCAATCGGGTTCTTTCTCGGGTACTTGCGGGACTTTATCGCGGAGCTTAAGCAGGGTCCTGTGGCAAATTTCACTGCTTCTCCTGTGCAACTCTTGGCGATCTCCCTCTTTGATGGGGAGAAAGAAAACGCAGAAAAAGTCATCTCCAGATATCCTGAGTTACTGGATCCTCGAAATTTAGAAGCCGCAACCTCTGACAAATATGGCCTGTACCCGGTACACTGGGCTACTGCTGGAGGCTTTACCGAATCTCTAGACTTCCTCTTGAAGAAAAGAGGCAAGGAGATTTTTCAGGCAGTGTCACGAGGTGGCCTGGGTGCACTCCACATTGCTTCCATGTGTGCTAGTCCGTCTTGGATTGTAATCCGGGACGCCCTAGACATGGACTCCTTCACTGCTTTGGCATCCCTGCCTACAAAACATCTTCAAGAAACGCCTCTTCACCTTATGGCTGCTTACTATAGCCGCCGACCCACTGCGAGCGATAGTGATGATTTCTATACCTGGCTTCAGCTTGTGGGTGAGCTGGTATCGAATGTATCCACTGATTGCCGGAACTTGTACGAAGAGACGCCACTGCATCGCGCAGCAGCCTGCAATAATGAGGCTATGATTGACTTTTTACTCAGTCAAGCTCGCAACAGACACCTAGTTGATGCGCTGGACAGATTCGGGCGAACGCCAATCTGGCATGCTGCCGCCACAGGCTCAGCTGAGGCTGTCAAGGCCTTGATCAAGACCGGGGCCAGCATAAACCTCGCAGATGACCTAGGCATGACTCCTCTGCATGCCGCCTCCAGGGAGGGGCACTGCGATGTCATTCTTTTGCTTCTCCAATCCAGAGCATACATCACAAGTGAGACGTTAGGTCTCAACTTCACTGCGCTGGATTACGCGGCAATGTTTGGGCACACCCCATGTGTTCGGGCCTTTGTTACGACTAGCTTGGCTCTAAGTTTTCCTGAGCCTACTCGATGGATGGAGGACATTGGCTCGCTAGTCGAGCAAGACGAGCGCCTGCAATGGGCCAAAATCAAGACAAGGGCGCTCCAAATCGCCTCCTCGTGTGGCTGGCTGGGGTGTGCCTCGACGTTATGCCGATATCATGCCGACCCTTTCATCCCAATGGGCTCCTATCTTAAGCTGAACGACACACATACTTGCGCATTTGTCGTCATAGAGAAGGGCAGTGCTTTGACATCTGCTATGCGGGAGGGCCATGAGGACATTGCCAGGTTGCTCGAAGAGCAGTCATCTGCCAAGGAGGACAATGATGAATTTGGCGAAGAGCATCCGGCATCTCTTCCTGATCCAATTGAAACAGATGAAAGGAAGGAGGCGCAAGATAACGGTGATGAGTACGCTAGGTCAACCCCAGCAAAAATTGGATATTCTCCAGCATATTCGCCGATTAGCGTGGAAGATGCTCCTCGTCCACCAACTCAGGACTTTATGGAAGCTCATCCAGATCCAATCCAACCACAACCTCACGGAGACCGGACTTCGCAAAGATATAAAGAATCCGTGGCTTACCCTGTGGATTCCTGGAGGGGGGCGACTGACCACGGGGGAGGGGGCTCGCGTCACACGCGACAGGATGGATATAACCAAGGCGATGAGTCTTGGGCTCACCGCAGGGGCCACGACGATGAAGAACGCCGTCAAAACATTGATCGTATTCGTCAAAGATTCAGGTATGAAAACCAAGATTCTCGTATCAGTACTCGCATAAGCGAGGATGATCCAGAAGAATTCATGCGTCGTGACGGTGTGCCACTCCGTGAGCGTTTCGAGCGTCCTCCAACATCAAGTCGACCACCTCAGCAAGCGGAGCACCGATTCTCAAGAATACCTGAATACAACTATGCATCCGAGCCTCAAAAGGACTCCAATTCCAACGTGGCTCAACAGCCAGGCCAGTCAACTGTCTTGACAATGCAAACGGGCTCTGGCCCTGGTTATTCAAGGTTTGGTAGCCAGCGGTCGGCTCAGCAATATCAATACAGCGCACCTCAACACCGGCGGGGACCATCCTCGGCTCAACAATATAACGTGCCCCAACACCGTTCCGTGCCATATGAACCCGCCTTGCTACAACGGTCTGGCTCCTCCAAGGTAAGCCAATGGGCAAGGGGGTCATCTAGGGGCAGCGACAGGAGTCAGGGTTCCACCAACGTTAGGCATACAACATCTACGTCGAACCGGCAAAGACCATCCCAATATAGGGCGTCAGATAATAGTCCCCCTACTCGACCCATGGCCCAAGTTGCGTATTCTTCCAGGCAGAGGACGATATATGATGATGAGGATCCGAGTAGTAAGGTAGAACGAGCTTACACTACTAGGGGTTCACAGGACATGGTTCCTGGACCAAAACTGTCGCTTCCTGTCCGCCCCAAACCAAGACTTCGCCTAAGCCCGCCTACGACATATTCCAGGACCATCCTTTCTGCGCCGCCTGACGTAAGACAAATTGACGAAAACGTCATTCTACAACCGCGAATCCTGGGACCTCTGGCATCACCATCCGGGTTCAGTTATCAGTACTCCCCAAATCCTCTTTTGCCGCGAGACGAGGCCCAAGAACAGTGGGAGGCAGCTCGGTATTCTCCCTCTACCCCCGAGCCGGCCCCTGAGCCGGAGGGTCTAGAACGACGATTATTATCTATGCTGGGTGCTATCGGTCACCCCAGTATGATAGAGAGCATAGTATCCGAAGATGATACCGAGATGCAGTATGATGAGACATTTGGGATCGTGCGCAGAGCACCGGGCTCGGAGGGAGATGGCGCAGAGAGAGACGGGGAGGGTCTCCCTGTGTTTGAGCTTCCAGCTATAGACTACGATGATTGATTACCTGGCATATAGCTACATGATTGATTTGAATACACGAAAATAATTTATACAGATATTTTTCATCGGCATGCCAGCTTTACGGCCAGATCAGAGAGATGGGTTTCGCTCTTCTCCTTATCCGGCGCCCATCAGCAGTCTTGCCCTCTCGGTCATTGCAAATCTAAGTCAATGAAATAAATACAGAAATTCGCCTATTTGTTCTTGGAAACGACATATTCTCAACTCAATACGACCTCAGGTTTACAATCGCCATTGGAGATGCGGTGTGATGCCGACTTGTGTGTCTCCCTCCATCATATAGCCGTATTACGCTCGATTGTCCTACGGGGTATTAAAATGGAGGAATACAAATGGAACTCATGCATGCTTCAGCCAATGATACCAAAAGACGTATTGAAACACCGATGGCTAATAGGCATTTCTCCAAAAACCGGTACCGAGGTCCCCGGGCTCGCTCCCCCGCACAAGCCACAGTCTGGGGTAAATTACAACCACACTACTTCCAAGATCTCCTACTGTTTCACGCCATCAAACACGCTCCAGATAAAATTATTAAAAAATGGCGGCCAATCAGGATATCCAAGTGACCAAGCTCTTCGCCGAGTTTGTGTCCAAGGCAGATGTCTCGCTCCTCACCCCGACAGTCGTCGCACACGTGAAGGAGTACCTCCTCGACTACCTGGGCGTCACCGTCGCCGCCGCACACAGCTGGGAGTCGACGGAGCAGATCCTCAAGGCCGTCGTGGGTCTGGGAGCACGCACGGGGACGTCCACGGTGGTCCTCAAGGGGAAGGACTTCCTGCCGCAGTACGCGGGGCTCATGAACGCGGCTCTGGGCCACACCATGGACTTTGACGACACTTATACGCCTGGTTCTCTGCATGCCGGGGTGTGCGCCATCCCTGCTGCGCTCACACAGGCGGAGCTTCTGGGGGGCGAGGATGCCACGGCTGAGCGCTTCATGCTGGCCGCGGCGGTGGGTTACGAGGTCATATGCCGGCTGGGGGCCAAGCTGGGCAACGAGGCGTACGCGAGGGGATTCCACAATACAGCGACCTGCGGGATCTTTGGCGCCGTTGCTGCCATCTCGGTGCTCAAGCGGCTGCCGGCCTCCACGGTGGAGGATGCCTTCGGCCTGGCGCTGTCCAAGGCGGCCGGGTCGATGCAGTACCTGGAGAACGGGAGCTGGAACAAGCGGCTGCACCCTGGATTCGCGGTCCACGACGCCTTCGTGTCCGTCTCGCTGGCCGAGGCTGGGGTTCTGGGCGCTGCCAGGCCGTTTGAGGGTAGCTACGGGCTGCTGCACGCCTACACTCCTCGTACGGAGCATGACCTGCCCTCGCTCGTCGCGGACCTCGGGAGCCGCTGGGACTTTATCGAGACGGCTCTGAAGCCCTATCCAGCTTGTCGTATGACGCATGGGCTGATTGAGGTCGGTGGCAGACTCGGGCAGGAAGCCAAGGGGCGGGGGGTCGAGAAGCTCACGGTGTCGCTGAGCTCGCCGAACCATATCGTCGTGGGCTCGCGGATCCCTAACAAGCTGCACCCTGCGAACATCGTGGATGCGCAGTTCTCTGCCTACTTCCAGCTGGCGCATGCATGGCTGTACGGATCGGATACCGGTATTGAGTTTTCCAAACGGCTTGATGATGAAGCCATCCACAAGTTGTCAGACAAGATCGAGTGTGTCAAGGACGATTCCGTCAAAGGGTTCGGGAGCAAACTGAAGATTCAGTATTCGGACGGGGAGACAAAGGATGTGGACATTCCGTTCCCTCTGGGTGAGCCGGAGCATCCGTTCAGTAGGGACCGAGTCGAGGCCAAATATTTTAGTCTGGTGACTCCGGTTCTTGGAGAAGGCAAGGCGAAGGATCTCAAGAATCTGGTTGAGCATTTGGAGAGTCACTCTGTATCTGAACTTCTGCAGCTTGTGTCATAGATGCTAGAATGAACTGATGATGTCACACTATTATTGAAGTTTAACACAGAGAGATCTAAAGAGGCATCAGGGCAACAAGAGAAAATTGTGTTGAAATTGATGTCAATTACTACTCGAATCAAATACTTGACAAGTCCGACGGTGCAAAAAATGTCGCGCCAAGCACGGCCTTTGAATAATCGAGGATACGATCATGCATCCCGGGCGGCTCGCCAACGAACATGCGCTCCAGCATCTTCTCCGTGACCCAGAGATTCCTCGAGTAGCCGATGAAGTAGGTCCCGAACTCTGACCGCCCCGGCGACCCGAACGGCATATTGTCCCGCACGATGGCGCGCTCGTCGCCCTGCATCTCGATCGTGGCGAGGGACTTGTGCGACTGCTGAGACCGGGGGGGCGCGTCGTCGAGCTCGACGTTGTCAAGCTTCGTGCGCCCGATGATGGCTTCCTGCGCTTCGGTCCGCAGGGCCTGCCACCCTTCCATGTCGTGGAGGTACTTCTGGACGACGACGTAGCTGCCCCCCGCCGAGCTTGGTTCGTCCTCCTGAGCCACGATGGCTGCCTCCGTGGCTTCGGTGCCGGTGGGATTCGCCGTGCCGTCGACGAAGCCCAGCAGGTCGCGGGCGTCAAAGTATCGGAACCCGACAGTCTCGTCGTTCACCGTCACGGCGCTGCCCAGACGCTGCATCAGCTGCCTCTCGAATTCAAAGCACAGGTCCCTTCTGTCGGCCCTGATGTGGAAGAGTATGTCACCCGGCGTGGACACGGCCGTGTGCTTTGCACCGCGGATCTCCTGGAACGGATGCAGCTCCTTCGGCTGGGGCAGGCTGGTCAGGCGACTCCAGATGGAACTGCCGATGCCAACGGTGCAGCTGAGTCTGCCGTCCGGGTGGCGGATGGAGATGTTCTTGGTGATGTCGCTGATGCTGGATAAGGTTGCCCGGATCGTCGGGATGGCTGATGGCTGAGACGCTGCAGACACAATGAGGAAGGTCGCCGCACGCGTCAAAGGAGCTGTCACGGCCTGAGAGACCATGGCTAAGAATTCTGGAAGCTCTAGAGTCGCCCACGAATTTGATGAGTGTGACAACGTCGAGGGGATATGTCAACTTGGAGGCGTCAAACATTTGGCCGATGTTGCTTTGTCACGTGAATTATGCTCATGTTGATTGGACGAGTAGTCCTTCTATTTCCGGCGATAGCATATTGATGATATCATGCCGCGTCCTCCGCTAACCTAATATATTCATGTGAGAATGTTTGCGATCTCATGATGTTATAAAAGTCAGTCATCAGCTTCAAGATATGATGCCATCGCCTTTTCAACTATATTCAGTAGGTGATTAACGATATCCCTTGATGGATTCCCCATCTATTCGCCCAATATCTCACTCCACAACCCAGATCGTATCTCGTCTTCTTCCTGTCTCCTCGACTGGCTAATCTCCTGCGCCACACTCCGTATCTGCTCCTTGGCGGCCCCGGCAGATTCCCAGACCTGTGATAATCTATTCAGCGCTCCTATATTTAGACTGATCTGCTGCCGCAAAAACACATCGTCCTCCTCGGAGTGCATGTACGAGCCCCACCTGTTGATGTGGACGATGGACGCGTGGCTCACCACGCACACGAAGAAGGGCGTGTGGCAGAGGAGGTCCGACGGGGTGATGAGCTTGCTTATTTCGTTGGCGGCGTGGATGACGTGCCTGGTGTGGGAGTTGTAGGTGAAGCCGGGCGTGACGGGCTGGCTGGGGGCGCAGGAGTCGATGCGCTTGGTCGCGGACGGGTTGAGCTGGGAGTGAGGGTAGTGGACGAGGATCGAGGTGGCGTTGATCATCATGTGAGCCTGGAACATCATCTCGTCTATTGTGCCGTCGATGGCAACTGGGTCTTTCTTGGAGTTGGGGAGATTTAGCCTCCAATGTGTGAGTAGTGCCTCGATCTTGGATATATTCGGATCATCAGGTCCTACTATAGGGTCAGATCTGAAGAACTTGCCGAGGTTTCGCGCGCAAAGGATTCGGTATGAGAAGGAGGAGAATCCATCGATGTCACTGTCGGAAAAGTCGTAGGATTCCAAGTCCGCGAGGGATTTGGGCGCTGGTATTGCCTGTTCACGGCCCAGTCAGTAACATAATCGTAGGTGCACAAGGTCAATCTCGGAATATCATACCCCTGATTGGTATTCCCACTCCTCACATGGTAACTGGACATCCGCCTGGACGTCAAAGAGCGCGAAGTTGGTCGCACGGTGGACACCCGCGATCATCCCATCAACAACAAACAGATCCCACCACGTCCTCCGCCAACTCTCCTGCACGACGGGATTGTCCCTGCCATGCGCGATGGCAAACTGGTGCGAGTTTAGCCCGATCTTGATGGCGAGGGCACCGGCATCAGCAAGCAGCTTCTTGGCGGCCTCGAGCTGGCGCGTCCCGTCAAGTCCCACTATCAACACCAGCATCGCCTGCACGAGGAGCCCATCTTGAGGGGTGTTTGGATCGTTGATTTTCCGATACGCCTCTTCCAACAGCTGGCCGCGCGAGAATACTCTGTCGACATAAAGCGATCCCACCCAGCGGATGGCGCAAAGGAGTGGCTCCAGTGCCGCGAAATTTGTAAGCTGGAACAGATACTTTTTCGGTAGTGTGAACGGATGAGAGGCATGAAAATTTTGATAGTAGGAATTCAAGTATAGGTCCAAAAGGGCTGAGGACTCGTTGGTGAGTTTGAAACCGGTGTCATTAACCCTTATCAGTTGTGCCGGATGAGGTGACAGGTCTCGATCCAGCGGTGTTGGGGCAGACAAGACCAGGTTTGGCGAGGCCAGATCCATCCCCATAGCTCTCCCAATACTGCAGACGGCCGTGGATGCTGCTCCACTGCTGCTACTCGCTGAGGAGAAGGCTCCATTGAGAGGTGTTGCAGCCTGGGCGGTCAGAAGGGATGCCAGCACGTTCTCCTCGAGATGCGGCGGGGGTGTCCGACTTCGCGGTCGTTTGTAGCCGCGGCGGGAAGCAACGTAGGAGCACTCCTCTCCCGATGCTGTACAGCGGATGCAAGGGTGCAGACGATCACATTTGAGGTGCTTTGCCCGCTACGATCAAACGATCGAGGGACTCGGTCAGCAACAGCACAGCTGCAGCGAGACGACAGTAGTAGGCCTTACACATGATAAGCAGGCTGTCGGGAAGAGTCTGCCAGGGCTTGAACGGCCCCTCTCGCCATCCGGATCCTCGTTTGAGGGTGCCATGGACATTGTATCGCAGGTTCTGGAGGATGGAGGATGGAGGATGGAGAAACGGCCCTGCCGAGATGCCACTAGCCTTTAACGAGGACTGGAAGATCGGATAGGATAAGCACAGACGTTTCCAATCTGGAAATCCGCGAGAAGGGTTCGAGGTCGCCGCTGACTGGGGACCACGGGACCAATAGCGGACAGAGTTTGGCCCTGTGCAAATTCTGACTGAGTGTTTCTGGATGTCGGCGACCAGAATCAACTAAAATGCGGGGCCGCTGAAAACCTCGGCGATCACTGCGGAGCCCTCGCTGATGCCCTTTCGATAGTCTGAAGTTGCATTGATGGTCTTACACAGGCCAGGTTTCGAGTCAGCCTGCAGCAAATCTCCATCTGCCGGCAGAAGAGGGCTGAGTCCATGTCAGATTCTCGGATCTGGGTGATGTAATTAATTAAAAAAATCTTCCTTGTGCTGTGCAGACAGAATTCAGCTAAGGGTCGTTAGTGTTCTGAGACGCCGATGAGATGACTTAAATACAATCTCACCCACCTCCCGTTCAGTCACTCAATACTTTTGCATTCATCTCCAGCTTCACTTTGTTATCTCTCTCTCACTCACTAACAAATACACCGCCATCATGCCGAGAGAAAAAGACATCGAGTCCAACTCGGAGTCGACTCACCACCTCATCAACGACGTCGTCCAGTCCTTCTCATGGAGCGACATGCAGGTCGTCGTCAAGGATCGAGCCTCTGGCGAACCTCTCCACATCCTAGCCGAGTCCTTTGGTCTGGTCCATGCCGGCCAAATGCTCGCCATCATGGGGCCCAGCGGTTCGGGCAAGACCACACTCTTGAACACCCTCGCCCACCGTGCCGCCGCCGCTGGTGCCACGACGACCGGCCGGGTCTTGGTCAACGGCCAGGCCAGCGACCGTTCCATGGTCCGCAACTTGTCCGCCTACGTTGAGCAGGAGGATGCTTTGATTGGGAGCATCACAGTCCGCGAGACGATGGTCTTCGCCGCTCGGTTATCTTTGCCCAGGTTCGATTGATACGGCTTCCTTAGCCTGCGGTTGTGTTCTAACAAAGTTATAGTGCCGTCTCCAAGAAAGAGGCTCTCTCCCGCGTTGACGACCTCATCGCCAGCTTTGGTCTGCAAGCTCAATCAGACTCCATCGTCGGAACCCCTATCAAGAAGGGCCTCAGCGGTGGACAGAAGAAGCGGCTGGGGGTGGCAAGTCGGCTCGTAACAAATCCCAAGATTCTCTTCCTCGACGAACCTACCAGTGGCCTGGACTCTGCCCTCAGTGGAGAAATCATCAGATACATCAGGGAAATCGCCGTCAAGAACAATGTCAGTGCTGGTAGAGCGATCCCGATTACAGATGGAACTTGACCTGGCTAACATCTGCACAGCTTGTCATCATCGCTTCGATCCACCAGCCTTCAACTACTACATACCGCCTCTTTGACAAACTAGCCCTGCTCTCTCTCGGGAAAACCTGCTATTTTGGCCCCGTCAGCGACGCAGACGACTACTTCCGTCGGATTGGATACCCCATGCCGCCAGCCATGAACCCCGCCGAGTTCTTCCTTGACCTCATCAACATCGATCTCGACAGGAACGGCGAGGTGAAGAAGAGGGCCCAAGACATCATTCAGAAGTGGTCGCTGTCTGCAGAACGCAAACACCTGGAGAATGAATTGAACAATGAGGCTGCCACCACATCAAGGACAGACTTGTCCTCCGTCAAGCTGGCGAAACCCAACCCTTGGACTGTCCTCCTAACCCTGCTCCAACGCTCATGGATCAAAGCATACCGAGACGTCGTGGCCTACGAGATCCGCATCGCCATGTACCTCGGCCTCGCCATCCTCATGGGCACCGTCTTCCTCCGCTTCCAGTCCTCCCAGGAATACATCCAACCATACATCAACGCCATCTTCTTCGGGGGCGCATTCCTGTCCTTCATGGCCGTCGCATACGTCCCCGCCTTCCTGGAGGACCTCCACACCTTCGAGAACGAGAGGGCAAACGGCCTCGTCGGTCCCTTCTCCTTCATGATGGCCAACTTCCTCATCGGCCTCCCCTTCCTCTTCCTCATCGCCGTGCTCTTCTCCGTGGTGGAGTACTGGCTGACCAACTTCCGCGCCGACGGCACGGCCTTCATGGTCTGGGTCATGTGGCTCTTCCTCGACCTGCTGGCCGCCGAGTCCCTCGTCGTCCTCGTGTCGGCCGTCTGCCCCATCTTCGTCGTCGCCCTCGCCGTCACCGCCTTCGCCAACGGGCTGTGGATGGTCGTCGACGGCTTCCTCGTCCCCATGACGATCCTCAACCCCTTCTGGAAGTACGTCTTCCACTACATCGACTACCAGGCCTACGTGTTCCAGGGCATGATGGTCAACGAGTTCAAGGGGCGGGACTACGCCTGCGCGGCGGGGGCCGGGGACGGCCAGTACCAGTGCATGTACCCCAGCGACATGAACGCGGAGGGGATGATCCGCGGCACGGATGTGTTGAAGGTGTTCAAGATTGAGACCGGGCTCGAGGGGACGTGGGTCGGTATCATCATTGGCATTATTGTCGGTTACCGATTGCTTGGATATCTTGCGTTGTATTTCCTCAGGAAGTGATATAGTTGAGGATCGTGGTGTTTGGTGTATATTCTCAGGTAAGGTTGGGGAAATGAGGGTAAGGGGGGAGTGTAATTAAGGTCATAGACAAAATTAATTAAGATAAATGTCGGCGTATTCTTGGACATTTTGATCTCAATATATCGCAACACTGAAAACTATTTGTCTCGCGCCATTGCTTCTCAAGTCGGGAGCGGCGATCTTGGATTGGGTAGCATTGCATCGTGCGGGGTGTGGCCACATCTGAGACCTGCCCTCGCCTCACTCTCTCTCGTTTCACCTTCATCTCCAGAAACGACTTTGATATTTCTCTACCAGGTGGGAAGCGGCAGGATTCAGACCCAAACATCAAGGAAGTCGATCTCTGGTCAAGCAACATGATGACAAGGTAACTGGAGTCAAGGACGTCCATCCCAAGCATTCGTGATAACGTCGCCATAGTCGGTACGTGACCGCCAGGACCCTACGAGGGTCACAATACCTTGCTTCCGTCATTGCCCCAAACCTCTGTCAGAGGCTGGGATTTCATACATCGCCCTCTCTTCTTTCGAAAGATGGGGCAGGCGTCAGGCCGGACCAAGAACCTTCGACGCGCGCAGCACTAGGATTGAAGATGGCCAAAGAGTTCTTTGGCGAGGAGATTCTGGCCGATATCCAGGGCCAATCAGTAATAACACACATCTCCCAAAACTCACCTCCTAAAAGCCACGTAGACATACGAGCTAACTTCAGTCATTCGTCCAGCGCCAAGATTTGCCCAGCAGAGTGGCATCAGAGTATGTGAACGAGACGTGTTTCGCCAGCTACGCCAGGCCGGGCCTCGAGTTCCGCGAACGGTCACTGATGAACATCGCCATGCTCATTGCGCTCAACCGATCAAACGAGCTGAGACTCCATATCCGGGCTGCGCTCTACAACGGGCTGTCTAGGGAGCAGATTTGCGAGGCGTGTCGCCATGCCATGGTGTACTGCGGCGTTCCCGCGGGGAGGACCGCGCTGCTTGTTGCCAGTGACGTGTTCGCGGAGCTTGATACTAAGAAACCATCCTAGTCCAGAGGCTTCAAGCAAGGTCGAGCCTGGTAGTCCGTCCATCTGCTCTACTTGGTGTACACGAGCATGGGGACAAGCGCATATTGGGAAGCGGGAGGGAGATCTAGGAAACAACGCGTCAAGGATCGTTTCGTGATTGAAATTTGTTGTGAACCTAATTCTAAGCTTCTCGTTTAAGAATCTTTCTCTTGCTACGTGTCAGTTTAAAGTTCAACCTGCGCAGGGAGTTTGTACGAATTCGACGTTCAACATCATCATCTCTCCACCCTTTGCGGCCTCCCATTATACTAAAAGACAACTGTGAGAGGGAGTCTTTCCCTATAATGGCAGACCGTTTTACCATTATTTTGATATGAGCCGAGGCAGCCACATCTGCATCCGTCCATCTATCTGCCAAGTCGTCCCAGACGCGGGGCAAACTCAAACTCACCAATCCAGCCTCATCACGAGTTCAAAACAACTCAAATGCTAATGACTGCAGCAATACTATAATTGAATCTTCTGTCCGACGTGTCCTTTCGTGTCCTTTATAGACCCCCCCCCCCTCCTTCGTCTCCTATCCCAGTGCCTCATTTCCTCCTCGTCCAAATCATCCCGGACAGCCCTCGACCTCCAACATCTCCATCCCATCCCTTGCATTTTGATGTCTCTGTCACTTTCCCCCTCATCTTGAAACAAATTCCCTTCATTACCACCCTCAAACATTCATTATAACCGTATATTCAAATCATAAAACCGAGCTGGCGGCGGGTACGCACCATGGACAACCCCAGCGCCCAATGCCCCATCCTCCAGCTGGCCCCTGAAGTCATCCTCCTCTTCACAAACGAGCTCCCCGACCACGCCAAGGTCCTCTTGTCGCAAACATGCCGCGACCTCAGGCAAATTCTGCGCCAGCAGGGGCTGCCACCGCTCTCAGCCCGCGAGCACGTCAGGCTCCTCGTCCACCTCTCCCGCGCCAACCCTCACGTCTGGGCGTGCGCAACATGCAAGGCGAGGCACCGCGTCACCAGAAATGATCTCTGGGGGGACCAGCGGCTCTCGTCCTGCCCCAGGCTGACCGTCCCATGGCGGCCCGGAGGCTTTTTCGCGGTCAACCACGTCCGGGTCCAGCTGGCGCTCAAGTACACCCGGCTGGGGATGCACAGCGCGAGGATCCGCTCCTACCTCAAGAGGCTTCTGAGATACGAAGGCGGCGTCCGAATGGTCAAGGACGGCCGTGGTCTCAACATCTTCGTCTCGTCCTCGCGCCCCAGGGTGGTGGCCGGAAGGTTCCTGGTCAAGTACACCTGGGAATACGCACTGGACAGCGCTTCGTCCGCACCCACACCGTTGCCAATGCTGGTCCTGTGCCATCACCAAAAGCTCGCGCGACCGGCTGAGGGCGTCGTCTGGGGCGAGGAGAGGAAACAACTCGTCCGAGCCGTGGAGGGAGCGCTGTCAGATGATCTGAGCGGCGTTGAGTACTGTCGCAGCTGCCCCTTTTGCCCGACCGACTTTGCCGTTCGAATCTTTGACGAGGGCATGGTCATTGAGGCCTGGAAAGACTTTGGGCCCGAAGACGGTCCCGGTAATCCCACTTGGAGGTCTCATTCCTCCACCGAAGCTCGACGGAATCCCAGTGATTTTGGAAGGGTTCGCCGGCTATATTATGGGGTTTTGAAAGGAGGCCCTCTGTCATAGTCTGGACTTTTACTTGGGAAGGAATGAACTATACGTCAGTTGTTTATTGTGGTGGAAATCAATGAGCAAGAACCTGATCAGTATGGCGAAACTAACGGATAGGCGTTTGATTTTATTTCATTTGTCGAATAACTCGAATTATAGTCTGTATTTTATTTCCCTGCTTGTTTTTAAGTTCAGCTTTATCAAACGATCAACAGTCAGATCATCGTCGATTGCGCCAATGTGACGTTTCACGGCCACTCACCTATTTTAAGTGTCTCGTCGTGAATCTTTCGTATCCCCCGCATTCTACTCAGTGACATGGTTTTGAATAGTCTCGTTCTCTACACTACTTAGTTCTTGTTTATCCTTCTGTTGTTATTTTCCTCCACCATCCGAAAGCAAAACCATGGCTAGCAATACCGAACCCAAGATGGACATCATCGCCCAATGCCTCTGCAAGACACATACTTTCACGGCCTCCATCCCACCATCCTCCCTACCACTGGAAGCATCCTACTGCCATTGCAACTCGTGCAGACACGTCACTGGCGCCATGTACAGCTGCGATGCGCCGTGGCCCGGCTCCCAGGAGGCCGTTCTCAACTCGACCCTGGCCCAGTACCGCTTCACGCAAAATGTCACCGTCAGGTTCTGCGCCACATGCTCGAGCCCCATGTTCTTCCACGAGCATCACAAAGACAGAGCCGAATCGCTTGGGGTCTTCATCGGCGTCCTCGCCAACCACCCCGTCGACAACTTCGTCAAGGTCGTGGACCACATCTTTGTGGAGGACACCATCGACGGCGGGGCCACCCCATGGCTTATGGATATCAATGCCGACGGGACTCCGCCGAAACTATGGAAAGGACGTATGAATACTACTGAGGAGCTCGAGGCGTCCTGGCCTGGTATTAGTTCTCTCATGAAACCCGAGGACAAGACAGGGCCGGATCTGATCCCCCTCCAATGTCATTGCAAGGGCGTGAACCTGGCGGTGCGGCGCATGGACGGCGAATTCTCAAAAATGAAAGCTTCGGGCAAGGAGCTCCCCTGGTTCGTCGATCCCGAAAAGCTCAAGCACATGTGCGGCTTCGATCCGTGCGACTCGTGCCGGCCCATGTTTGGGGCCGATATCGTCCACTGGACCTTTGTCCTCGCTCAACAGGTAGAGTTTGCCGAGAACACCACAGGCAAGTCCTTCCCCGCCGACACCCTCCAGCTCAAGGAAGCCATCCTAGGCCCCGACAGAGATCCGCGGCTGGGCACCTTGTCCTTGTACGCGAGCTCGCCGGACGTGCAGCGATACTTTTGCTCGCGCTGCTCGGCCTCGGTGTTCTACGCCGTTGACGACCGTCCGGAGCTGCTGGACGTGGCGGCTGGACTGCTCTGGGCGCCGGAGGGTGCGAGGGCAGAGAGCCTGCTTGCCTGGGAGCTTGGATCTGCAATTGGCAACGTTGGAGATGTGCAGGGTGGCTGGAGAGAGAAGTATGTCAAGGCGGTGCGACAAGGGGCGGAGAAGTGGAGGATCCAGAGAGGGTACCCCAAGTCCTGGAGGAGAATCAGAGCGGAAAAGCAGAAGCCCGAGCTGCTTGAGGATTTCAAGGATCTACAGGTATAGTAGTAGTTTGGAAAGGGACATGATATGCTTGTTGCCAATCAGCTCTAGATGTCATACATCAAGTTCTTTTCATTTATGTTCGTCATGATTGTCTAGAGTTCGCCCAAAGTAATCTAAAGACATCCGTTCTTATTATTAGGCTCTAAATCAATCGGATAGTCATTTTCAAGGCAATAACGCATGGCATCGCATATCATGTCATACATGCATGCAGCACGGATCTTGGCTGTCCGGTTGGTAAGTTCCGTTTCTCGACTGATCAATGAGAAGCCATCATGAGATGTTAGACCCGTATTAGAAGGCATCCCTCAGCGATAGGTGACCTCCTCGCCTATGCATATCCCTCAGGCTAAAGGTCCCTTGAGCCAGTCCCTCCAATCAGCCGGCCTGTCCATCGCAATGGCTTTAACCTTTGGAGCTATGCGATACACGTGTCGCCTTCTTATTCAGAGTTGCCTCTTTGAATCTAGCGAGCGGAGCCCGGAAAGCAATCCTATTCCGGATTCCACAAGCGAGATGCCAGGAAAGTATAGCCATGGGCTTGCCATGGGCTTGCCATCTAACACAAACTCTCTATATTATGATTTCCACATCATCAGTCGGACGGGTCGCCGGTGGGTATGGAGCAGACCATAGTCAAAGCCCTGCCAGAATATGGAACCGTCTCCAAGTAACAGTTTAGGCTCGCCCCGGGCCGTACTTAGCCAAATACTAGGCCTAGTGCCCGTTCAACAACTGGACCCCAGATGCCATGTGCTGTATTTCCGGGGCATGTTCGAGTTTCCTACGGGTCACTATCATTGAAACGAATCCAGTTTCACCCATCATAGTGACAATGTAGTGACGATATACCGAGAAGATTAGCGTGAGAGAACGTGGGTGTCAGCCCCAGCACCACCCCAGTAACCTCTCTGACCTCCCTCCCAGAATCAAGAAACATCCAAACTGAGTTCGACTGCTGACCGGGGAGAGAGATCAGTCCACCAAATCATTCTGTGGGGCGATGCCTCCAGGAACTTACGGTGGCCCTAATGCACCACCCTCATATCGAGTCGATCTTTCGGGAACACATCGTGGCTGTGAGAAAATACCGCTCCTCACATCAATCTGCGGGGAATAGCCATTGAAGGAAGACGTACGTAGCTCTCGTAATTCTGCCCATCGCCATCCAGCGCAGCTCAAGACCACACATTACCCCCAGGAGAAATGGCCGAGGAACCCAAGGCCGAGGCGCAAGAGCTTCGCGCCAAATCCCAGTCGCCCACCCAACCATCAGGGGGAGCAGGGCCACTCTCCTCCAAATCACCATCCAAATCACCATCCAAGTCGCCCCAGGGACCTTCGCTACCGCCCCAGCCAACCGGCCACCTCGAGGCCGAGGAGGATGGCGCCATCAGCGACGAGGGCTCGGACCTGGGCGCCGACGACGTCCAGAGCTCGACCGCGTCGCTCAGCAGCACCATCTACAAGTTCCGCGAGGAGAACGGCCGGACCTACCACGCCCACAAGGACGGCGCCTACGTCGCGCCCAACGACCAGCTCGAGCAGGAGCGCCTCGACTTCCAGCACGCCCTCTGCCTCCTCACCTTCGACAACCGGCTGTACTTTGCGCCCGCGGGCCAGCCGGGCAGCGCGCCCCTCCGCCGGGCCCTCGACGTCGGCACGGGCACCGGCTGCTGGGCCATCGACTTCGCCGACGACCACCCCTCGGCCACCGTCGTCGGCATCGACCTGAGCCCCATCCAGCCCAGCCTCGTGCCCCCCAACGTCGAGTTCCAGGTCGACGACCTCGAGGACGACTGGACCTTCAGCGAGCCCTTTGACTACATCTACACGCGCTTCATGACCGTCTCCTTCGCCAACTGGCCGCGCTTCTTCGAGCAGAGCATGCGGCACACGACCCCCGGCGGCTGGCTCGAGGTCGTCGACATCCTGCCCCCCATCTCCGACGACGGCACCATGTCCCCCGACACGGCGCTGTACAAGTGGTCCAACTACCTGCTCGAGAGCACCGAGAAGATCGGCCGGCCCTTTGGCGGCACCGCCAAGTACAAGGACCAGATGCAGGAGGCCGGCTACCAAAACGTCGTCCAGCACGTCTACAAGTGGCCGCAGAACAGGTGGCCAAAGGATCCCAAGTACAAGGAGCTAGGCAAGTCCCAACGGACCCCGACATTGGAGTAAGCTAGACTAACCGCCCCCAGGTACCTGGACTCTTGAGAACATCTCCAGCGGTCTCGATGCCATCAGCAGCGCTCTCTTCACGCGTGTTCTGGGCTGGACCAAGCCGGAGCTTGACGTCTTCCTTGTTCAGGTTAGAAAGGACATCAAGAATCCTGCCATCCACGCTTACTGGCCCATGTAAGTCTTTTCACAGTTTCGAATTTTGGCATTTCACTGAATTAACTTGGGCCGCAGCTACGTCATTTACGGGCAGAAACCCAAATAGACGCCAGGATTTGTAGTTAATGCGCGTGGAGTCTGGGAGAGAGATTTTTTGTCTTTCCATGTTTTCTTCTTTTTCCAAGAATGTTCGCGGGCGAAATCAAACAAGTCCAGCATGTTCTTCGTCAATTGGAAGGAGCTAGAGATATCCCCATCTTCTCGTCTCCAAACGTCGTGCGTTTTGCGGGAAAGGCATTCTCTTTAGTTTCTCAGTTCGGGCAAGGCTCGAACATGCTATTCAACGACCTTTAATGAGTAATGATGTTCAGTAGCTATCCGTAATGCATGAGAATTGACAGTTATTCATCAAATGTTGGCCCGGGAAGGATCACTGCTTCTGGGGCTGATCGCCACCCTAGACTTTCAAAGTTATCATTAATCCGGGCTGTGATAAAAGTACCAGTAGGGGCATCAACTCTTGTGTCAGTCTTCATACATGAGAGCAAATTAATGGAACGATACAGGTCTCATGTTGCTAAGCCACTGCAGAGCGGCCTGCATTCCTGGAGACCCAGGCTATTCACCAAGTGTCTCAGTCATGTTGACCCAAGTTCTAGCACGAAGATCGCCATCAGTCTTCACAACGCATCACCACAACAATATTACAAACACTAGGACCAGAGGCAGTTATAATAATGATGTTGAATAATGGAATTACACACTAAGGAAAGTTCGTTTCGTCATCGAGGGTCACCTCAGTCAAACCCCTCCTCTTCAGGCCGCCGTGTTTCGCCATAAGCATTTCTGGTGATGGCGAGATCGTATTCGCCCCCAGAAATCATCCAAAACAGTCCCCGTCCAACGTCTCCTTCCCAGCCATGTTGGTCCTCACACTGAAAACCTATATGAAAGAAAGTAAAAAAACTCGTACACTTTGTTCAAAGCAAAGACACCCCCAAGTAAACCAAATAGGCAAAAACCAGAGAGCAATTCCAATGACACAAGATTCAAACCGAATCAGGTGTCCAAATTGTGCTGTGTAGCCAGACCATCCTTTGAAGCCAAAGAAACTAGAACAAACTCCCAAGATAATAACCATTAATAGGGTCCGAGAAGTTCATCGCGCCCAGGGATCAATAAAGTGGCCATGGAGAGTAAAGCCAAGAAGACATAAATTAGGTAAGGTTGAGCCGTCTGGCATGGCTTCGGATGAACATGTATTGTGGGAAAGGCGATGGGAGGAGCAGCGGGTTACCGCTTGGCCTTCGTGAGTTGTTGGAAAATCCATTAGATACTAGACATAAAAAAAAGGGCGAGTGCGTCATATCATCGTGACACAGCTCTGGCATCGCAGAAGGATGAGTGTGCAGATATCATGATTGTCATAAGAAAAAGCAGAAAATTAATGAGTGCGGTCCTCAATAGCGTTGAGGGACTGTGAGATTAGGGAGTGGGATCTCCCAATTTGTGGACGACGCCTCATCCAGCCAACCCACGCTGAGGGTAGGACAAGTTAGGCTCGTGAGCGCAACGTCGAGGTTTGAGCTGTGGTCGTAGAAGGTCCTGGGTGCGAGTGCGTATGAGCACCCGACTTCTTAGACCTGCGGTGCAGTGTACCAACGTCGTGCTTGCCTAAGTAGGAATTAGTATATCATGAAACGGTAGGGGATAGTATACCAGGACTCACCATCGCAGCAAGCTCTGACGTTCTCTAAACGGTCGGATTCCCTATCTTGTCGCTCGATCATCTCTCTAAGATCCTCGGCACTATCGTGAACCTCGCTAGCCTCATATATGCTCACGTTCTGAGCGCTAGATCCACGCCCACGCATGCTAGAGAACCTGGAATTTCCAGGCTTGAAGTACCCGCTGAATTTGCTAAGCGTGCCAGCCGAGGGGCGCTGGGTGATCTTGGGTGTCAAGGTGGGAATGGCCATTGATGAAGGATCGATCGTGGGGGACTGGGACCGGGTTGCCCTGGAGTTGTACGACGACAGCGAGGGAGGAGGGCGTCTGCGGGTGCCACTCTCCGGCTGCTGCCCAGGCTGAGGATTGAATTCATCCACATCGCTACGGGTGATGTTGCCCACCATCTCCTCAGCGTCATTGTGACCATCGTCGTTGGTGCGTAACAGCAGGTAGGATAGTGCGTTGAACCAGGTCTCGTGCCTCTGGCCTGTAGTGCAGGTAAACTTGATGGTGCGGCCGGGTGAAATAATGACAATACTCTTGCGGTGAAGCCCAGGTGGCATTGGGTTATCGTCAGTGACAACTCTCACCGCTTCAATTGGCACACTCTTGGCTCGGTGCTCCTGACGACCTGCACTTGATGGGTCACGATCACTCCAGTATAAAGTGCGCGTGTATGGGTGAACCCAAAAGTAGCGTCGGTGGCGCTTCTCCGACATTTCGCCACGGCCCGTCTTCCTTGTGTATTTCCAAAGATATTCACCAATCATTGTCTGGGTAATTGCCTGGATCATGCGGGGATCCGTGTTGGGTCCGAGGCCAGTGGGGTCCAGCTCGCCATGGCGAATGTTGAAACGAGTGTCCATTTCTGAGGCAAAAGAGGAGACAGACGAGTGTCCAGATCGAGACAGAGTCCTGATTGGAGAATGGAGATCACTCTTCCTCTGTGTCTGAGGCGCACGAATCGTTCGGGGTGAACCTCCAACGAGAGCAGAGTGGGATGACTCAGGCCTTTGCTGGCTGGGGGTTTGCGGTCGTTGTTTTGACGCAGATGCCGGCCACAGAGGAGGTCCCATGCTGCCTTGAGAGGCAATCGATCCGTTCCTAACAGCCTCGATGACCTCCCGATGATTTGCTGGCAGAGGGGGGGCGTCAAACACAGACCCTCGTCCACTTGTGGCACTTCCAGGTCGGCGGGTAGAAAGAGATTCCAAGAATGAGTCGTCGAACTTGCGTCCTCGGGCGGTGATTGGGCTGCCGGTGTAATCGTCTGATCGAGTGATCCTTACGGTACCCGTGGTGTCTGGTGTACCGACGCTCGGGATGGACAAATCCTTGACGTGGTTGCGACGGGAGTTTGATTGGAAGAGTTGATCGATAGCATCGGCGGTAAGCGATGTTTGAGCGCCATTGTCGCTGGTGGACATGGCAGGTTTCTTGTTTCCTGAGATCTCTTCCAGGGGAGGCCGAGCAGAGTTGGCATTGTTGGCGGGTGCAGCCGTCTCGAGCGATTGACTTGTCTCATCCTCGGCAATAATTACCGGTGCATCCTTCAATTTGCCGGCGCTCAAGGAGTTGAGAGCTCGGTCATCAGACGCCTTAACTGGGGAGTGTGTCTTGCCAAATGCGCCCGCAGCGGCAGGGAGAATGAGAGAGCGCCATGCAGAATGATCTGGGCTTTCATCAACTGGGGTAGGAGGTTCAATGGCCTCTGAACCAATGGACGAGAAAACGAGCGCAGGAACAGGTTCGTTGATTGGAGAGATGTTCTCAGCGGAAATTGAAGACAACTTCCATTCTGGAACAGCGACTTCTGGTTCGGAAATGGGTTCGACGTGCTCCATAGTGACATTTGAGAGTGTGAGAGATGGCACCTTGGGCTCTTCGATCAATGGCTCAACATGCTCTGTTGAGATAGATGACATCATAAGAGAGGGAGGAGTTATAATGACTTCAGGCTCGGCAATTGGCTCAATGTTCTGTGTAGAAATAGAGGTCATGATGAGGCTTGGGGGAGGAACAATGACTGGAAGTTCGATGATGGGCTCCACATGCTCAGTAGCGATCGAAGAGATGGTCAGGGATGGTGGACGAACCACGACAGGCTCCACGTGTTCAGTTGAAATAGAAGACATTATCAACGATGGCGGAGGAATGACGACGGGCGGTTCAATCACGGGTTCGACATTCTCAGTTGAAATCGATGATAATATCAAGGATGGAGGAGGAACAACCACCGGGGGTTCGATCACGGGCTCCACATTCTCCGTCGAGATCGAAGACAGAATCAATGATGGCGGGCGGATGACCACCGGGGGTTCAATCACTGGTTCCACATCTTCTGTTGCGATAGACGAGATTATCAACGATGGTGGGGGGACAACCACTGGGGGTTCGATGACAGGCTCAACGTTCTCCGTGGCGATGGAGGACATGATCAGTGGGGGGGTAAGAACAATGACAGGAGGCTCAACAATGGGCTCCAAGTTCTCTGAGATAACTGAGGACATGCTCAGTTGAGGAGGTGGGGTGACGATAAATTCCACCCTAGGCTCCGGCTCGACTGGCGAGATGGGCTGAGTAAACTCGGAGACGATTGTCGACAGAGCAAGCTCCAGTACTGGGGCCACGACCTCGACGGGACTGATAGGCTCAACGACTTCCCGTGAAATTGCTGTCATGGACAGAGCCGGAGGAGCGGGCTCTGGTACTTCTCTGGGAGGCGAATGCTCCCGGGCAATACTGGACATTGACAGCACTGGCACCTCAGGCTCGGGTCCTGGCTCTGAATGTTCTGTTGAAATGGAGGACAGAGACAACGCCAGAGGCGCCGGCTCGGGCTCTGCGATTGGCTCCAGATGCTCCCCAGAAATTGTAGACAACGCCAAAGCCAAAGGTTCGGGCTCGGGCTCGGCGATGGGCACCAAGTGCTCCGCAGAAATCGAAGACAAGGCCAGGGCTAGAGGCTTTGGTTCAGGCTCGGCAATTGGTTCTAGGTTCTCGGCACCAATAGATGACAGTGTCAAGGTTGGTGGAATCTCCATGACGGGCTCCACATGCTCCGACTCAACGGAAGACCATGAGAGGACAGGTGGTGCCTCAGGCACAGGATCCAGCTGCTCTGCCCCGATTGAAGACAGAGATAATGATGGAGGAAGCTCCGCGACGGGCTCCAGGTTTTGCGTGCTGATGGCGGCCCAAGAGAGAGCTGGTGGGAGCTCTGGAACGGGCTCCAAATGTTCCGCCCCAATGGAAGAGATCGACAGCGAAGGTGGCGTCACAACTTCCTCCACTGGTTCCAATGCTTCGACATTGATCGGAGTCAGACCCAAGGAAGGAATGACTCTGGGTTCCTCTACCGGCTCGACACTCTCTGAATGAACAGAAGATAGAGCCAGTTCGGGTGCTAGCATAATCACGCTCGGGGGGGCCGGGAATTGAGATAACCTAGGATCCATATCACCTTCACTCTGCTGGCTGAACGAACCCGCAGAGAGAGGCCTTGACGAGTCGGCATCAAAGTCTCGGGACAAGACCTGAGAGAGGCGGCGGTTGTCCAATGGTGCGTGGACGGCCGAAACCATTGACATAGGGCGGTCCGAGTTTTCAATAAACGGCAAAGGAGCAGGGGACAGTTCCTTGATATCAATAGGATCTGTCATAACTCCACTATCAACCATGACCGGCTTGGGCACAACAGGAGCTGCAGGAGCCAGTGATTCTTGAAGACGAATTGAACCAGGAGTGAAGGCACGGACATTCCTGCTGGGCGTACCATTAATAGAATCCTCGTCACTTCCAGCGAAATCTTGCAACTCAGCGAACAAACTCTGATGAACGCCTTGAGGGGTTACAGTGCTGCTGCCACTGAAGCTTGCAGCAGGGCTGCTCTTAAAGGAAGGACCCTCGCTACCCTGGCGTGAACTTCGGCTGAGGCCACGGCTAAGTCTGAATCGTCCTCTTGGTGGGAGGGGCTCAGTCGGCGTCCTGACTTGAGGAAGCTCATCGCCCGATGTCGACGCTGTGCTGTCGAAAGGATCGGGGCCAGCATGTCTTGAGAGACCTGCTGGCAGAGGGGGAGGTCGCTTCATTCTACCAAAGCCTCGGGATGTCGTTTCCGTCTCGGTCTCATCAGCGTCGCTTCCAGAGAAGGCTTCATTGCCGGTTTGGAAGTCGTCCGTCTCGGTACCAGCACGCTCGTTTGCGGTCTCGAATGCAGATTCACTAGCTTCGTTGGCAGTATCGAAGTCCTCGGTGACGTTGCCTAACCCAGTACCTTGTCTATAAGCAAGGGGAGAAGAGCCACCAGTGACAGTCGAAGATGCCTGTGGTGAATGATCGTCGTGGTCTTCCCAATCGGGGTCTTCTTCACTAAGAATGACCTCTTTCTGGCTGGAACGATGGCTTCCGAGCAGGCGGGAGTACCTCTTAGTATCTCTAGGGTCGAGTTTGCGGTTCTTCCGGTGGTGCGACGTTGAAGATGCAGAGTCTGTTCTCACTCGCTCCAGGTCGTCTCGAAGGTCCTGGATGATGCGTCGAAGCTCCACCTTCTCGGTCTTTTCGCGGTGGATCTGGCTGCGCTGACTCTGGATAGTCCTGTGCGCATGATGCAGAGAAGACTTCAGGGTCTCGGTCTCGAGCATCGAGTGACGAGGAGTGCCTTTGATGGGGGAAGCAGGAGGAGAATGCTCAGGTGTGAGGTTGTCCGCAGCAGATTCGAAATCATCTTCACTCGGCCCAGAGAGCGAGTCTCGCTCAGCAATCTTGCCACGCTGTACAGAAAAGGCCTTGGCGAGTTCCTGATTTTGATGCATCAAATCATCAATCTTGCGCTGCATGGTCGTCCTCTCGCTGTCAGCCATGACCATGTTCCTCTTCACTGTGCCTAGCTCAATATCGTGGTGCTTGACAGAGGCAGTGTGCTCCTCGAGGAGCTTGGCATGCGACAGCCTGGCCTCATCCAAGTCCTTTTGTGCGGCGACCTTCTCTGTGTTGGATGCGCTGAGGCTCTGCTGTAGCTTCTTCTCTCGGTCAGATGCATCACGCTGTTGCGATGACATCTCCTGGAGCCTGGTCTCAAGGTTCCAGTTCTCTTCTTTGTATCGGTGCTCACTCTCGTCGAGCGTCTTAAGGCGCTGTTGAAGGCTCTCGGATTCGATCTCAAGGGCAGACTTGTCGGTCTTCAAATCTCGTACCTCTTCATCGCGTTCGGCCAAGAGGGATTGCAGGTTTCGCACCTGTCCGATCAACGACGTGCTGATTTCGGCAGCAAATTCGATGTCGTGTACCCGATTCGCTGGTTGGTTCCTGATTTTTCTGTTCGGGACGCTCAACTTGGTTGGAGACCCGGTGGCCTGACTTTCGAATTTCGAGGGACTGACAGACCGCTAGTTCCACGTGTTAATTCTTGTACGATACCAAAAAGCCCTTGCGAGGAGAGGGCGAAAGCAGGAATACACTTACTCTACCGTTCCTGGCCCCAGGGAAGGGAGATCCAGGGTTGGCCTCATTACTCGGTACTCTCTGCTTGGGCAGGAAGGCCCGAGCAGACTCGCGTGCCAAGTCGTTGTACTCCTTCTCGATTTCCACCAATTTCTGGCGCAGCTCTGGGTTGAGTTCCCCCTCTGCTTCAAGCTTCTCTACTTCCTGCAACTGCTCGGCGAGAGCTTTTCGCTGCGACACCAGGGCGGAGCCCAATTTGCCCGCCTCGTCCAAACGGCGATCCGTCTCGGCCAGGTGCGCCTCCAAAGCTCGCTTGGCCTGTCTCGGGGAAGACCCGGGACTGGAAGCAAAGAGCCCATTGTCGAAGTTATTGGAGTAGCGATGATGCGCGGTCGTGGAATTTCCCGTCGTGAATGGATCGTACTCGTTGGAGCCCTCTGGGGCAGGGAGATTCGGTCGGTTGTCGGACGCGAATGAGGTAGCCATGGTGGGCAACTAGATGAAAGGAAAAATTAAACAGTGCAAGACAGGCGGCCTGTCCAACGATGACCACGCGCAACCATCAAAAAGAACAGATGTTGAGGTGTAACAGGCAATTTCCGTTGGAGCTGCAACCACGTGTTGGGGGGTTGCACAGTGACAGGAGCTGGAAAGAGTCGCGATGCAGCTGATAAAGCCCAGCACGATCCTAGCGGGAGTCCGTAGCACAGGAATGGGCAGGAAGCTCAATCCCAAGGCCGGAGCTCGAATTCAGAGACGCCCCCTACGATGGTGGTGTCGAGACAGCTGAAAACGAGACGGCGATGCTGGAGGGAGAAGGAGAAGAAACCGTGCGCACAAGCGGCGATTGCAGCAAGCGATGGCAGGGGTGTGCAGATGAGCAGGCTAAAAGCTGCTGCCAAGGTAGAGAGCGACAGGAGGTAGATGAGCAGGACCAGCTGCCACGGGTCGATGGAACCACAGCGAGGGAGAGAGCGCGCAGAATGCAGAATTCACAGGAGCACAAAGATTGAAGAGCTGCCTGGACGAACTGGACAAGAGAAAATTGGACGAGTGGGCGAAACCAAAATGAGGAAAGAAAGGAAATTGGCCGTTGGAACAGTCAGCGGCGGCAAAGGGCGCAAGATGCTATCGGCGCCTTGGGGACGAACAGGAACGGGCGGTAGGTAGAGAATTTAGTGTCGCCAAAAACGGACCTTAGTCTCGAAAGGCACGGTGTGTCTCGACCTTGCAGGCGTAAGATGGAGGGCTGATGACAGCAGTAGCCGATTCTACTCCCCAGTCCAGGTATAAATTTCGGGACGTTTTCAGAGGTAACCACGAAACTAGCTCGAGAGGGGCGCCGAGGCGGAGTGTTGACGTCGCAATAGTATTAAGTCAGGTACTAGCAGCAGGAGACAGCTAAATTCTTCAACGAGGGGGTGGCGCCTCGCTGGTTAGCTGAATTCTGTTGGGTCAAAAAGGTTGGAGCATTACACACATTAAATCACCAAGTATTACACCCCAAAATCAAGAAGTCGGCGGGGAAAGGGAGAGAAGACAGGAAGGAGTTTGCGAATTCCGAACAAAGCCACGAAATAATAAGAGACGGACAATAAAGAAGAAAAACGAGAGCGGGAAAAGACCAAAAGGAACCTGGCGGAGGAGCGGGCGGCGCGCGTAGGAATTGAGTGATTGATTGATTGATTCAACGACGGGCGGGCTACAGCATCCGGTGCAGGGCGGCTGAGGAAGCACAGAGAGCCGAAGGCTACGTGACGATGGCAGGATCGTCAGCGTCCGGGTATCTCGCGCCGTTCCAGGAGTGAGGGTATGAGGCTAAAGGAAAATTGACAAAGAGCCAAAGCCCGTGAGGAATGAGGAGGAGAGCGAAGGAGACGAGCAAGGAAAAGTCAATGGCGATGCAGAAGCAGACGAGATGCTGACATCGACCGCCCATGCGCAAGTACAGGTACAACGGCAGGCAGGCCTAGTCCGTACCTGCCTCATCTGCGGGCAGGTACCAGGAGGGAGCGGGTGTGACTGCGGGTTGCGCCTGCACTAAGCACCTGCGTGAGGTACCATGGTACATCCTCCAGCATTTATTGGCCAGCTCCACATGTGACTGACAGCTCAGGCCCAGGGCTCAGCTCCATTCTGGACAGGTACCTGCTACGTGCTAGCCCAGGGAGGGGGCCCCCCAAGCGCTTAAGCCAGTGACGGCGACACAATTCCTCAGTGCGCCTGGGATAGTGGCAGAGGGGGCGAGTGGGCGCTGCTAGTGGCCCATGATGCGATGTACTAAAGCAAGGCACGTCGTACCGACCAGGGTGCGCGTTGTTCATTTGCCTTCAAGGCTGCTTTGTTTTGCTCTGCTCCAAGCCCCTCCCCCTCTTTGAGACGGGCAGATAAGACATCGACCATAGTCGCGCATAGCTTGCCGTCCAAACATTGCGGTGACGCCGCCCGATAGGATCGAGAGATGGGACGGCAGAGGCGAGGACGGACAGGAAACAGCCGCCTCGCCTGGAAGCGTTTGCGCATTGAGCAGCCGGTGGAGCAGGCGCTGGCCATGTTTGGTGTTTTGTGTTTTTATTTTTTTTTCGCACCGCGGAACATAACATTACGTCGGAGGGCGGGACAGTGTGTACATGGGCGCTGTGTACCGATACATCCACCGCGATCGTTTGTTTATTTTCCCTAGCGGATTCCTCACCACGCGCCAGCAAACGTCGTTCATGCCGGCAAAGCAGTCTTTGCGCCTGTGATAGGTTCAGCCGTCTGGCCGAGTAGCATTGGTCCAGAACTGGATTGCCCTATTGTCGGCGTCTGCTGCGACAGTCTCACACGGGATGGAATTACCGGCCAGGCACTCCTGCGGCGAGGGCTGCCCCTGTGCATATGTAGGTACCTACGTAGTGCGGGTAGACCGCCCAAGTAATAAGAGTGAATGTGGGAATCGGCTCATCATCAACGAGCAATCCGGGGCCGCAGCATGCATCTACGAGATGGAATCGAGGCCCTGGGCTGAAGGTAACGGCAGCTAGTCCAGCAGGAGAATTCGGCGCGACAACGCTCACTCGATGGCATAAGATAAGATCTCCGCTGATCATGCATTGAGTCATTTCATAGCCGGACGTTATAATAACAATACTAATACTACTAATGCTTTTTCCGTCGCTTTGGGTGGGATGCACATCCCGCTAGTCGTTCCGCCTCTTCTTCGAGAAGAACGACGGCCTTTATCCCAAGTTGGCCGCCGTCATGGGCAGGCATGGCAGTTAAATAATAACTGGAGCCCGTCGAGCAAGGACCAGGGATCCTGCCGGCCAGATAGTCCCTTGCAGGCAGGTAAAATGGGGGAATATCCTTTCATTGGGAGAGGCCCAGCTCATCTTGCGAATGGCCGACACGGCGGCCTTGGAGGCGGCCTTTGAATCTTGATCGCGGTACGATGCGCTGGACAAGCATGATTGATGGTGGGGAGAGGCGAATTCGCTGGGCCAGTGAAGATGCAAGACAGCCACACAACAAGACGCGCGACCTCGCACACCAACGTGCAGCCACAGTGCCACGCAGGCCGTAATTAGACAGCCCATCCATTAGTAGGAGGTACATTACCCACAAGGCACCCAGCAATCAAAGCCTGGAAGGGCGCTGTGACCAATCAGCTAGCTTCACGTATGATGCCATGAAACCCAGCATCGCTCCCTCCAAGGCGAATTTGCCATGGCCAAGGCACTGCCTCGAGCTGGCGAGTCCCAGCCGTTATCTACGTAATAGTTGAGCAGCACACAATTGCTTGCATTGTACTGCATATCGTAGATACATTATCCCTTCATCAAGTGTTCAATGCTCTCCGCTAGAGCGCTGACTAAGGCCAATTTCTCAGCACTGACCCCTCGGACGAGGCGGTCAATATCGTAGCTCGTTTTCAAATACTCAGCCTACCTACATCCGGGATCCCATGCACGGAGAACCTGGCCTGGCGGCACTGATATTTCGTAAATAATGTTCAGGCCAATTACCGCGAAATGGAAAAGGCAAATTAATGCGTTTAAAAAAGAAGCACGACAGCCTCGTTCACTAAGCCGAGAGATTTACAATAAGAGTGTGTAGATATAGGGTAGCTAGATGAGACCCCGCACGGCAAACGCCCAGAAAAAAAAACCCCAAAAATTGAAGCTTATCGGATTTGCCCGGATGATGTCGTGGGAACAAGTTGCAACCAGAATCACACCCGCCACTACTCCTCCAAATCTAGGATATGGAAAGAGGGTTGAACTTCCCTTTGATAAGAGGACGTAAGATTCCCCGCCTCTAATCTGGAAGAATTGACGTACTCCCTGATGGTAATACCCCAATCTCGTTCAACCACGCACCGGAATTCGGGAAATGCCCTGGAAATAGTTCTAAAACATCACCCTGTAGGTACACTAGCACTGACCTTCACTAATATTACGACGGTATCTTAACAGTGGAAAGGCATCCGTGCAATTCCCTGAACCTCCATTCCGTATAAACCAAATGAATTACAGGAGACGGAGTAGACCTTCATTCTCCTGATGGTCTCATTCTGGCTCTAGGCTTCAACGGCATGTCAATCGTCGTGCGTGTCATGCCCCGCCATACATAGCATTACTTGCAGCACAGATATCCATCTGCGCATTAACGACCCATCTGCACAACATACATTTATTTTTATGTCTGCTTAATAGCTGCCTGGTATAATTCCCCACTTGTTTCAACCGTAAGTTGCCTTCCAAGAACTAAGGGAACATGAAAGGAGGTCGTCATGATTGACGTAGTGTGAGTCTACTCCATCTACAACTGAGATCCTGTGTGTGTCTCACCACCACTCGCCTACGATTTATTGGTACCAATAGTTTGGGATTTATTGAATTGTCTACATCTACACTTGATGGGGCTACCAGAATGCGAGATGTGATATCATCCAGGGGTAATTGCGGCAATCCCAATGAACGCTTCTCCCTCGTCTTCATCTACGCAGAGACATGTTATCTTCGTGCATCTACGCTGAGACATGTCATCTTCGCCTCAGTCATGTCTCCAATCCCGCTGAGAAACATTAATCTTTGATCCAAATTTCTTGAATTATTATCAAGGTAGAGACTGTGGTAGTTAGATAGGCAGCTACTTATCCCATCAGATATCACCTACAATGTTATCTGAATCAAGCTACTGAGATGAGATGTTTTTCATCCCGTGACAGAAATCCGTGATCAGCCACCAGAGGAAAAGAAAGATGTGAGAAATAGGAAAATCCCCCGAGCAGGGATATAACCAACCGGCAGGACTGAGAATGCTCAGCCAGTCCAATTAGCCATCCCGTTCCAGATTTCAATTTCCCTTCTTTGAATTAAGACTTGGTTATCCAACCACATCAACAAGAAGCCGTGCTCGGCCACACCTTTTTGATTACGATAATGAACCCCTCTTCCCTATCCACCGCCCCTTGAAAAATTCCTCGGGATGGACTTGACTCACCCTGATTGCCTTACTTGGCAATTCCAAGGCAGGCAAAGTAGTGCTTGAAGGACTCGGCCTCGAGGGCAAACACGCCCTGGCGGTCCAGCATGTCGGCGGGCGGCCAGATCTTCCTGTCCACCACGTCGAGCATGCCGGAATAGGTGGTCATGCCCACGGGCTCGGTGACGCCCCACGGGTTGCGCAGCACAATGTACTGCTGGGTCCCCGGGGAGGAGATCCAGCCCAGGACGGAGTACGCGTGGTTGGCCACGAGGTTGGAGCCCTTGTACACGTCGCCCGAGGCGTGCGTGTAGGCGCACATGGGGTGGATGGTCTTGAAGCTGACCGAGTTGGCGCGGACGAGCCCGACGAGGTCCTGCCCGGAGCGCGAGCCGGTGAAGAAGTAGTGCGGGGTGCGGTCGTTGATCTGGGCCATGGCCTTGATGGGGTCGCCGCCCGCGGCCGCGGCGGACGTCTGGGTGATGTCGGGGTGCTCCGACGAGCCCTTGGTCAGCCACTTGGCGAAGGCCTTCTCGTACATGGCGGGCTAGACGGCGCCTAGGCTGTTGCTGGAGCGGTAGTAGACGGGCCAGTTGGTCACGTTGTTGACGGGGATGTCGTAGTCGACGTCGATCTCGGCGGTGTGGGCGTCGTTCTCGCCGCCCTTGCTGTAGAGCTTGATGCGGAGGCCGCGCTTCTTCTCCTTCTCCTTCTCCCGATGGGTCGAGTCGAGGACGAATGATTCGTCGCGGCAGATCCTGTATGGATCAGACCATGCGACGGCATGGATGGCTGCAATGAGCCAGCTGTTGGCGATGGCGCCCTGCACGGGGTCATTGAACTGGGCCATCTGGACCATCTCCTGGTCCATTTCTTGCTGGGCCATTTGGGTAGATCCCAAGGGCCCCACGGTGCTTGATCTGTTCATCATGCCCATACCCATGCCCAGGTTGATGGCCAGGTTCTCCAGCCGCTTGCGCTGGATTCTGAGGCTCAGCTCGTTGGTGGTTCCCCAGACACAGTTGGGGGCTGTCCACTGGCCTCTGTGCTTCCTGTAAGGAGTGATGGTCTCCATCAGGGAGTTTGTCAGGGCATGGTTGGACAGGTTCTTGCCCAAGGTCTTCTGGTGCAGAACGATGTTCAGCTGGCCACCCTGCAAGAAGGCCTTTACGACCTTGAGATCAAGTGGGTTCTTGATTCCGATATGCTCAAGGTCAGACAGCTTGTTGATGCGAGACAAGTCAGGAGTGGTAAAGTCATCCTCGTTGAGAACATCCATGTCCTCGCTCCTGATGCGCTCAGCCTCCTTGCCCTTGGAGTTGAGCTTTAGGCCGGGATAGAGCACAGAGTCATGTTTCATGTCAAAGAGCTGCGAGTACTGGGTCTGGAGGACCTCGCTGATGATGTTTGCCACGACCGGGGAGGTCTTGTCAATTGGCCGACCAAGGATGACCTCGGTGAGGGCATAAGGGTTGACCGCGCCAATGTTGACCACCTTGGGAGGGTGGTCAGGCTTGGTTTGGTCAGAGGATCCCAGGAATTGCATCATGGCTGCTGCTTTTTCACAGATGATAAAGCTCGAGTGTGATAAGAGAAGTTTGGAAGATGAGACAAGTTTCAAGGGTCTCAATCAAGCTGATGGCAATGAGGATGAGAGTATGAATAGAGGAGGACCGCAGGCCAATTCTTATTATAGATTTCCTGAAGCTAGTTTGAGGCATTGAGACTGGAAGATGCTTTCTCACGATCACATGAAAACCGGACCACCCCCACACATTCTCGCTTATGACAATGGAGATGCCATTCGAGACCAGTCTATTCTGCATGCGTAGAGGCTGGTAAGCCTTCACAAACCGCTGCCCATCCCTCTGTCTGACGTTAGAGTTTATGTTGATTGCAACATGCTGTGTCTTCTGCGGCAACCCTGAACCCAGAAATGCAACCGATTGGCAGTTGTCAATACTATGTAACCATTCCTCCCCTAGTATTGGAAGTACTTGAACTTTCTCTCCGCATGCCAACACCAAGATAGGACACAATGCTAGGAGTTGACTTATGTAGACATCAAAGCTAAGTCATAAAATTGTGGACTGGCACCGGACACATGTTTATGCACCAAATAATCTGTAACATCATGTTACTTGGCCCAGTTGGCCCAGCCCTCAGGTACGCGCAACTGAGGCAATAAGGTTCGGTTATGGTGTTGATGTGTTGCATCGGTAACCCCTTTGCTCCTCATGCTGTTACCCAGCAAACTTCTTCGGCGCTTTGAAGTGTCTTGCCATTGACTAATAGAATCAAGGCGGGGAAATTCCAGGCGATCTCCCCGGACTAAGAATGGAGTGCTGGTCTTACGCAGACGCGGCCCCTCTGGCTCGATCTGGGGAATGGGCGACTCTAGCTCAAGCAACTTCAAACTTAATCATTGCCGAAACCCCACATCATATAGGGTGACAATTCTGCAACGCCAATGTCATGGTTGGATTGTTGAGTGAGGAGAATCAATGCAAACTTCGTCCGGGCCATCCGCCTTCATACCTCGACCAGAGATATTCTTCTAGGTGTGGCAAATAAAAATGGAACGGATGCTACCTTTTTCATGCAGGAGAGCCTTTTGAGAGCTTGAAGAATGATGAAAAGATGAGGATTGCAACACTGGTCATGCCACAGACCACCAAATTGCTCGTGATATTTTTCTTTACGAACCATTGTGTTGCATTTGAATTTGTAATGTCACATGAAGAGTGTGACCGGTTTGCGAAGGCCCTGCCAAAAATTATTAAAATATCTAATTGTTGTAAAATTATGATATCATTCATGCTCACTTTCGTTTTTAGATGCGGAGAAGGTTGTTCGTTGCAGTGTATAAAAATCATTACGCCATTGTCGTTTCACGGATGAAACAGTAGCCAATGAAAATAGAATATTAGCTCCAGAAAAGGCCTCATTATTGGGAAAATGGTCCGTTCATGTCGATGAACTTTCGGTCACTCTGACGAGGGCTGGGTCGTATACGAACAAAACATGTGGAATGTACCAACATACCTTCGTCATATGGGCCCATGCTGGGCTGTAATACTGTGAGGGACTTCCATCAGCCATTGACGGAGACATGCCGCCAAAAATCAGGAGGACGCAATTGATCTTCTCCGCCGTGGCATTCGTAATCAAGGGGTGAGGCCGGACGGGAATTCCGAATAGTTGCCGGGTGGCCCGGGAGACGGGCCACGAAGGGAACTAAGTTCACACCTTCACGATAGAGTTATGAAGTTCGCTAGAGCTGGCCGCAAAACGCCTCATCTGAAACATGATTGCTCGCTCGCTGTCCTGGTGCCTGGTGTAGACTTGACCAACCGGAGGTTTCTTTGTACCCACGTGAGATGTATTGTATTCTGAGAAGAGGGAGGAAGATTTAGACAAATTTGATAGCAAGTAAGAACCCCCTCGGGCCTGGTTTATTTGAAGAAACTTTCTAAATCGGCCCGCATCAGCACTCGCTGCTACTGTGCCTTCAATTCCCACCTCAATTCCCAACTTCATTATGATGTCTGTTTGCAGATGATAACAAATTTACCAGAAATTCGTTTTCGAAGCCACTAGCCACCTCGAGAGACGGTTTCATACACGGTGTAAGAAAGTGCTGCGACACTGCGTTCATCTCTGAGAGATATGGAAAGATCATCCATTGCTGGATGGACAGCTCTCGGAATTTTTCAAGAATACCCTCGTCTGGAGGTCCGTATAGCGCAATCAAGTCATTGGCTATCCTGAAAATGCCCCTTCGCAAGGCGAGCAATTCCGCAAAGTAGCGAGCCAAAGCAACGGACGCAAATTCATACTTGCGACCTGCAAAAAAGGCCAAGTCAGGCATCTCAATTATTGAACCCTGGACCAGACCCCTGTTTAAAACTCTGATGGTGACAGCTTCGAGGACTTTCCCATGACGGGAAAGATCTTGGACTAAGGTCTCCTTGAGACCCTCCATCGTGGCTGGGCTGCCCAAGATCTGCCCAATGTCTCCAATCCAAGGAATCATCTTGCCCGCAGCTTCTTTGATGGAAGAAAATTCTCCAGAAAAGCAAGAGAATTCGACAGCCACTGGAGGCTCGCTCTGAAATTTCTCAATAACCTCAAGCCAACCTGGATCTAAAGGGACATCTTTGTCGGACGGATTAGTCACTGCTGGCAGTGCCTGCGATCTCGTGTCAATAACATCAAACTCAAATCAGAGACAGAATATTTCTCACCTTGAGCCATTGGTTTTCGTAGGTGAGAGCAACATCAAGTTGATCCCCAATGGTCGGACTTCCTTTTGCTTGAAGGACGTGACGTATTGCACGTCTATGAGCCAAGGCGCTTTGGGGTTGACTTTCTCCAAACAAGAAACTGGCACGTTCCAAAAGAGCCATTGCACCAAGAGTCTCGACTTCGTATGCCTGCCCTCCATTTATCGCAAGTTGCAAGCTTCGTATCGCCTTGGTGTAATGGCTCGTTAGAAGAAGCTTCGAGACTGGCTCCCGACGCCGGTATCCATTCCAAGCATAGCAGAAAAGGCCTGTACAATCGCGCAAGCAAGCGCTGCGCGATAGCCTCTGAGGCAAGAAAGGGAGATAGCTCATTTGTGTACGTACGCCAGCTTCAGAACCTCGTTCTAGGAGACCCGCAAGCCTGGCAGACACTCGGTCAGCGGAAGTGGTGAGTCTGGCGCGAGGTATCTCGAGACAGGGCGCCTCTAGACGAAACACGCCATATGAAGCGGACCCGTCGTTGAATGGCCTCAACGGGTGATGATTGACGAGGATGGCGACCTCTGTTTCAGAGCCTGAGCCGATAGGAGCAGTTTGGGATTTGCAGCTGATGTCGGACTGCAACTGCAGGTCGTTGCTTTGGTCGACAAACTTTGTCAATGGCGAGGGTCCAGAACAGACTCGATTCGTCCGCTTGCAATGCCCACATCTCGGCCAATTTTGGTCACACTGTTGAATCACCGTCAGTTGCTCGTTGTCCAGGTAGCGATGCTGTGACCGCATTGAAAATTTTGTGATTTGCGTACCTTGATTTTCCTTGCTCTGCAGTTCTCGCATCTTTGCGAACGGCGGACACCCGTCATGGCAAGATTCCCAGTCTTGTCTCTGATGGGTGAGTTGGTGTTTGGTATAAACTGTTGATGAAGGTGTTGAACCAAAAAGGATTGTAATCCAGAGGACTATTGAGTCTTATATTCCAACAGAAGGAGCCTTGCCACGCTGTTGTTCATGGGGTTACGCGCCAGCAGGCTTGGCCTGATGATTAAGCCTGCCAGGTGAGAACTCAATTCGACTACGCCTTGCTAGCTTACATCGCTTGGCAGTGACATGCCAAGATCAAAAATACCCTTGGCAGCCTGCTTTTCCTACGGTTGAACCTGATAGTCTTACTGTATTAATTACGAAGGGTAAGATTTGCATAGGGTATTGTAATTAAAAGAGTAAGGATTTTCGTTTGTTACGAGCAACTACAATTAAGGACATTTGATTCGAGACAGAAAGACTTGGCTCGCTAACGTATTGCTTGAGTGGGAGATTCTATCTTTGGCTATCTATGACCGGCCGGAGGTTGCTGAAAGCGTCCTAGCAAATATTTACTCCTCAGGTCCCTCTGCTATATTTCGGAAAAATTGAGCAAAATCAGGTGCTGTATCCTCGCCCCCAAACATCTGCCCAATCAACTCATCTGTTTCTTTACCCAACTTCTTTGCACGTTCAACCAAACCTGTTTCATATTCTTGTAGCAGGGGATCAAACGTCTGGTAGAATAAGTTGACATCCTTCCCGGACGTTTCATACGATTTCTGAATGGCTTTAAAGAGCATGAGAGAGTCAAACATGGCTGCATTGACACCTTCGCCGTTCGGAAGCATGACATGGGCAGCATCCCCCAAGAGGGTCACTCCAGATGCATGTTCCCAAGAGGTACCGTGAGGCAAGGCGTATAGCGCTCGGATATCGAGGTTCTCACCGCTCTTGGCCTCTTCATCACAGGCAGTTTCTACCAGCTCTTTTGACAGGCCCGTAAAGGTCCCTAGAAGCGCGTCGTCGCTAAAGAGCTTCTTTACAATTGTAGCTGGACTTCCAGCAAGTCCGGAGGAAGCGCCGAAGTCTTCATCAGGAATTGTGAGCCAGAGAAATAGCCTCGATGAGTCGATCGGCCCTCGTTGAGACGCGACGGCATGCTTCTTTCCAAGTGACGAGAAAGATCCTGTGCCGACGAGTTTGGCTAGATGCGGATATTTCGATGTAATATTTTTAATTGTGAGTGTGATGATGTACATGTTGGTAAATTGCGGCTGTATATTTGTGACGAGGCCCCGGACCTTTGACCAAGCTCCATCAGCACCAACCACAAGGTCGAAGGCTTGTTTGCCATGGACGCCGAAGTCGAGCTCCGTTTCAACGCGAGTCGGTGTGGTTCGTCTTGTCGCAGAGACGAGCTTGTGGTCCCATTTGATGTTGGAGGTGGGAATATTTCGGGACAAGAGTTTAGCGAGGTTGTTGCGAGAGATTTCGGGACGCAATTGAGCTCCGCCGCCGTGAGTGTAGAGAACACTCCCGCTCCTGTCTGCAACAATGAAGTCCTGACTGCATTCGCCAGTCAGGGGCAAGAAATCCTCGTACAAGCCGCATTCTTTGAGAGCTGCAATGCCCGTTTCTTGATGAAGATCAAGCATGCCCGATAACTGTTCAAGCTCTTCATTGGTGGGCTCTGAGCGTAGCTCAAAGATAGTAAATGGAATGTTTTGTTGATGAAGCAGGACACCGAGGGTCAGCCCAGCAGGGCCACCACCAATAATTGCAATTCTTGGCTGAGATTCCATAGCGAGGTATGAATGAAATTGGAGTATATGTTTCTAGATGGAGTGCAGTTTAATTATAATATTAATATTGTGATAGATTGTTCCCGGGACCTGCTGGTGGTTGTTTGTCGTGAGAGCGAGAAGTTTTGTTACAGCCCGTTGGTTGTACTAAATGACTATTACGCTTCTATCTCATACGGAAGAGCCTGTGTACTTATAGATACGAGAGGAAATATCTAGAACTCGCATTTCCGGACACTTTATGGGTCCAGCCGGTCTCGGGGATGGTTGAGGCTCTTTTCAAACTGACCTCCGGATGGTAGAACCAGCCGAAGTCTTCTCCACTCTCCAGAAGCTGCACAGCTCGGGTCTGACTATAACCCACCAATCAGCGGCTATTTCTATTTCAATTCGCTCTCCAGCTCTCCGCGACTGGACACTCGCTATAAACTCCGTGTTGGCTCCCTCGGGGCCGACGGGGACCACCAATTAGGTTCCTCGCAAGCCCCGAAGCACTGCTGATTATGCCGAGTGCTACGCGCTCAAACTTATTCAGGTGTATCAAATCGAAGTGACCTTACATCTATTTTCAGCGAGAACATCCTTGCACCGTTTTATAAATAAAGATGCGCATCGCAGTGACTCTTGGAAGGTGGCGATAGAGATATCGCCTCACCCTGATGAATCTCAAATGGCTTTGATAGCTCCCGATTCGCTAACTATTTCTCTGCGACGAGCCTTTGCTCAACTGAGACGGAAGTGAGCGGCTGTTCAATGCCAGCTGATGTAACTTCGCATATCGAGTCAGCCCATAGCTTGAGAGTTTGGCTTTTCTGCCTCGGGAGGCAGATCGGCTATAAGCCGCCTTGATGCTACCCACCCTGCACGCTCAGGGTGGGAAAAGTTTCTATTATCTTTTTTCTCTTGCAAGCTGGTGGCTAGACAATTCCTACGAAGTGCACGCCATATACTTGGAATTTACTAGGTAAACGCTACGACCCATGCTTGAATATAATACTGACTACCTGACCCTATTGTTAGCCTTTCTTGATGGTCGACCCCCCTCTCCTATCGCTCAAGAACACAAGATAATAGCGCAAATTTACATATACTTTTGCTGGAGGTAAGGCATCAATCAAAACGAATTTCGTAATACCCCGCTTTGTCTTGGTTGCTGCATGTAAGTGAGTGGATGCACTATAGCCAATGATTTTCAGGTTTCGGTGGAAAGGCATTTTTGGTAAATGACACAGCCACATGCCATCCATGATAAAAACCACATTTCAAAAGCCTCCCCTCTCTCCCCAAAATTTGCTTCTACATTCAAACTATCTTGGGTAGGTCTTTTTTTGATCTGCCGTTCGACATGAACTATCAGTACCAGAGGAGCTTAAGCGTCGGTGACGATGAAATCAGACTGCTTCAGATTGAAGCATCCAGTGATCCGGACTCGGAAATCAAATGTCGGTTATTAACAACACCTCTAGGCTCAGCCGGAAGATACATTGCCCTATCTTATTGTTGGGGTGACCCTGGGATCAAGGGAAAGATCATTGTTTCCCAAAGGTCCATGATGGTCACGAAAAATCTCATCAGCGCGTTGCAAGACCTCCGTAGTCGAGGGTATCTCTGTATCTGGGCTGATGCAGTCTGTATCAACCAGAGCGACCTAGAAGAACGCAGCCAACAGATTCTAAGAATGGCAGGAATATACCGCTCGGCTTCGAAGGTGGTGGCGTATTTGCACGGCGCGACACTTTCCGCGGCGAAACTGGCGTCAGCGCTCTTCCTACGAATCAAAGATAGCGAGGACGTGGCGAGGAAGGCAAGAGAAGACTATAAAAGACGAAAAAAGAGGGAATCGGACCTAGCAGGGACCAAAAAGGGAAAATGGCCACTGTTCAACCGCGACCAGCCTAAGCCGCGTAAACTGCGACGCCCGGAACGTCCACATTTTCAGATCGACGGTCATGAGCACTATGTTTTGTCCAAACTATTGAGTAACCCTTATTGGTGTCGCTCCTGGATAATACAGGAAATCTCGACAAATACTGAACTGGAAATAATATGGGGTCATCAGATTTTCGACCTCAAGAGCTTGATTAAGGTTGCTTGTCTGGCATCCGAGTCTAATGGCATTCGGATTCCTAGGCAGCTGGCTCATATCCAGGACATTGACAGGATTCGGACTGCCCAATTAACGATGCGACCACACTCCATTTTAGAGGTTCTGCCATTGACACGCAACACAAGAGCGTCAGAGCCTCGCGACAGAATATACGCTATTCTCGGCGTGACATCGAACGGCAATATTCTTGTTCCGTTTCCCAACTATTCCCTGCCAGATTCTGCCGTAAATAGAGACATAACGGTACGGATGATCCAAAGAACGAAGTCGCTTGATTTTGTGATTTTCAAGCACGGTGAAGTGGGACCATGGTCGCACGATTGGTTCAGCCCCAAATCGTTCTGTGATCGGCGAATGCAATGCTTTATCAAATCTTCGATACATGGATACTCTGAATTCTCTCAAATCCATTACAATGCTTCCAACAAGAGGGTTGCGGAGTTTGAAGTTAGAAAAACCTCGCTCTTTGTCCAAGGCTTCGTCGTGGATGATATCATACAGTGTTCCCCCACCCTATCCGAAGCCCTACAGGGAGGACTGAAGACGCATTCTTGGAAATACATAAAAGAGCAAAATCATCGTATTGGTATTTCAGAAAGCAAGAGGAGAAAACACTCGCGAGCCCTGGCTTGGCTCCTGTACGGTATCAACTTACAGCATGACTTTTCGACCTCTTATCAAGTACATGTGACAGTTTTAGGGAGATTGCTAAAAACCCTCCGAGAAAGCCGAAAAAGGGAGAATAGTTTAGATTTTATCAAGGAGTTGATTCAGTGGCTCTGTTGTTGTTGCGAAGAATCTTTCGAGATTAAAGGCTACCCTCTTACGTCCTGGTTTACTGGGAAAGAAGGGCCTTTAGCCTCGTATTCTAATGCGAGGATCAACGCATTAACAGAACTTCACTCTAATCTAGGCTTGCAGATGCGCCTAGGGAGTACACATCATGGCCATTTGGGGTGGTTTAATAGGAATACCCTTCCTGGAGACAAGATTGCGATTATATTCGGTTGTCGCTTCCCGGCTGTGCTTCGAAAGTGCGGTGAGAATCGCTACTGTGTGGTTGGTGAGGCGGTTGTTCAAGGACTAATGTTCGGCGAGGCCATGCGAAAAGCGCAGCCAACGTCGATTGAGCTGGTGGATCTGGATCTCAAGACGTAGCGAAGGAGGGTATGTTGACCGCTAACAACAAGGAAACAAACCGGATTTAGATTGATTGGAACTCATCCGGGTATACAATGAAGGAAATTTAAGTTGGAAGTGTAAATTGATTTGGGACAGGGGTGGAACCTAGAAAAATTAATTGTATATCTCCTCAACTTGTTGCATGGGAGGCTCCACGAGGTATTTTGCCCACTTGTTCCATAGTTTACTGTACAAAGGATACTGGAAGACATCAAAAGAGGCCCCAGGATATCGAATTGTAGGTGCAACTCTGGCCGTTGGTGAAGTTTACACTGGTAGAAAACTGATCAACAATGCCTCAACATCCACGTTAGATAGGCTGCACACAACGTACCTCCTCGCTTTGATCAGCCGAATCAATGCCCTGTATGCTACTTGCTGTGGCTCCCGATGCCTTCAGCAGATCGATCTACATCTTCTAAAAAAAGGCTAAATCATGCTAATAGAATTCAACCTTCGAAGTAGAGAGATGTCTCTGTGAGTGCTAATGCTAGCAACCTCGGATTTAACAAATCAGGCTCGGTACCTTTACACGAAGCGCCCTGGGCAGGCGGATGAGTGCCGGAGATTAAGGATGCCGATGCTAGGGGACCATGGAGGCGTGGGGTTCATATGAAAATATTGATGCGAGATATGGATACCATCACATCCCGTGGGGCGCAGCTTAGATATTTGGGATTATCATCTCTTGTTTTGGTCGTGCTGGAAAAATGCAACTGCGTTATCATTGCCAGGGCTTTGGGTGGATGGGGCATGTGAGTGTGAGAGGAGAGAGGATCCATTACAATAGCAACCCACCAATCAGGAATTGGTTGCCCAAAAGGGAAACCAATTCCTGATTGGCCCTTTCTCTCAGCTTTGCCTGAAATGGCGATCAAAGTCAGGCAGTCAATGAAGAATGCGTTGATGAGCGTATCCAAATGACTCCGAGCAAACCGTAATTATGAAATTGGAGAGAAAATCGAATCACCTCGAACCTGCGATCCACACCTATATAAAGACCTGTCCTGTTTCTAATGTGGTATTTTCTCTTCTCCTGACCAAGCTCAAACAGCCTTATCCTCTTCTCAATATATCTCCCTCATACCGCAAGAATCTTTTCCTTTCTCTAGATTTAATCTATCGGAAATAAATCCGACGATCGATCATCATGGGTATCCTTAATACAGTTCGTCACCAATACACCAACCTCCCCATGCGTCTTACCCAAGAACAATGCTCCGGTAGGACCTACATTGTCACGGGGGCGAACATAGGCCTCGGCTTGGAATGTGCCAAGCACCTTGTACGCCTCCAGTCAAAGCGCGTGATCCTCGCTGTGAGGTCCGAGTCGAGAGGCAAAAGCGCCCTGAGCGAGCTCGAATCTGAGACGGGCCGGCCTGGTGTCGCCGAGGTCTGGTTGCTCGACCTGTCTTCTTTCGATTCTATCAAGGCATTCGTCAATCGAGTTGAGGGACAGCTCGACGGGGTAGATGGCTTGATTTCAAACGCGGCAAATGCAACTGCCGAATGGACCCTCACCGAAAATCTCGAGAGCACAATAGCTGTCAACGTGGTGGGAACCATCTTGCTCTCTGTCTTGATGATGCCATACCTCAAAAGCTATGCCAAGAGGTCGGGCACCACGCCAGTCATGTCTATTGTTACGAGTGATCTCGCCTTCGGTAGGCAGGAGGACCTGCGGAAAATGGATAGGAACAAAATCTTCAGCGATATTAGCGACAGCCGAAAGTGGTCAATTGATGGAACGAATCGGTAAGTTTTGACATATTCCTGACGGCTATGGTCCACGATCCTCGGTATGAACTTCATCTCTGGATGTCTAATATGAGCTTCATAGTTATGCATTCTCAAAGCTGCTGCAAATTTATGCTGTCCGGCAGTTCACCACGCTTGCCCCTGCTTCAAAGACAGGTGTGATCATCAACTATGTCAACCCGGGGCTCTGCAACACAGGCCTTACTCGATACTCTGATAGCGGTACAAAGGTAATGGTTGCTGTCCTTAGAGGGGTGATGGGCAGAAGCGCGGAATGGGGGTCCCGCAATTTGCTGCATGCCGTCTCTGTTGGGGAGGAGGGTCATGGGAAGCACCTCTCGTACTGTGAGATTGACGAGTAAGATACCCATCCGAAAAGAAAATTCCCAAAACGACGCTCGTATGCTAATATCTAAACAGAGGAGAACTGCCGTCATATATAACCGATGCTAGTGGTCGTGAATTAGGCGTCAAGATTTGGGATCAGCTTGTGGTGGAGCTGGAACGTGTGCAGCCCGGCTGTGTTCAAAAGGCTCTCTATGAGAATTGAGGGGTGGGCGGGGATAGGCGCCAAAGTTCCGGTGATGCACATGGTCTCGATTATCTTAGTATATCCTCAGTGGTACCTGGACGTTGGGGGTGTATACTTTAATTAATAGCTGTTGAGTAAAGACGTGGTCCCAAAACAATCGCGCCAAATCTGAGAAGCTGATTCATCGTGGAGCGAGTCAACCCAAGGATAATTGTCCAGCAACGCACGGCCAAATTTCCAGTCTGTTGTGCCGAAGACCGACATGGCTTTCATCAGTCGTGGTCTAAGCCAGCCAACGGACATAGTCTTGTCAAGCACATATATACCGGCAACAATGAGTAGCCAAACATGAGTTGCCGGGTCCACGTTAGCTAAGAATTCAGGATGATCCAGAGCGTCCTTGAGACTGTTTTTGAGAACAGGGTAAGGTATCCGCCGTTGACGGCTGATTTGGGTTACAAAAGTGAGCATGAAAGCGAGAAGGCCACGGTGGACTGCTATAGTGACAGCACCGACAAGTTGACACCCATCAACGGGTTCAATGTCGAGCACGCGATAAGTCAGGTGTGTGACGAGGTCTTGAAAAGCGAGTGGATATAGTCTGCTGGCCGGAACTGTTGCATTCAAGATGCGCGTCACCTTGGTTATTTCTTGAGTAATCATGAAAACTCTCAGATCCCCATGTACCACGGCGTTGGCTAAAAGCGACGGGGACTCGAAAGCAGGGTCATAGTAATTGGGGAGAAGATTGTCAAGTCTTTTTGTTGTCGCGCTTAGCTGAGTCTGGCAGCCCAGTTGGAGGGCCAGTTCTATGTCGAGGCTTCGCGAAAGCGTTAGTGGCTGGCTGGTAATGAATTATCGAAGAGGGAGGTTGATACATACCGCTGGGCCTTTTCTGTGAGAAATGGATTTTCTTTAAGGTGGTGTAGACCGCCCCGTAGATTGATCATTCGACACAGGCCGTCGAAATGAACCTTCGTCTGTGATGGAATCTTTCGGATGGAAGAAATAAGGCAGAGTAAAATCACAGTACATATGGCTACATCCGAGAGGGCGTGGACCCCTGATAGCTTGGCGTTGACGAGTTGCAACCCTCTCGTTAGATGTTGGGTAAACTCAGCCGAGTCCTGTTCTCGGTGGACTATAAAACTGATACATGCTTCAGACAAAGCGACAAGGCAATGGTAGTCTGCGCAAAAGCGATGAGTAGAGCTCTCTGCATCTGTGCAACGAATGGAAATACTCACATGCCTCATCAATGAACATATACCTGATCCAGATATCCTTTACAATATCGTATGGTTCTAGGCACAAATGCGGCGGATAAATCGAGTCGGCAGCATAACACATGACTGAGATTATACGGCTTGTTAGCAACATTAGATCTCCTGCGAAAGAAAGCACACACAAACAGTCATGGATAAACCGCCTTGAATGATGCGATACTGAGCATGGCATCTTGACGCCCGACAACTCATTTCCAAGCTGGACGAGTAGCTTAGGAGAGGATCTGGCTAGTGAGAAGTCGATTTCGTGGCTTATGGCGAGTTCTTGGGCGCGATTCACATCCCTGGGCTTGGAGGCAATAGCCACGACCGCGCCGGTAGCGGCCAGCGGTCGTCGTGGAGTGCGCACCTTGCCCACATTCCTGCCTTTCATAACATGGCTGCGGATGCTTCGCCGGGCCTTTTTGTCGATGGCTGAGTGGTCTACAAATTGAAAGGATGCTGGGACTGCCGGCATGATGCAATGTTGACAAGCATGTCTTGGCTCATCTGTGAGGTGAGATGAAGAGGATTAGCCCGTCGTTCCGGTCTTTTGGGGAGACGAGCAGCTGGATGATTACATAATCATACTTGCAGGGACACAGCCAAACTGTCTTACCCTAGAGCATAAAATCAGAAACTCATGAGCATACTCATACGGTCTTTTTTCATGGCATGTCGATAAGAAAGAGGCGTATTTTAGCGCTTGGCGAGATTCTTTAGATCATGACCAAAATTGGGTGTAGGCAAAATAGGTTTCAGCGTATATTTATGTCGCGTCTGGCTTGGTGACGCAACAAAAAAGTGCGTCCTGAATGCTTTTGAGAGTGGTAGCTGAGAACTATTCTTCTAGTCTAAATATTCTAGCACTGAGAGCTCACAGCTACAACTTCAGAGTGACCAGCCTCAATAGATCTGCCCTGAGCAACAGCCTGCACGAATGGGCGTTGACCTGGAACAGCAATCATCGTCTCGAAGCCAGTCCTTCTTGCCTCGCCAGCCGACTGAAGATTCTCCGGGGAGTCTCCAGCCAGTACACTCCAGGCCTGATGCTCAGTGGCACCGTTCCAACTCATATAAACCTGGGTCTGGTTGTCGGAGTGGCAAGCGAAGACATCAGGAGGGGCTGAAGGGGTGCCCACCCAGGGGAAACGGAAGGCACGGTACATCTGAACTTCATATGGCTCTCCAAACTTGACTCTCATGACAACGTTACCGTCGCTGTCGAATTCCTTCATCTTTGGCGAGAAGCCGTATCCCAAAAAGACATTTTTGTTGGGTAGAACCTGCATGTTGGCTTGGGAGCGAGCGATGACCCCATCTTCTGGGTCCACAAACTTCTGTACCAGGGTTGCGACCTTTGTGTTCTCATTGACCGAAAGGTACATCCCGGTGGTGTTGGTCAGGCCGTTATGCTCGTTGTCAACACTGGACCAAGCATTGTCCAACAGGCTGATGAGATATGTGCCGTCCTCCTCGCTATGAATGCGGGCGTCATGCTGGTAGGCAAATGCGAGCCCATTAGCAAGCTCGAAATCACCTCCGCTTTGTCCCTATGAATTAAAGTCAGCTGGGCGTCCCCTTGAAAAGGAAAGATTAAATTGGGCGGTGGCCTACATCGAGCTGCCATTGCACTGAGCCGTCTGTGCCGATTTTGAAAATGGAGCAATAAAATCTTGAGGATACTAGGTAAGAGCCGTCCTTGAATTTTTCAACCGAGTTGATATGAAAGGGACCCCAAGGATAAGAGCTGTTCTGGCCCAAGTCCTCTAGAGGATAGTACTTGAGGGCATCCCTGTACAGGATCTCATCCTCATGGTCGGTTGCTCTCCACTCAAAAATAACCTCATTGGACTCGACATCAATTTCGTAGAAAACCCCGTCCAGTACATAACCATCCTCGAGGCCACCGACTGAGCTCAAATCTGTCCGAGTGTTGTTGTACGCAGTGACGAGCATTGTGCCATCGGATGTCAGCTGGGACTCGTGCATGTCAATGTAAGACAACCAGCCGTCATCGGGCTCGACAAAACCCAAGACAGTTATGCCCTCCTCAACAGTGACGTTGGTTATACTCTCATAGTTCTTGTCTCGTACCTGGACGATGCCGTATCCCATACCCCACGGCTCACCATATGTTATGCCATGGAAATAGGTCAATACTTCCTCCCCCTTATACGGTTGAGGTTTGAAGTTTGTATAGGCTCCAATCTGGCTTGAGTAGACCAACTCCCCATCATCCGTCATGATTAGAGTAGAATAATTATGCGCAGTCGATCCTGTTTGAGTGAAGAACAGGTAGCCTTCAGCGGTGGCACCGGTCTTGGTAATTTCCAGGACGGGGGGCTGAAGGTCTGGCCTCGACTTGAAAACTTGATATGGCCATGATTCCGAAGTCTCATCAGCAGCAACTGAGGCGAGCAGTCCAAGCCCAGTGATTGCAAATGCTGAAAGAATTGGGGAAGCCATATTTGGCTATGGGACGGATGAAGTGAAGTGGTGAAAACGAGGAAGGATGGAGGATGAGGATTTTCCTTGGAAATTTATGCCCTTTGGCTGTCGATCAACTCTATATAACAAACCCATTACGGGTGTCGGCGGCTAGCTATTTAATACAGTGAAGATCGACACTCCTCGGATCGGACCACAAATGAGACGACATTAGGCGTTCACATTGTCGGTGTCGTGAGAAGGAGTAGGTGGTCAACTGTGAGTGAGCTTGTCCCCACAAAGAATAAAATTCTAGCCGTATGAGCTATTAAACGGACTGATCAACGGGAAACGAAGAGGTAGATTCATGTTGCTCGGAGAGCCGTGAACCGATGTCTTGCGTTGTTGCACCGTTCGGCTGTCGGTTCAACAAGGGACATGTGCCGACGCTACTACGTAAAGAAATTTCCGCAGAGCAGGATGGTGGAGAAGATTACAATCTGATAAGATGATCTGATAAATAGCTATCCCTATTGAGAATGAACCTCCCCTGATCTGCCGCTGCAGCGATGCTAGAATGGGCATTGGTCCGCGGGTCCATCAGACACTGAATTAGTACCCACGAGGAAGCGACTGCGCCATTTCTGAATTCTTCCTCATTAGGTAGTAGATCGACATAGAAGGATTCTTAAGTCACCTAGGACCGACTTCGATCAATTCCCCTGGTTGATTAATTGGGTTTCGCGTGGTGTTTCGGTGATCCTACCATCCGAGGTGAGCTCATGAGTAAAAAGAATGAACGGTGGGACGACCAAGCATGACAACGCTGTTTAGACCAGACCCAAGTTTAAAGTCAAGGTTGAGAATTTGAACCCTGCGCTTTGAGATGCTGCAATGGCCCACACGGAAAAGTCCGTCGCCTGTCTTCAGACTGGCGATTCGGTGTTTGTTCTACTAACTGGCACCGAGAGGCCGCATTTGGGGGATTTAATCTATCGCATTATAAGATCTTAAGCAAGCTTGGATCTATCTGCACTGAAGTTCGTCTGCCTAGAGTTACCCCGTCGTGATACACTTTAGAGTGACGCTCTCCCGTAGACAAGACACTGGCTCCATGAACTTCATCATGGGCAAATAATTTAAGTGAATGACTGAAATTTGAAGAAGCCCCGAGTCAATCTGGGGAGCACTGCTCACAATCTATTTAGATTTGCGAGCAAGGTCGCCATTTTGGCAAGAGAAGCGCAATGCGTTAGGATTCAAGATCATATTACTGGCTTTTTAAAAGTTTAACGTTTTTAAAAGCTTATAAACATTAAACAAACCGAAGCGAAGTTCAAGTTCTCATCGAGTCCCGCGAATCGTTTATCGATGCAGACATCGTGGCGGAAATTTCTTCAAAGGAACCCTCCGCAAGGGGCGGGACTGGATATTCTCCTCTGCTAAGGCATGGCCTCTTCGGCTTTTATTCAGCCTCTTCATTTCACGGATCATGGATTGAACTTGAACTGCGCCCAAGTAGTAAGTTCCACGGCCGATAGCTCGCATAAGGTCGCTGAGATTCATGTTTTGCTGCGATTCAGTTCTATCATCTTCTTTCGTCGGACAAAGTCAAGTCTCGTTCAGGATAGATCGTCTCTAAATTACATCCAATACAAAGAACAGGCCCAATAGAGTTGGCAACATAACTCTCATGTAAAAAGAAATATCTCAAACCTACCTGAAGGTGAAGACAGCCGAGTAAACTTTAGATTGTAATTTTTCACTTCCTGTAAATCAAAATGACAAGAAAAAAAAAACATATTTAAATTACACAGGCATAATATTCATGGACACGGCGTCTTTGAGCGTGCTTCATTGAGCTATTGTTTGCTTGGTCCATGCGCATTGTTATCGGCAGTTGAACAAGAGGATTTAGGAACGAGGCACTTTCTTTGTTGGCTACCTGTGCTAGCCCACAACAGCTCGGACTCATTGTATCATGATCATACGGGAATCCATTGTCGTATCATTTGTTATCGATCCAACTATGCTGCCAAAGTCAGGTTCGATACATATTCCAGATCAAGGTGTGCCTCAAAGATGGGCTGTACGAGCAATCGCATTCATTGTGTTGAGATGTCGGGTCTGGCATCTTCTATGGCTGTTTTCAAACTCTCACCAGGTACGAGCAATCGCATCTCCATTGTTGGTTGGTTGAACCGCCGCGGTTTCTGCATTCTGGAATGGAAATAAATTCCAAGGTCCTTCCTGAGGAGACTGACCTCCAACCCATTCTTCTCAGCAAGTTTCTTCTCGGAATCGTTTTGCAAGACGCCCTCTTGACAGGCCCGGTGCACTCTGCCTAATCGATAACACAGTCTCTAACAATCCTTCTCAACCTGAACCCACCAGCAAAGTCGGACTTCAAGACAGAAGCCAGACGTCAGGTTTCAAAGGAGAGAATTGAATACTGTAAAGGAAAGTCGACAACATTTGATAGTTCTCAGCAACAACCTTCAAAATGTCTGATGATTTGAGCAAGTACGGGTCGGCGCTTAACTCAAGCATTGCCGACGCGAATAGCAAGGTACAGCTGGCGGATGGAATCTTGTCCATCAGCAACCAGGCCAGCTCCGCGAATCTGGCATTGCTAGCTCGTGCCGGGTCTGAAACAAGGGAAAGGAGAGGCTTGACCCCGACTCCAGAGGGGCAAGCGGCGAAGTCGCAATACGAACAGAGCCGAGGAAACTCTTCGGAAAACATTGGGCTGATGTGGATGAAGATTAACGATTTGCAAGAAGCAAGTAAGAAGGAGGGATTCAAGTAAAGAGATACAGTCATTGTTTATGGGTCTAGGACTGGAGCTCCTACATTGGATGCTTGCAGTCGAACCTCATCATAATGTTGCTACGGCATATTGCTTGCACATTTGTGTTATTTCATCTACAGAACATGCGTGTGGTTCTCCAAGATTAACTATACTGTGCTGGGACTATGTTGCACTTGAGTGAGGGCATAGAAAAAAAATAGGGCAGATGGATCATGGTGGAGAATGGCCATCCTGATAGATCTAGAGAGGATTAGGGAATTGTGAGACTAGAAATGAGGTCGGCTCAAGCCTGCAATGTTGAAGTCTACTTAGATTAAATTTTTCCCAAAGCTTGCTCCCGGGGGTTAACAAATAACCAAAAGAAACTTACCAGGCCTCTCTTTGTTTCATTCAATCGGAACAACATGGCTAGTTAGGGACGATGATGATGTGACGTTCGAGGGTGGTGTCGACATGGAGATTTCTATAAGGCTGATATTCATGTTCCAAAAAGGCATCCTCACGCCTGGATCATTAAGCATCAAGGTGAAATCATTTTCCGGAGCATAATGGCAAGAAAAAGCAATAAGACATACGAGTTCTAATTAGTATTATGGACTGATATACACCTTATGCTTGGCTAATGCTCCGCATATTAGAAGAGAGCTGCTCGCGGGACATTCGACACGAGCTGTTACTCCCCAGGTGTCAAGTCAAACCATCGATGCAGTTGTCTAACAGTTATATAAGATTACACCTCATTATTTCACCAGAGGCTGGCTTCCCTTCGGGAGGGTAAGCTTGAAAACCAACATCTGGTTATCAACATTATAGCCCGAGGGATCCGCGAAATGAAACTTTCCAAAGTTGGTGACACCTGTTATACGGGCTTAGCTGAAATTCTGTCAACAGGCAAAGATATTACGTACCATTCTGGCTGATGAAGTCGTTGTCCGACGACGCAAAGAGGAAATATTCGTCATTGCTGTCAGCGCTGGCCCCGCCGTCCACAGGGACCAGAGCGAGACCTTCCCACTTCTCGTTCAGCAGAGAGCTGTCCTGGGCGCCTCCATTGTGCAGGCCGAATCGGTTGAGCTGGTCGTTGTTGTTGAAGTCGATGAAGGGGCAGACGGTAGCTTGGGTAATGTCCGCATTGAGAACGCCGGCTAGAAGGCGTTAGAATTAGCTTGTCAATTATACCTGCGTTCGGTCTTCCGTACCTGAGCTGGCGATGGAGGTATTAAAGCTGTCATGGGTGGTACCCTTGACGTTTGTAGCAGCAGAGATGTCGAAAATGTCGACATGGCGGTAGATCGACGTGGAACTGGACAGACCGTGCCCGTTGCCCGAGTCTCTAGGAAGGAAAAAGAACTGCGTGTCGGAGATGAAATGCAGCTCGGACTGAGCGGCAACAAGCTGTTTCCCAGTGGCGTCCTTGAACTTTGGCAGGGGCACAACATATTCAGCCTTGTACACGAGACGCTGAGTGTGCTTGCAATCCTTGATCCGGTACTGGAGCAGTCGACAGTGATCGCGCGTGCTGGAGCTGGATCCGCCCTCCTGGCGCGCTGCAGATTGAATGAGGACCCAGAGGCTCTTACCATCTGGGCTGACCGTCATTCCTTCAAAGCCCTGGTTGTTCTGGCGGCCTTGGGTTGGGTTGGCGGGCGAAGGTGATTTGGTCAGATCATAAATTGGGGGATTGTTAGAGGCGAAGCTGCCACCGCGTTAGATTATCTGATGTTTTGGATGTATAGATTGGGGGAAATAACTTACCTCACAACACCGTTTCGGAGAGGGAGCAGGGCATCAGGTGGAGCAGTGGCAGAAATCATCTTGCCACTGCTATCGAACTTGTAAATATAAGGACCATACTCGTCACTGATCCAGAAACCTCCGTCCTCGGCGAGAACCAAGGCTTCGGCATCAAGTGTGGCACGCTTGCCGCCTGGGCCGGCACCGCCAAACCCGTCACCTGGGTACGTGGCGGCTGGAACGATAGGGAAGCCGGTGTATTGAAGACCGCCGGTTTGGTCAGCATCCAGGCCAGTCAAGGGCTGGCCATCGGGGCTGGTGAGGAGAATCGAGTCCTTGTACTCAAAGGCAAGGTTTGGCGATGCAGGGTTGGCAACCGTTGCTCCCGACGCGGGTGTCAACGTGACTTCAAACTTATGGACCCGAGGCTGGAAATTGAGAGTACCACCTGTATTATATCCTCTGTCTGGGAGAGCATAGAGCAGTCCCTTATACTGGGAGCCCTGCTTGGTCCAAGAGGCCATGGCGATCGAGGAGCCCATGCTGATGGTCTCGCCGTACTTATCCAGAGCATCGCTGGGCACAGATCCGTACCCGGCAAGCTCATTGTAAGTGTACGATTTTCCCTGGCACGTAGTCGAGAAAACTGAGCCCTGGGTGGTCGCGGGCGCGCCTACGACGGCCTGAGCCGCGATGGCGAGAGCTGCCAGCGAGGAGCGGAAGACCGACATTGTGTGGGTGCTTGCTTTAGGCGTATTGTGTAAGACAGTTCTTTCTTGTCTATTGGTGCCCCTCCCTTATTATACTCGGGACGTACATCAGATAAAGTGACCTGCCCTTTGCTCTCGGAACGGCGGGCTGTGGAGTGGTTGCGCCATAGTTAAATGAGCCCCCGCCCTTCCTCTTGTCTATCAAGTGTGGGGAACAGTCTGTCGACGTCTCGTAGCTCCTCCTCTTGGCACGTGCTGGCTGGTTGCATCAGGGGTGAAATCGATTATCGACTTTCGTGGCTTGTTGTGAGGATTTGCTTACATCTAGACCATTTTAAAGCCACCCATCACATCCCCATCTACCAGCCGAGTAGAGCCAACGACGCTGCGAGAGCGACGGATCGCGGTATTTCTACGACTATTGGGGATTCTATTTGGTCTGAGAATAGAGCTAGCACTGCTCCAGATTAACAGATTGCACGGCAACTCAGATCCGGGCTTCAGCATTCTCAGAACAATGTCTAGATGGATGCAGGATGGCCGGCAAGTGGGAGGTTCTCCGAGATGCCTGGATTAATCTCCCTCTTGTGTAATAGAGTTTTCACATTACATTTTAGGTTGACTCAAGGTGGGCCGTCTTCTACACAACGTTTTCTCGCATCCTCAATGGCGAACTTCTTCACCTGATTGCCGGAGGCTATTGTATACAAAATTCCCTAACACAAATCATATGTGGCATTCAAAGGCGATCCGAATGGTTTTGCTTCAAGCTAGGCATGTGCTTAGGCTATGTCGGGTATTATTTGAGCAAGACTTCACAAGCCTTCAATAGTGTTTTTGCCTTTTATCGGGTTGGTACCTGCAAACGCGTTCAAGTGTTTATTATCCGCATGGGTGCTGTACAAGAACAATGGTACGCGAGTTCAATAGACGCTAGGCTTGTTTGATTTATTCTGGCTTAGATTGGTAAACAAAGGCTTTTTAATGATGGTCCTGTTAGATTTCTCCCATTTTGTGACCAAACATTCACCCTTCTTTATTGTACTTTAGATCGATGGGTGCAAATTGAAGAAGTATCGAAGCTATAGCTGAGTGAGAATTCTCGAAGGACGGTATTTGTAGAATAACCTTTGTTGCGGAGTGAATGAAGGCAGTGGCATGGCTACTCTGACACTTTCGTATTGATTATTTACTCCTGACGATTGATCGTCTATATAAAGAAGAGGCCCATTTCGATCAACTTACAGGAGCTCAGTCTTTTAGAAGATCTTGGAGAGCGAAATGCCATCGAACTTCGAACTTCGAAAATGGATAAATTAAGCCAGGAACTCGTCGACATCATCTGCGACTATCTTGAGAGTACCCTCGAGGGTCAAAAAACCCCAAAACTGGCTCCCTACGCCTGTATCTCGAGACAATGGAAAGCGGCTGTTGAAAGAAAGACGTTCGCATTGATGCCAATCCTCTTTCCAGAAGCTGACGATTTTGTTGCTTTAGTTGATTCCGGCAGGGCGCGCTATGTCCGAGAGGTTCATTTCCATGCCAACACCCGTTTCCCCGCTCCCGGCAGGGAAGGCAGGATAGGTCATCCGGATTATGGATATGTTGGCGCCAGCGTAATCAAGGATGTGTACCAGATCGAATTATTGGCTGACCTTGCCACCGTAATGAAACACATGAGCGAGTGGGAGATCGAATACCCAATCGTCTTCTCGATTTCGGGTACTTGCATTCGGTTTGACGAGGATTCTCCTCCTCTTGAATTCCCTATTGTCAAGAACATAAGGACATTCCGCTGCCTCATCAGAACTACAGACCCTGTTGACATATGCAAGCTCGCGACACGAATGCCTGAGCTGAGAAAGTTTTCTTTTTCGATTCCGCACCACAAAAAACGACAAAATTCCAGGTTGGCTGATGAGATAGGGACGTGGGGGGAGAAGCTGCCACAACTCGAAAGTCTAGAAATTATGGGAGAACATGACACCTTCAGTAGACAGAGACACTTACATCGAATGGGTGACATGAGAAATGAGGACGGCGTTGACAGGCTATGCCAAGAGCTGCGGCTTCTGTCGCAAAAAAGGGGCTTCAAGCGCCTGAGAACAGAGTACGTCCCGATTTCTAGGGAGCTTTTCGAAGACACACAGAATCCCACAGCCAAGATGAGCTGGCCGACTTTGGAAGAATTCACCGTTCTGTTTCATGAGATGTCCTCCACAGGTGAATGGTACCTCACAGATGAGCCCATGGGGCAGGGTCCTAACCAGGATCTCCGCTTCAAGCACGACGAAGCAGCGGTAGCTCCAATCCTTGAGCTGTTCACGAGGGCAATTAGCTTAGAGAGTAGCCCGTCATTGAAACGAGCGGGTCTGGGCTTCCAAATTGCACTTCTCGAGATGAGAACCATGTTGGCGAGCTTCGGAGAGAAGGAAGAGGAGCCTGATTTTCTTCCCCCTGATTTTCTTCCCACTTTTGTTGTCGGATATGGTAGTCTCGATAGCTTTACATAATTGTATCTCCATTGCGTATCCCAAAGGCTCAATCACCATAAGCACAGCTTAAATGCAATGTGTTATCAATCTTGGAATTTTAGGCTTAGAAAATCAGTTTTATCCCTCCTATGAAGACTTGCCTAACTCGTTTTCCTCATGACTGATCGAGCCAGCTTATTATTTGGCCTCTTTTGTCATTTGGAAGTAGACATCTCTTTCGCGCAAATCCAAAAATCGAAAAAAATAGAGAAGAATATAAGAAATTCATCCAACTGAAGTAGAACAGACCAGACCTTGTAGCTTCAAAATGGAAATCACTTTATCGCTCCGACAGATTGCACCTCGAACGGAAAAGCATGCGATGGACCCCTATGCTATCAGTCAACACCGACAAGAAATTTTGATTAATACTGAAGAGGTATAGGGGACAAGTGAAATACCTATTTAACTTGTTCATGTTTCATGTGAACCAACCAGACCCCTGGATTTCTATTCCTCTGCCTCTTCGTTCCCGTTCTTTCTTTTCTTGTTTTTGTTTTTGCGTGTCAGGGGAGTTGCCTCATCTTTATCCCACCAAAATAAAGCCGCTTGCATTATTCGAAAGTAATTAATCCAACCCACATGGCTGGAATGTAGCATCCGACCTTATCTATATCCCGCGGTTTTGGTGTCCAGTGGTCAGCGGTCGCAACATAATGGTCTCTCGCAGCTTTCGCAGATATCTTGTAAGAATCCAACACAGCCATAGACTGATCATAGATGAGGCCGGGATTTCCAGAGTCCCCTTCGCTGAAGATGGAAATATCTTCTATTCTTTTCCGGCCGCTGATCTGAACTTCCGGAAACGAATCCGGGTCCAGCCACAGATAGAAGTTCCCCATTGACTCCATATAGAGCGAGAGGGTCTGAAGATCGTCGCCTGTAACCGGGGACAGGGATGGCCCTCCGGGTGCCGGAGGGTCGATAGACAGGGTTCTGAGCAGCTCCTCGTCTACATGCCGAAACGCAGCCCTTTCAAAGGACGAGAGCACTCGGCGAAAGTTTCTGAATTGCTGGCGATCCCGCGGAAACTTTCTTTCTTGTGTTTGTGTGAGGGTCGAAATGTTGGAAGAGGCGTGCTGCTCCTGGCCGGGCCGGACGTGAGTGTCGGTCTCGGAACTTGCATTCATGACGATGAGGACGTCATTTGCGGGGTCGCAGCGCAGAGAGCGGACACGAACACCAGGGTGCCATTTCTCGGCGTAGATTCTCATGACTGCGGGATATCGCTGGCGGACTACCTGGCAGGATCCGCGGCAGGCTAGCTGAAGAGTACATAGCAGCTTCCGGAAAGGACTGTTCATCCCAGAGAAGTCTGGCGCGAGGGCGAAGTAGCCGTCCGTCATGCAGAAAGCGCCCTCCCAAGGGTTGTCTTCGTCGACGGGCCTTTCGCACGTGCCGTGACGGCCGCAGAACTGCCCCGTCTCCACGTAGCAGCTATGTTTTGTCACTGAGGCTTTGTAGTGGATTGCCACACGTATCTGGCGGTCATCAAGGGGAGGAATTGCCGCGTGCCATATCTGGGTTTGCAGTTCTGGGGGTAGCTGCGTGAAAATGGTGAATTTGTCGGCCATGGTCTCCTCTTGCGCAGGAAATCGCGATGGATTGTTTCAAGGGAGAGAAAAATAGATGGAGGTGGTGTAGACTTTTGTCTGTGTAAAGTGATCGGTTCCGCGTCACCAACGAAGTGGGCAAAGAGAGGAGGGGGCGAGCACGACGGACGATTTGGTCGATGGCGACGTACCATAAAAGATGTTGGTGGGAAGTTAGTTGGTCCTTCATTTGGGCGCACAATGGCACAGCTGTGCATTGATGCGATGCAACCGAATCAATCATCTTACGGTGGCTTCCGCCATCAAGCATCTGTGACCATTCACGAGCCGCCCAGCAAACTGATACGTAGTAATTTGTGTTCTATTCAGACTAGCGCACGCCAATACTACCGAAACTCGTTGATTAGTGGCTGTTGGTTGGGCTTAATGTTTCATCCCAGCGGCAGCAGAGCCCAACAGCTTGGCATGCTTCTTTGCCCAGGCCTGGCTCGCTCCAGTGATTGTTTCTTTTCAATGTAAGCGCCGTGTTTTTAGGGAGGCCTTTTTGAGGGTTTCGGATATGAACGTCATTTTTTGCCTCGAGCGGGGCTTTGCTGATATTTGACATTCCTCTCAGTCACCCATTCCATTCCTGCCTATACGTGCTTCCCGGCCTTGGTTTAGTTGAGTAGCAGTAATGTCGTAATACTTCTTCTCATTTTCCCACAGGAGCTTCTCATTTAATGAGCAAGGAAGCCCTGGTGGTAGTTTAGTAAAGCAGCGAAAGCAAATAAATCTTACGAATTCGAGGAATGCGTTTATCGAACCCTAGCACTCTCGTGTGTGCAGTGAAAAGGCAAGCTTCGATGCCTCAGCCGAGTTATCATATCTCAAGCTTCCGGGGCTTGGCAATGGAAAGACCAAGTTGGGTATTACGCATATTGAGACATAGGAGCCCGGGGTATGATAATGGTGTGTTCGGTTTGGATTATTTTGAGGCTATTCAATCTTGCCAACTGGAGCGAACACGCAAAATAGCTAACAAAAAGCAAATGAGATCACAGGAGGCAAATCGAAGTATGCATAATAAACAGCACTCAATCATCAGAATAATAATTCTAAATTAAAATTAATATGAGCATTTTCTGGAATAGGAGATAGGTTGCTACCGTTTTCATTTATTAGACTAGCGCAAGGCTTCTAGATGGCTGATGGATCTCGCCACTCATGACTAACCCTTGCACGTATTTTCCACGGAAAATCATCTCACGATCCGTGGAAACTAGTATCGGCACGACCTCATGCTTTGAAATCTCGGAAATGGTATTTCGCACCAACGCATTAATTCACCTAGTAGACCGAAGGCTTATCAATCGTTGGATTGTAGACCTGATTCAGGACTTCAGAAATGAAAGGTAGTGGCAACGCCAATGTGCTATAAAAACATCTGTGTTGTAGCTACTCTCAAACTTGATGACACCAAACGCTCTTTGCTAGTTTCCCATACAAAATTAAATCTACACCTCACTCAAGAACCACCACGGATTCTAATTGATATCTTATCAGCCATGGCCGCTACTGCGAAAGCAATTGTGGTTGCTCCCGATGCGGAGACCATGATCATTGCCGATGCTCCTGTACTCCAACTTCGCGACGAGTACATGATAGTCAAAGTTCATTCCGTGGCACTCAATCCTGCGGACTGGAAGCGTGTCGTCTGGGATACACTAGACCCTGGAACAAAGATAGGATGCGATTATTCAGGAGTTGTCGAGAAAGTCGGGGCTAAAGTCTCTAACTTCAAGCAAGGTGACAGGGTCGCCGGCTTTGTTCATGGCGGGTGAGTTGCTCTCAGGGATTTCAACATTATCCATCAGTTTCAATTTCCCATTGTTACGCAATATTCAGCTGACTTTGGCAATTTTTCGGAAGTGACCAAACTAATCACAACAATGGCGCATTTGGTGATTATATCGAAGTCAAGGCAGCTTTGCAGATCAAGATTCAAGATAGTCTGAGCTTCGAGCAGGCTGCAACCCTGGGCGTTGGCATCGTTACTTGCGTGAGTGACTACCCAACGACAAGAGGCCGAGGCCGTTCACTAACCTACCGCTACAGGGCCAAGGTCTTTACCAGTCGCTCAAACTTCCCCTCCCTGGATCTCCCGCCACGGAGTCGTTCCCGATTCTCATCTATGGCGGCAGCACGGCGACCGGAGTCCTTGGGATCCAGTATGCCAAGGCATCGGGCTTGACCGTCATCACGACCGCCTCTCCATCCAACTTTGAGTATCTCAAATCCCTGGGCGCAGACGCCGTCTTCGACTATCGGTCGCCAACCTGCGGTTCTGATATCAGGGCTTTCACAAAGAACAAGCTGAAACACGCCTGGGACCTCTCCAACGGCGAGCTCATCTGCACCGCCGCCCTCAGTGATACCGAGCCCAGCGTGTATGGAGTCACCAACATGCCGCAAACGGAAATATCAACGCTTAACCCCAAAGTTACCGGGCCCTTGATGACTACCGCCTATGACGCTACGGGCGAAGACTCTATGCTCATGGGGCAGAAGGTACCCGGGAAACCGGAGGGACTGGAGTTTATGTCCATGTTTTTTAAGCTGTCTCGCAAGTTGCTCGAGGAGGACAAGCTCGTCCCGATTAAACCCACTGTTAACAGTACGGGAAATGGGCTTGAGGGTGTGATCAAGGGTTTTGAGGTGCTTAAGGCTGGGAAGATCAGTGCTACAAAGCTGGTTTATACACTCTAAGGCTTTTAGTCTCAGATTTTGAGATTGTATTTCAAGCATCAAATTGGTCTAAAGGAATATCGGAAAGATACTGAATAATTACGTATTGTTGAGTTGAGCGCACTGTTCACCTCTCACCGTGCATCCTGCACTCACTCTCAAGCCATAACTCCGTGGACGAAGCTATCCCCAACAAGAACGTGCTCTTCATCCGATTCAGCCTGCCCCAACATCCCAGGAGGCCGCGGCCGTGCGTGTCCCCATTAGATGATATGAACAGAAATTTTGCGCTGAATAAACAGACATACATAAATATTTTTATTCTTAAGATCAATTTTACTCGCTTCCAATACAGCGACGCCAAATGAAGAACGAGATCAACTCTATCTCAAACGATATCTGTGTAGACCTGGTAATGCCCACCCAAATAGTCTAAAGGTAGATTTTAAGAGCTGGTTGTAACATAATGCCACCCATCCCCCTTTTTGACCAATTTTCCGGTTGAAGCGTGATGAACTCTGGTTGCGATGCCCTTATATCGAACCCCCTGGTCGTAGGAAGCCGTGGATCTGTCATCCTTACTGTCGGTTGCATGTATAGCAAACAGCTCCGCCATGTTCGAGCTCTTGACGACTTCCATGTCGAGCTTCGCCGTCTGGACAATGACAGCCACAAGGAACAGGATGGTGAGGCAGATCTGAGCCGCCAAGAACGTCAGCCATTCCCAGCGGATTCGCACATAGGTCTCCGACTTGTAAGCGACTCCGTTTGCTTTGCCTTCTTTGTCCCCATTTCTCATACTAAATTTCCGACAGATTGAGTCAGCTCTTTTCGTGGACATGATGAGGTTGGCGATTGCTGTGTACAGAAACTTACAATGCGGTCATGCCATCTGCCACCGTGTTGGTCATTTTATTTATATTCTTCCAGCTCTTGTCATCTATTTCCTCGTCTGGGGAGCCGCTTTGAAGGGAACTGAACACGTTCAGCCCTAGATTGTGCCCGTACATGCCTGCCACACCACCGCCACTGCTGGAGCCACCCGTCAGAATGTAAGTGCCGTAGCTTGCTTGGAATATAAGATTGGCCTGCAGAGTATGGTATGCAAAGTAGTTGGCCGTGACGTTGAACGTCGAGTTTCCGTGCTCGTTGGCCATGAGGAAGGAGGCGTACTGGGAGCCCTGAGATGGGCGCATTTCGTTGATCTTGACAGTATAAGCGGTTGTATTTGTTGAGGCGGTACCGTTGGCGAATGACGACTCGTAGGTATGGACACAGACGTGCCAGAGAAGCTCGACGGCCCGGAACTTCTTGCTAGGATCGGAGTTTCCATTACTGAATATAAAAAAGGCTTGGGATATCGTAGCGGGAAGTAGGTCGTCATTATTCCAATCCCCAAGAGAGTTCCATCTATCCTTGAGGGGACGCTTGATCTCCTCTGCTATCGGGAGGCGAGCGCGAGCGCTCAAGGGAGATGTTATGTTCAGCTGAATTGGGAACTCGGCTTGCAAGTCCGAGGTTACCCCTGGTAATGCTTTCCAGTACAGATATCCCAAATTGTCCGGGAGACTGGCGTTGTAATCTGGCTTGTCCCCTTCATTGGGAATTGCTGTGACGTTGAGTCGATCAGTTACGTTGCTAATGCTTGCACACATGCCTAATGAATTATACTGCGGCCATTCGCATCTGATCTCCGAGCAGGTTGGTTGAGGGAGAGGCCATGACTCATTCACTGTGTAAGTACCAGCCTGAAAGGAGCTGCGAGTCATGCCGTAGGAAATATAATATTCTACTGAGTGTCAGCACTTCCAAGGTCCATTTGGATTTCCTCCACGAGGAACAGATTTTACCCTTCTGACTTGGATCGTCGTATGTAAAGGAGTCTGGATACGATCGGAGAATGGGCGCCGATGCGATGGCCTTTTCCGTAACTGCAAATCCGCTTTGGTATGAGATGGCCGACTGAGTGACAAAAGAAGTAATAAGACCGGACAAGAAGACAATGGCTGCCACCCAGGTGAAATAAAAGAACCTGTCAACCGAGATTAGCTGCCATCTTCTACCGACGTTAACCGCCCGCCTACTCGCCTCCCTCGTGCTTTAACAATCAGCATCATAGCGCCCCACGGCCCTCGACTCGCTTGATCAAAATTATACATGTCGTTTAGCGGCCGTTCGCAGTTTGCAAACCAGTTCCACTTGAGCTGCGAAATGGCCTCCGCCAGCGGAATAATGGTCATCGAGCGACATATCGTAGCCAGAAACGCCAGCAGAGTATTCAGGGTCAGATCCATCGGCCACTGAGGCATCGGCTTCCCATCGAAATGCCTGAGGACAGCGACAATGGCAATGAGAACGCCAATGGTCAGAAAGCACCAGATGATCTCCGGAGCCCAGGCTTTCGTGTAGTAAGTGGCATCGACTGGCTGTTTAGGCTTGGTGTAAAGAGGTATTTGCGCTTCGGCAGAGGATGTGAAATCATCACGGATGGAGGACAAGAGAATCTCATCATCTTTGCTTGCGAGGGGAGTCCTGGAATCAGATGCGTATTTTGGCTGGCGAGCCGATGGCTTGGGAGTCGTTGCCTTAAGCATGTCGAGATCACCATGTGAGAAATGGAGGCGACCTTTTGGATTTCGAGAAAATGATGTGTTAGGAGAGGCCGCCAAAAGCGATCGAAGATATCGCTTATTTCGGGGTTACGTCCTTATGTAGGATCTGGGGACCGCGTACAGGCATTGAAGGACGTGGAATATAAAAATAAAACCAGAGAAAGGAGTCAAGTACACCACAGAATGATTGGGTACATGGATCTGCAGCGAAGAACTTTTGAGCATCTGATGCTTGGCGCTGTCTGATGCATGTTAGTACGGTGACAGTTTTCAGCCTTAACCCACTGTCATCTCGGATCGCTAAGGCTTATTTGCGTCCTGCAGGGGCCATAGGGCCAAATACCCGGTGATAAAAGACAAAAGTGGTAACAAGATGCATGTGGAGGACAATTGAAGGGCTGCTCGAGCTTTACGCGACCACGATGATCCATATGCGGTCGCTGTCAAGCGCGAGCTGAGTCCGAGCGAGCCAATGGGACGCTGCCAGCTATGAATTGTTGCAGGGGCTTCGGACAACCAGCCAATCATGCGTCGTCGGATCAAGGTAGAGATGCATTACATGGCTTAACCTCATATTCAGATACCCTGTTATTAGTTTAGTTGTTAAGGGTTTGTAAGTACACGTTCAATTGATTAAAAATCCCGGTACAGACTGCGTAATTATGACTGACTCAACAGAGTCAGACACATACTTATGTCAAACGAGGCAGTATCATCTTTGGACTATATCCGCCGAGTCAACATCTGAGAAAACAACACGTTGACAACATTCACTGAAGCCTGCCTATTAAAGGTTAGAACTTGGCGTAGCTTTAACCCACGTGGAGTTTTGTTGCTGTGCGCAAGGATCAAGCTGATTGACTAGGGACGAGCGTACGAAGGAAGCTGTGTATGTGGCAGCTAGGTGAAAGAGTGTAGAATAAATAGTGTTCTGAGGAGCGGCTCGTCCTGACAGCAAGTGAGTCATCGGTATGAAGGTTTACAGAGTTTTCTTTCTACATTAGCAGAGCTTATTTTTGCCCTTTTTTGTCATTGTACTGATATGTCGAGTCTGGCCTCTCGCATTGGCTTTTTACTTTACAATCAAACTCTCTCTCATCCGAAGTCTGGAATGTCAAGTGTTAGCTAACCTGGCATGGCTTCATGCTGTTCCATACAAATTATTGTCACCGTTGCAAATAATTGAATTAATTGAATCAAGTAGCTTCATTCCAATTAGGACCTATCCAACTAAGTAAGTTATTCCGGATCTCGCAGCACATTTTCCGATTATGAATAGCATGGATCCCAAAACAGTCCAACTCTAAGCCCATAGCGTCTGCTCCAGCATAGCGTTGTATCGGCCACCGTGAATGGTGAAGGACGAAATAATGGCATCGATCTGGGCCTTGACGTCGCTGGGAAGCGCGACAAGCTTTGTGTTTTCTTCCACCCGTGGGGCAGCAGTTGCTCCAGGAATGGGAATGATAGCGCCTGCGGCTTCGGTGTTTGCTGTGGCCCGTACCCAGGCCAATGCTAGCTGTGCAGGCGTGACATTCTCATGTGCAGCTACCTCCTGGAGCTTTCGAACGAGGTCCAGGTTCTTGTCGAAGTTTTCAGGCTGGAATCGGTCGAGGTACCGGCGGATATCACCTTCGGGAATGTCGGCAGGACTGCGAATTTGGCCCGTGAGTAATCCACGACCGAGAGGGGAGTAGGCTAGGATCGGCACTCCCAGCTTCTTGGCCGTTGACGCCACACCGTTTGTCAGAATGTCGGTGCACCAAAGAGAAAACTCGACTTCAACGAGGGTCAGAGGGGTGAGTGCGTGAGCCCTCTCCAGCGTAGCTGCGCCGATCTCGCTTAGTCCTATACCGCCAATCTTGCCTTCGCTAACAAGCTCCTGCAAAGCTGACAGCGTCTCCTCGAGAGGCACACTTGGGTCGCGACGAGAAGGGCCATAAACGTCGATGCTCTTTGCGCCGCCGAGAACGGTCAGGCAGTTCTCGACGCTTTTCCGTACTCCGTCACGGGAGCAGTCTGGCACTAGAGTCTTGAGATCTGCGCAGCCTTTGATAAAGAGTGTGACTTTGGCTGCGTTCTCGGGGTGGGCCTCGAAATAGCGGCGAACAAGCTTCAGACCCGCGAGGGGATCTTCTGTGCCGTAAAACTCGGCGGTAGACCATATGACAGCGCCATTGGCAATTGCTGCCGACAGGGCAGGGAAAGCTTGTTCATCTGGGGTCAACTGGGCTCGCCATGTGAGTCCCATGAGGCCGTAGCCAGTGGCGTTGGAGATGGTGAGGGGTGAAGGAGCCATGTTGTATGACGGATGAATATGTAAAATCTTGCTGGGATGGCTTTCAGTCTAGATCAAAAGATAGTTATTTGCTTGGTGTTTAGTGTTTGAGTGTTCAATATTGAATTGTTAAACCGAGGGCTGGTTCACCTCTTGGTCTTATAGAGCTGGAACGATCCGGAGTTAGGAAATAGTTTGGCTAGTGCTTCCCTGTCATCACAAGATGATGATAAAATATCTAACGTGGTCTAACGGCTTAAACCCGAAAACCTCCCCACGGAAGAGTTGCGATACGTTGTCTCCCGGCAATATTTGTATCGGGGATTGGTTTATGTTCGGGCCCGGACGGCGAAAGTGCTGAACGGATCCACCAGTTTGCCTTATTCCGGTCCGCCAATTAGGTCCTCTTATCTCATTCTTTGGCTGCGTATATCGCAGTGCGGACTTACAAATAAAATATATAAACTGCCGCCATTTGCACTGCCAGTGAACGATGACGTACTCAAGGTTTTGATCTGCCGTTAAGTCCGACGATGCTCACCGTTTCGCTCTCCCAGTAGATGACATTGACTGCCGAAGGGACGAACTGCCGAGTCATCACCCCTCCTAGCTCAATCCTTCGCTTGACCTTATAGTGTGTGATTCTTCCTTCTTTCTTTACAATGATAAGCTCAAAGTCTACAGTTTTCAGTGGCGTCCGCCGCTAGAGCCATCAAATGACAGACAATTCAAGGCCATATTTCCAACAAGCAACATTGTGCTATGGCTTCAAGGCAGATTCGACGCTCACCCAAGCGCCGACCCAAAGAGGCTTCGCGAGGGCTCTATAACGACTTGAACACAGCAGCCCCTGCAAGGGAATATTGGTCGCGGCATATTCAAGATCCCGTGCTCGACTAATTAGTGTCCATGAAGCTTCACATATGTCCCTGCAATACCCTACAGCATAGGATGCAGCTTTTGTCGAACATCGGTAAGCAGTTCTGGAAAAGACTATGGCTAGCTAATTCCCTTGGCCGCTTTCTAGAACCTCCAGCAAGACCGCGGAATACTCAAGGGCGTACTACTCGGCCTGAATGCAAAAATATGATTTTTTTTTTTATTCTTTATTCAGACAAACGATCGGTGTAAGCCGCCCGTTTTGTCAAGAGCATATTGACGTGCCAATAGCTATTTCAGGGATCTTGCTCATCTCCACAGCAGACAGGGAGGTCAGGTTTGCACTTATTGCTTACCGCAACGAGAGACAACAAGGTCAAGCCTTGCAAACTAGCTGTCGCATCAACTGACAATTAGGTTAAACCCACATGATAATTCGTTTTCATGAGAGATTTCCCTCACTGTTGTTGCTAGGGGCAATAGCGGAATTCCGTCAACTTAGAACGCTCGTTTAGATTAGTACTACCAAGTCTTGTAAGCATTAGGTGTCAATTGTCCTGAAGAGGTTAGAGGGGAAAGGCACATACCGGACCTTCAAAGACGCCTAAAAAAAGATATGGCTTGTCGCAAAGCCCCGGAAAAAATGTTTCCTTTTCTCATTCCAGCCCATCACCACTATCGGATGCTCGGGAACACCTTGCATTAATTGATCATTTACAACTGAAAGCGAAAGAGACGATGACCGAGCCTTTTGATAGGCCTCAACCCTCGCACCAGAGACGGACACGACCACGGGTTGCGTTCTCATGCGGACATTGCCGCTCTGGTAAACTTAAATGTGACAGGAAATCGCCGTGTACGCAATGTGAGCGCAGAGGCCGCTCCGCCGAAGAATGCGTCTATGAACCTCTTCCAACCAGGATGCGAAAGTCTCGAAGCATAGCCGCTAGACTTGACCACATTCAAGGTACAGTGAGAGAGATGATACAGGATTCCTCGACTGATAGATCTCAACAATCCCAAACTGAGGGTAGGGTTGTCATCGGAGGGCAGGGCAAAAGCAATTATGTGGGAGCTACACACTTCATGACAGTCCTTGATGACGTATGCTATTGGCATGTTCCTTTTATTTCGTCTCTTTGTTGACACGCACCCTAGTTGGAAGACCTTAAGAACTTCTTTGATAATTCAGATACCGAAGATGAGGATATATTGAGCTCGACTTCCAGCCCAGAAGAACGCAACCTTGACAGCTTTCTCCTATCTCAGGGTGCTTTCAAGGGGAAGCACGACCTCCTAAGTATTTTGCCGCCTTTCCAGGTTCTCAATAGCCTTGTGATGCACTATTTTGCCTCCCGGGCTCCTTCAACTGGTAGGTCTCAGATTCCAATAAAAGGTGCCATATGTGATAACAATGACTAATGGCCACATAGTTGTCATTCATCGCCCAAGTTTCAATAAACAGGTACCAGATATTCAATAACAGTAATTATTAGTTGTTGAGCTAATGAAGTTACAAGTACCGATCGTTTTGCCGGAATCAGGCTGGGGCCAGCTATGAATTTCTGGCCCTTATCTTCATGATTCTAGCGGAGGCCACTCTCTTCTCTAGTTCTTTCTCTTTTGAGGATATCTTAGCTGAGAGACAGACTCGCCCAACGGCCCGTGTGAAAGCTTATCGCTCCGCGGGAATTGCGGCTTTGACTGCAGCCAACTTTACATCGCCCTCATTAGAGACAATGGCGCCCATGCTACTGCATCTTGAGGCGGAATTCGTTCTCAGTCGTTCTACTCCAATAAGATGCTATCTACTAAGCTCAACATGCATTCGTCTGATGCTACGATTGGGGCTTCATCGTGATCCTTGTCACATGCCCAATATCAGCCCTTTCTCAGGCGAAATGCGCCGGCGTATGTGGCATTTCGGTCTACAGATTGAGATGCTAGTCAGTTTCCAGATGGGGTTGCCAAACATGGCCAATGGTGTTGAGAGTGATACAAAACTGCCCAGAAACATAAGTGATCAGGATCTGAAAGAAGACCTGGATGAATTGCCACCTAGCCGGCCTGATAGCGAGACTGCCCCTCTCACTTATTTTATCTGGAAAACTACAATTGGTCAGATCTTCTGCTCTGTCGCGAAGAAAACAAACTCCCCTGAACCCATGAGCGACACTGAGGTGATGCGCCTGGACCGCAAGTTGGAGGATGTATGGGAGCAGGCACCTTCGTTTCTGAAGGTCCGACCGCTGGAGGAGAGTATCACTGACGACCCGCTACTTGTGATGGAGCGGTTCAGCTTGGCGTCTGTGTACCATAAGTCGCAATGCGTCCTCCATCGAAACTATCTGCTGAAGAAGGGCTCAGGGAATGCCTATAGTTATTCCAGATCTGTTTGCCTTCGAGCGGCTCTTAGACTTTTGGAGTGCCAGAAAATGCATTTCGAAGCCACAAGGCCAGGAGCCATGCTGTTCCAATTCGCATGGTTTCTGCGGCCGATTCTCATGGGCGACTTTCTTCTCGCTGCAATGATCGTTTATATCAGCCTCCAGCTCCCCTCGAGCACGGAGACTACGAACGGGAAATCCCTCGACAAGCCGGAACTCTACCGTATTTTTGAGGAATCGCTTTCGATTTGGAGGAGCATGGCGCAAGACGAACCTAGCTACCGAAAAGCGGCAAATACTGTTTCCAAAATGCTGGGCAAGGTGGAGAGGTACCGTGAGCCTGCGGAAACGAGTGATCTCCATCCACACGGAACCATGGGTGAAATCAACAATTCTTGGACAGATGGGGAGGCTGACGTCCATTTTGCAAGCCAACATCAAGCAGATGCCAACTCTATGGGGATCATGTTAGATCCTCGATTAAATATTAGGCAGATGTCGATTCAACACACGAACGACCTCGACTTTGATCCCTGGTTATCATCATCCGATGAATCGTTTAGTTGGGTAGGTGTCAACCATAACCCCTAAATTTCAACATTGGATTGCTGACAGTACGTTTATGTAGCAAAATCTCGACGATTTCATGCGCCTAGACGGCGACTCCCAGACTTGGGGAATGGACGAGCTTAGCCCTGACTCTCTTCCGTCTTAAACAAATCTACCCTATGATAGATATTGTTAGAGGCAACGAGGAAGCTGCCGACGTAGGCTAGGTTGTGATTTGTTTGTATCGAATTTAAAATCTTCGGCTACATCGTTGTGGGAATTGACTGGTGCAAGAACGATTCACTGTTTGGAGATAAAGAGATTCATCCTCCTGGCAAGAAATAAATACGTCACGAGCCTTGACGGTGCCATCGTAGGAAACCTGCGCTACACATCTCTTAGTCACTTCATCCCATGGGAGAAGAGATTGCCTCGTATAACACACCTCATTCCCGACTGGTAAATTTTACTCGGTGTTTGCTAATAATAACACGGCAATCCTCATAAACAGCCGCCACTAGCCTTGGTTGGTGTTTCATTCATGGCCTACTGAGACGCCCAGCCCTGCAACGCGGCGATCCGTGCTTCATTTCCCGCTCGGATATCCGAATACTGGCACATCCACCTTGATTTTGACAAAAACACCCCGCTAATACACTTTTAGGTATAGCTTACCCCTTCAACTTGTACATTTATCGCAGTTGACTGTTGGATTATACATCGCGAGAGCCAGTTGCTGGAAGCCCAGCCTAGCTATCGCATTAACCGCTGAATTCGTTGTTCATCGCGATATTTAATTATTGTTTGTCTATATAGTATTGTACGCGTAGTTGTCTGTCAATAAACACAAAAAATTAGTAAAGTACCTACCTATACGAGTGGGTAAGAATACGCTATGTCTAAAAGGGTACTAACGGGGTGTTTTCGTCAAAATCGGGGTGGATGTGTCAGTATTCGGATATCCTACGTCTCATCAAGAATTGTCCACAGTACCAAACTGATCAGGTCAAATCGATGTTAATTCAAGTTTGATCTAGTGATTTGCATAAACCCTGAAGTGAATCAAACAGACCCATAACACATTGCAACGCTTGCCACTTTCTTGGAATTATAGGTGTATCATCATTTGCTCACTGTTCCGTGGCGGCACCTCGAAGGATTCGGCCGGTTGAATGCTTCTAGCTAGCCTCTGAGACGAAACCCCTAAGTTGGTTCTCGGGCTGTCATACTATGCCTGTATCTCTTCCATCTGTAGCTATTCCTTCTTTGCAATCACATTGACGTTCGTTCTTTATCTTCATTCTTTTACCTCCTCATTCCTTTAAGACTGGTCCCTCATGGCAACTTTCAGCAAGAGCCTTGCCACCATCATACTGGCGGGCTCAGCCTTCGCGGCGCCAGCTTCGTCGCCCGTCGACAACACGCAACCCGTGGGAGAAAACCCAATCGGCCAGTTTTCGGTCGAATTCCTCGGAAACCAGGTCGCCGACAACAGCTGCAGTCACCGAGATCTTGGATTTGCCGGCCATATCCAGGACAAGTGGTACGCTGTCTACGGCGACACTTTGTGGTGCGCGCCCGGCATATCCGATCAGGCCGCCGATACTGATGGCCAGTTCCACGGCATGGTGAGGGACTCGGTCTCGGCATTGACCGGCAACCCACTGGTTGTCCATGATTTGTTCCTGAATGACGATTCTCCCGTTGCGCACCAGAAGCAATTCGTTCCATTCGAGGGGAAGTGGGGAGAGGACAGTCTGGTTGGGTTTGGCGGTACCGGCCTCGTTGAGACGAGTTATGCCAACGCCACTGGCGCCGTCTACTACCTCGTCGTAAGATGCCTCTACGTATCCAAATTTCAAATTTTCGAGGGGCAGAGAATTAACCGCAGGAGCTTCGTTTAATAGAACCACGCTGAGGACTACCGAGGAGCAGGAGTCGCCAAAGTTCAAGTCACCGATGGTGTCCCCGCCGTCACCGAACGCCTTGGTGACAATGGATATTGGTGGGATGCAAAGGAGAACCCAAAGTACGGGGATGTGGCAGCATATCGCGATATCCACAGTGAATACATCTACATTCTTGGCAACCCTCCCGGCAAGATCACTTCGTGGCCAGACAACGCGTACATCTACCAAGCCCGTGTCAAGGCCACTGATGCCTTTGACCTATCCAAATACGAGTACTGGTGGGGGCGAGAGAAAGGTTGGAAGTCTGACCTCTTGACTACATTTACTGCCGAGACTGCCGTTCTCTGGGGAGCTGGTCAAGGACAGATTGTTTACAGCCAACACTTCAAGACTTATTTCTACGTCCACCTCCGTACGTTATTAATCATCATAATCCCCTGCCTAAAACTATTCCCTTGGGTTGGATTTAGTAGATGAGCTAACCTGTGTCTTTCGAACATTTTAGAAGGCGTAACGGTTTTGCTACGCTCCGCCCCTTTACCGGAGGGACCTTGGTCAGCGGCCAGAGAGATCTACACGGCTACCCCGATTAATGATGGTCTGGTCTATGCTGGGGTCGCCTATCCTTATCTTGACGAATCTGGAGAGACTCTGACAATGGCATTTACTAACAACAACCACATCCAAGTCATCCGAGTGACTTTTGCGTAGTGGACACGAAGGAAGGACAAGTATGGCTAGAGCTAGGATAGGTTACGGATAGCCAATTAGTGCATTGTAGCGGCTATTTGTCTTTGCGTAATAATAAAATACGACCCATTCGTTTGCAGTGGGCAAAACCGAAGTTGTCCAAAGGAAGATGGTCGGCAGGATAGGACCACGCAATGTCCAGAGACGATTAGCTCGTCAATGAAACAGATGAGATGACACTCGTCGTTCTTTCGAGTAGTGTTGAACTTCTTGCGGTCTTGGGTATAAGAATTTCTCGTTTCCTAAGCTGGTCTTTATGCACTTTTGGCAATAATAAAAGTAAGATAGATGTCTAGCTCTGTGCATGTTAGGGTTATTCGTCGGGAAAGTGGGAATTAGACCATCAATGCCGGGGAAGCCGTAAGTAAGGGAGACCCGGCTAGAATTTGAACGACAGCTGGTTGAACTATGGCAGCATCGTGGTGAAGATGCAGGAATAAATTCCCCCTTCACATTCACGAACGGCCTGTCTCGAGACTTTTGATAGGAGAATAGACAGTGGGAGTTGAGGAGAGAGAAGCCACGGCCTGCAGATGCGTAAAACTGAGAGTATTCTGTCTCCAAATTTGTCCTCTGTGAGTAAGCTTGCTTTGACGCCGCTGCCAGGTCTTCCGAATGCGAAGATGATACATCTGTAGCTCTAATGCCCCGGACCAGAGTTTTGACGTGGCTTAAGACGGCACAGTAACCCAAGAAGCCTCGAAACTTGACTATAATGACAGAAGTGATGGAAGCACAGACACAACCACAATAGGAAGACTGTAATTGGGAGATAGGAGCTCTTTTACATCTCTGATTTTGGGATTTCATATCACAGAAGGTGAAATGTAGGGAAGCATAACCAGTCGGACCGTTCCTTGAGTGCATATTCCACACCCACTACCCAGCTAAAGGGACCATTAAGAGAGAGTGTTTGCCCTTGATCCAGGAACCCTTGACATGATCGGGCGATTTTGGCTTTCGACTATCAGAATCAATCTTCTCTTGGAGACCAATGACTTTCACGTCTCCCCGGCTCACAGTTTAGCTTCTGTACCACCAGGTGCTCAAAATCCTAAATGGCGATCACCAACTCCCCAACCACTGCCAGTCTCACTTTGCCGTAACCCTATATCGGACAAAAAGACCAGTCTGTGGCCTCTGATCCAAACTTCGATGAGTCATGCTACAACTGGCCTACCTCAATCGTCTTAGCACAAGCCTGATGTCTGCCTACTATTCAATGTCATGACGGTGTTCTCAATCCCTCGGCAATGGTACCAGATCATGAAGTAAAGCAGCTACGTTTCCATATATTATTCTTTCCCAGCATGGTATTTTGCCACCATTGCATCATCACGCGCTTCTAACAAGCATTTTTCACATTTGTAAACAAATCCTGTCGTCTATTATCTAATGTACCCCTCCTTGACATATCTTCACCGTTCCCAATATTTTCCGATAAGCGACCCCGCACGTTCTCAAACCAACCAGTCAAGATCGTGCGTCTTCTTCTCGTTTGCGTTTTAATACCCTGAAGTGGGATAGACAGGACGACCGACTACGATCCAAAGCTCGAGAAATATCTAGCCAACTCAAACCCTGGCTTTTGAATTCTATCAAGAGGCTTTTTTCCCGTTCCGACCATGGACTGCGGGGGCGAGAATGGTCCTCCTGCAGTGCTCCCCAACGAAAGTGACAGCCGCTTTCAGAACGTCCGACTAGCTTGGATATTTTCCTACAGCTTAGTCCGTTCTGCTTTCCATTTCTCAGCACCGCATCTTCCGCTTCCGACCACCAGCATGTGGCTCTGACTCTGGGAGTAGTATCGCCAACAACTGTTTCCCAATGCTTTCTACGGGCTGGGTTCTGATGCTCGCACAATTTGGGAATTGCATCACAGGTGCTATTCGAAACTCCATTCTCTTGTCTACTCTCCCGCCTGAGATAAGACCACCGCTGTATGAGTGCAGCATAACTCCGTCTCGGAAACGCTGCAAGAATAGACCGGTTACTCAACCCGCGTTGTTTCATTTCAGATAAAAGGTTGTCGTCTTTTGCCGACCACGGCTTCCGCCCATATGGGTGGTTTCTTTGCGTGATATTCGATTTGCGCCGTTTATCAAATCGTCTCGGCGTCATTGTGGTCTTTCTTCTTTGGTTCGGTATTCTCAACAACCAACCAAGTTGTAAGGTGGAATAGGGGGAATGGTGTAAATTAGGTAAAGAAAAGTGCTTCTCCGGTGCAATTTATGTTCTATCAAGAAATATGATTGATAAAGAGGGGCCATACACAATTGATTATGAACATCACAGCCGATTAACCTGACTTTGTTGTGCGCCTTTGCCTTTGTTCAATGCATGAGTATCTCCCCCAACAATCACAGGACAATTGAATGATAGATGCTCTATTTTGCAGTTTATGCAGAACATACGATATCTGAATATCCACGAAAAAAAAACCGGCGTTTGAATTCATTTTCTGGAACATGAGACCTTTGTGTAGAGGCCTCGCATTTTGACGTAATCCAACTCTCCTCCACAGCCACTGCTGTTATCATCCTATTTCACCGTGGTCGATTAGATACCACTCCTCTGAGTAGAAATCACAACCTGCAATTGGATAAAGTGAGAGGGAACTTCTAGATTCTGTAGGTAGTATACAACCTTGCGCAAGGCGCAGATGCGTTTCCAGTCGCTAGGCTCCTTGCTCAGTTTTTTCGTCGGATTCACATTGGGAAGAAGCTCTTTATGGTTGATTTATCCCCTGTGTTGTTTCTATTGTCTGAACTAAGACGCTCTGAGCCTGACCTACCAAGTGGATGACAGGAGAAATGAGACACCTAATGGAAGAGTCAGTGATAAACAGACTACTTTCTACAATCAATAGAGAAATTCAGTAGTATAAAATGAAATGAAGTGGTAATATCCGCTATATTGTCTCTGTGGTATATATTATTAATACTCAATAATCTGATAATACCGATCGCAGACTTGAAAATAAGCAGCTTAATGTTTGAGTGTCTCAATTTCAATGTCACCCACTTGCCTACCTAGTGAGATAGCCACAAGATTGACCCCTCATCGGTCGGGCATCTCCCTTCCAATTTGGGCATGGGCCAAGACACATGGCATGATAATATCCGATGTTTGGAAAATCATCATCCGGGTTTCGGACCTGTCCAAGTTCCCGATTGGATACTGGGATCAAGTTATCCAGCTGGGTTTTTGAAATGAGGGGCTGGTATATTGAATACGACAAAGGTAGAAAGTGGCGAGACACAGCGTGTTGTTTGATTGATTGGAGTCTCTGGTTTCTTTGATGATAAGTTCGTGTGAACATTAGACAAGTCTTCTCTTTCAGACGTTTATTCTTTCAATCATAATCTAGTGTTAGAGAACTTAGTTACAAGACAACAACTCAGAGACAATGGCGACCATAACAGCAACCTACCTCAGCAATGTAGACACTCGAAAGACATCTGGCCACGGTGATGGTGCCGCAAACACCGTCAACTTTAGCCAGATGGAGGCAACAGACCCCAATGCCGAGGGCGTTGAGCAAAACGGTGTCGAGGTCCAACTTCAGAAGATACCAACACCTCCCGTCTTCAGTGACATGTACGAGAAGCGAGAGTATCTCAAGGGCCGCCTTGCTCTGGCATTTCGTCTGTTTGGAAAGTTTGGCTTCGATGAGGGTGTCGCGGGCCACATCACGCTCCGGGACCCAGTGATGCCAGACCATTTCTGGGTCAACCCCCTCGGCCGGGCTTTCGCGCTCATGCGGCGCTCTGACCTTATCCTCGTGAACAGCGAGGGAGAAGTCGTGGACGGTGGACCCAACAGGCTGCTCAACCGGGCGGCGCATATGATCCATCACGCCGTCCACGCTGCGAGACCGGACGTTAATTGCGCCGCTCACTCGCACAGCATCTACGGTCGTGCGTTTGCCACCCTCGGTCGCCCAATCGACATGCTCACACAAGATGCCTGTGCCTTTTGGCGCGATGTGGGTGTCTATCGCCAGTTCAAGGGTGCTGTCCTCGCAGCCGAGGAAGGACAGAACATCGCGCGGGATCTTGGCAATCGAAAGGCTTGCATTCTGCAAAACCACGGCCTCCTGACCTGTGGGTCAACCGTGGAGGCTGCCATCTTCTGGTTCGTGTCGCTTGAAAGATGCTGCCAGGCCCAGCTCATGGCCGAGGCTGCGGCTACGAAGCCGATACCCATCGACGAGGAAGACGCAGAATTCACGTACAAGAGCGTTGGTTTGGGTGGTGTAGGATGGTTCAGCGCCCAGCCTATGTTTGACGTGCTCAGTGAAGAAATCGGAGATGCTCATTTGAAATAGACCCCTCAGGACTTTGAGGTTCGGAGAAGAGGGAATACATATACCTATCAGCTCAAGGTTGTTGGAACTTGTGAGCCATCTATAACTATCTATTGACAATTTGGGTCATCTCTTTGCTCCACGTGCAGCGTAATCTCATCGCACCCTTCTTTAACTTCTGCATCATGGCGAATCAAGCCACTCGATGAATCGCACACATACAACTTGTTTCTCGAATTGGCGCCACACTTCATCACACCATCCTCATCCACACATGTCAGTTTGGAAAATGAACCTGTAGTGCCAGAAGCTTTGTAAATATACACCAAGCTGTTATTGCTAGAGTGAACATTGAGAAATAGGTCCGTTAACACATCAGTTGACGCCCACGTTTGGACGTAACCATCAGTGGTCAGTTCGAATGGAAGAAGATCTTTACCCCCGCTAAGATCGATGGACAAGAAGTCACTATAGCGATATAGACCATGCTGATCTTCGGACTCTCCGATAGTGACATTCAAACTGATCGGGGTGGCTGTTGCGCTGCAGGGCCTAACTATGGTTGAGGGCTCTGAGGTGGGTGTCGTAATCGCCGAGGAGGCTGACGTAGTAGTCGTTGGAGGTGGCTTCTCACGGGTAATACGAAACCATGGCGAGAGTTTTATCTGCCAATCTTTAAGGTTGTTAGGATCGCCGAAAGTCCGGAGGGCTCGGCAGAGGATTTTGTATTCTCCCGCTGGAATGTCTCCTCCATGTGCGAAGACATTCTGCGGGGGAGCATATACTGCGCCGTTGTTACGCGGATAATTCCGAATAGGAAAGCTCGAGACAGTGCCGGAAAGGCCTTGGGGTGTGGTCTTGAATGAGCCGTAATACTTGGCTTCTCCGGGGACTGCAGGATACGACCAATCCTCTTCAGTCCAATCTCTAGCGACAAACTAGAAGGTTGTGTCTTAGTTACGCTCTACTCACTGATAATACTACTCGTAAACGTTGCACTTACATCGAAACTGACTTCTCGTGTTGCCCAGAGCATATTAAAGTAAGGCGTAGGGACGTCGCCACCCTCTTCGAATGTGTAGTTATGTCCTTCCTCGATGACTCCGCCGTATCCGCTGAGAAGAAGAGGGACGCCACGCTCTAACTCCCAGGTATCGCTTGCATATACGGAACCCTTGATGCCTTTCCATATGTAAGAAAATGTTTCAACGTTCGGGAAGGACCGCTTACCCATGTATGTGACACGGACGACCTCGCCGTGGCTGCCGATCACTTCAATGGAACCTCCATAAACTGGAAGCATTAGTGGATCAATATCTGAGGGTTCAGTAAATTTAACAAAGAAAGATGCAGTTTCGCCGGGACTGACTTCGAGCTCCGACTCTGAGAATTCAACGGTAGCTATACTGCCTTCAGCAGTCGAGTAGGGAGGATCATACCCAACCCAGGCATTAGCTTGCGGCTTTGTATGAATAGTGATTCCCGGGCGATGGTTCAGTTTATATTTCACGCTCTCGTCTCCAGAATTGGTTATCTTGATACTGTGAGAAGCCGAGAAATGGTCGGTGTCGTTGAGATTGAGAATGACAGGCTCGATAGAGGTGCCATATTCTATGACCTTGATGGCATCGACCAGGCCGGAACCTTGCTGTGTAACCGAGCTATTTTCTCTCAGATTCTTCTTTCCATACCTATTTAAATTGTGGATTGAACGTACGCGAGGTTGTCACTGCCGTCATAATGATAGATTGGTTTCCCGCTGGCCACAATCCTCCTGTGAGCGACCAGAGCTCCTTCAGACCCAAGCGCTGCACGGCCGCCTTGAGAGCCAAAGAACAGGGCGGCAATTCCTGATATCTTTATATTGCATTCATTAGCTGAAAGGGCCCATGCCATCATGGAGAAGAAGCACCTACGTATGGGGTTGCCATGCTTGTGCCAGATAAGGTTGACCAACCTCCAGACCCAAGTGGAAAGGTGGAAAAGATGGACCCGCCTGGAATACAGTGAGATGAGTGACATTGAGAGAATAATGGGAACATGACAGAAGGTACCTGGTGCAGAGATCTCCGGCTTTAATCGTGAATCTAAAGTCGGTCCCCTTGAAGTAAAATCATTGATCCGCCCAACGGCGTACCCTTCAATACCGACACCAACAGGTGCATTGTCATTCACAAAGTCAAAGGTCACGTTGTGTCCTTGTTCGTGTTGGCTCACGATCCAATCGCCGTCTTCGTAAGTGATCAGCCCAACTAAGCGCACCAAAAAGTCAGCCTCGTCCGTGATTATGGATTATCACCATAGCTTCGTTACACAACATACATCCTTTCGGTTGTCTATCGGGGTCATAGTATGCTCGAGCGGGGATCTCCCAATCTGCGCCCTCAAAATTGTAAAAGAAGACATAATTTGCTCTCCCAATAAGGTAGCTATCATGGAGTTGCCATCCGCAATCACCACGCCTGCTACAGTCAGCACAAAATGATATTGTAGAGGAACATATCGGCATAACTCACGGTTCAACTAAAACGCTGTTTGATGGCACGGTGCCTGATTGGGTCCAGTCGCATGGGGAAACGTTGCGGGTATCATTAAAAAATGCTGCAGGAAGTGTGCCGTTGACTTGCCACTGAAGCAAAGCCTCGTTGAGATACACCTATTCATCACGTTAATCTTATTCACGTCCTGCTCGCAAGAAATCCTCACAATTTCTCGAGATTCCCCTGAGCTCGAGTGGGCCACGGTTACGAAACCGGCGAACTCGTCGTGCTGAACGCTTCCAACCGTCGTTACACCAAAACCGTTGCCCCCACTGCTCGTGTAAAAAGGGCCTGTATACCATTAGCAAGACATGACACAGATTCCTTCTGTTCCAAACTTGCCTAGAGCACCAGAGTTGCCAGCCGCGATCGACACAAATGTGTTGGCTGCCTGGATGGCTGACGCAACGACGGCCAGCGGGGCATCAGGGAACCCGCGGTCGGATCCCAACGAAGCGCTGACAATATCTGCACCATCCTCGTGCGCTTTCAGGAAAGCGGCGATGATAACATCTTCGTAAGTACTTCCGCCACACCCAAACACTTTGTAAGCTCGTAGCTTGGCAGAAGGAGCTACACCAGGCACAATGTCACTGCCACTAGCTATGATACCTGCAACATGTGTTCCGTGCCCGTTGCAGTCCTGAGGATCATCATCAGGGGCATACTCATCACCGATTTCCCAACTGTCGCCGACGAAATCGTATCCATATTCTACTTTGAAGCCTTCTCCCAGGCCGTCTCCCAGCGCAGGATGTGTGTAGTCAACACCAGTATCAACGATAGCAACGACGACATCTTGACCACTGTGCCCATTAAGGTGAGCGAGGTTCACGTTGGTGTCATTGTGAGGACTCCATCGCGTAGCCTCTGTAGTCAAACTGGCGGCCTCGGGAGTAGGCACAGTAAACACCGACGCAGGCCAGACATTTTGGACTTCCGGCAAAGACTTGATGTCGTTTAATTCTTCACTTGTTGTGTGGTTGAGGTCAAAAGATGCGCCATGGAAAAGATCTGAAGTGAAACTCAAGACCTCCTTGAAGTCTATATCGCGGGCTTTGAGTAACGTAAAGAAATCACTTGTTCCCTACCGAAAGCGACATTGTGAATATAAGTTTCTCCCAGTCAAAGTAGGTTAAAATTGTTCACATACAAGAGCACCATCCCGCTTGCGGAACCTGGCCGATCCCGAAGAGGAGAATTGGACAATAAAGCGCCCAGTATCAACCGCTATCGGAGATGCGGGACCCAAAATCTCATCGATATCTGCCTCAGAAATCCCGGCCAAAGTAAGATTAGGCGATGCAATGGCAAGAAGCGCCAAAAGTGGCTGGAGAAACTTCATCTTATCAGAAAATCCCAACAGAAAGGCTCGATAAACAGCCAAGCTTAGATTCCATATTCCAACCAAGTGAACATGCGTGAATATAAGTATCAACTCTTATGTAGTTTAGCCGCTAAGAATTATCGCAATGTCACTTGCAAGCATTGCTCCCCTGTGGTTCCATTATCCATCGGTTATTTGCTAATCGGATACTACCTTAAAATTATCCTTGGACCCGTGCTTCGTTCCACTGAGAAAAGAACTTTCCAGAGATCAAGGCTAGACCCAGAGTCTTGGCTTTCATTTTCTGCTTTTGGAGGCCTCGGGAGCTTCGAGCGAGGTTCATGAGACCTGTGATGGTTCATCGTATAGCTAGGCGATACTAGAAGTTCAAGTTCACTTGAGGAGGGTAAGTTCCTCGTATAGAGCATCAGAGAAGCAGCCCTGATCGGGCAGGTTCCGAATCGACAAGGATATAAGGCGTTATCAGGAGTTAGATAAATCTCTCACTACGCAACCCGATGATACATGCCGAACCCGTCGTCGCAGAGCTCGGGCATCCACAATCTTGGATCGCTATTAGGAAGGTCCTAGTTCGGAGCATCGCTACTTAGGCAGCTAGAAACTACGTTGTGTTGTATCATTGAAAGCGAAGTTGCATTCGATATTGAAGTCAATGTCCAGGAGCAGAGATTCCCCTGTCGGGTTGACGCCTATAGACGTGATCCAAAAACGCTTTATGCAGTGAACGCCTCCGATTTACATGATCGCTTATCTTATTCATGCTACACAGTCGAATAGCTTATGAATCTATTCGACTTGGACGGAACTCAGGTAAGTGCAGATGAGCGTCGATCAAGGATACAATCTTGTCATGACGAGGCCATAGAATTTTCACCACTATCGTTCGCTAATTATCGAGGGCTACTATTCGGGTAGAAAAATCTATCTCTCTGATCACTGGGGCTGACTAAACACATTTCTGTCTGAAATCGTTATGTATCGCTTGGGAGAAAAATAATAATATGAGAAGGAAAGGATTTATTGGCAGATATATAAATTCTCCCCCCATTAGTGGCTTACACCAACGAAACCCTTTCTTTCAAAGCTATTTGTCTATTTGTCCCGTTTATCGGGAAATAAGTAGACAATAACCCGCGATATGTTAAAAAGATCTAAATGAAGCCCCCCTCGTAGTCACCTATCCAGTTGTGTCGCAGGTTGGCTAGCCCATAGGTCTATTGAAGCTGATAAATCTTTTATCATTTGTTGGTCCAGGGCACTTTCTGGCCATCTATCTGTTCCTCAACTGTTGTACTTCGGACCAAGTTTTCATGACTGTCATTAGATCAGAGCTACTCAAGGGTCCCACAACCAATATGCTACCATCACGCACCGTGTTGTTCTTAGCAATCACGGCGATCGGGGTCTGTATGCCCTGATTCTGGGGCTCCCCTGCAGGATTCTCTTCCAAAATACTACCTCTCATAAAAAGCGAGCCCTTCTCAATAATGTTGTTTGATAACACGTCTCGATTTGAGGAATCTGCTTCCTCTTGAGGCGTATATAGAGGTTTGTTCACACAAATGTCCCGTTCAATACGTTCATCAGACATGAAGATTCTCGTTATCAGCTGCGGCATGAGGGTTTCGAGTACGAGTCTCTTGTCAGTCGACATGATTAAGATGGTTCTTGATTTTGAATGCAGTGGCGGTAGTTTGAAATCTAGTTAATGTCTGTTCACTTCAAATAGGAAAAATACGATATCAAGACAAAGTAAAACATCATCTAAGATAGGTTCAGGCCTCTTTTATGTTTGCTAGGCAAGATAGACTCAACTCCCCTACTATCAAACCTATTCTTGTCAGATGAAGACCGGGCCACATTACTCACTCATCCCCCGTGTTGGTGGGTGAATGGTCCTACAAAGACTTGAATTTTAATGGGGAGTTGTTCTTTTGTCTACGTCACTCTCCCCAAAATAAAAATCAACTCCTGAGACGCCGCAGCAATAAAACAAATAAAGGATTGAGAAACTAGCCTGGGGGCGCTCCAAATCATTCGCACGGCCATATTCAACGCATGTGCAGAGTCATTGTGAAGTATCTATCCCTGTATAACTGACAGTCTCACGCGATTGGAATTCCACTCATTTCTCCCAGCGCACAAAGGATGAGCTGGAAACTCTTTTTAGTTACACAAGCAGGGCCAACGCTGGCATGGCTTGAGTGGGCCAACCCCTTTCCTCAAACAAACAAACCAACCTCTCTTGTGTCAGGTTTTCATGCGGGAGGAGCGAATGCATTATGGCTGCATCACGAGACAGTCGATGACGCCAACTCTCCTATGTTGATGTCCATCAAACCAGTCTTATTTCGTCTATTCACATCCCTCATGTTCAGGTATTCATACTGAGCTACGTTACACACTTCTCTATCCGGGGGAACTACCCACGGGCATTGATCCATTTGAGCCTATCATCGTGATAGCTGTGGAATGCTATCATTCTTAGAATTTCCATTGATTTAACCAGGTTCTCATGGCCTCTCCGTCAATCGGCTGTAATTGCCTCATCGTTGGGCTGACCTCGGTCCCGTTATCGGTGGCATAGACGACCTGCCTCTCCTCGCAAGATTCCGCGTCCTCAGCCAATCCTTGGTAAAATTCCGGAATTCTCAGCGCAGGAAACTTTTCCAGGTCTATCCTCTGATCGTTTAATAGCTCAAGCCAATCTTGAAAAGGCACAGCTCTCGTCATGGCCGGCTTCCATGCCTCTTGTATTTGCGTAACAAGCTCATCCCATTTCCCCTGGCGAGGATTGACAAGATTGTAAACAAGTGAAGAGGGGCTCTGCTTATATTCATGCTGAACAATCTCACTAATGATTTGCGATAGCTTGTCAACCGGGACCCAGTCGATCATATTCATGGAGTCAGGAAGACATCCCAGGGCCTTGGATGTTTTAATAAGTGTAGGCAGCCACTCTGTTCTGTGCCATTCTCCCCCATTCTCGGACAAGGGGCCTGCAATTTGTCCAACGCGCAGGATCGTAGCTTTCGCTCCACTGCTGGCAACAGCTTCCGTGATCATCCTCTCGGCTACCAATTTTGACTCTGCGTAGCCCATGGGAAGTGCAAAATTATAATCCAGAGGCACAATCTCGGGGACTTGATTGCTATCCTTGCAGAGGTTCGGCCAATTTCCAACCGTAGACAGCGAGGACACAAAGAAGACGTGCGGTCGTTTTGTAGGTGAGTTAGTTGTGAGGCTCAATATATCCCTAAGGCCGTGGAGGTGATCCTTAAACGAAGGCAGCTTGTGATTGAAATCGACCTTCCATGCGTTATGAATGATGATGTCCACCTTGTTGGCGAGCATGCTCCAATCTGCTTCACATAAGCCCATGTTAGCGTCACCGACAGTGATTTGCATAAACTTGATCCTCTCGCTCAGCGCATCAAGGTCTAACGCGACATCTCGAGCATCGAAATCGGCTTGGTGTCGCGATTGAGCGTTCCGATCGCGATTTAGGCAGTAGATACACCCGACGCCTGGGTCATTGACAATTGTTTCCAGTAGATGGGTCCCAAGTGATCCTGTGGTCCCGGTAATAGCAACATGCAATTTATTTGGAGAGTCAGGTCTCCGATTAGCTGCCAGGTAGGAGGTATAGTCTTCGACTAGCTTGGCCATATATGCCACCCTGTCTGTCTCCTCCTCTTCCGCTGATGCTTCAATACCATCACTGTGTAAAATGTTGAAGAGAAGGGCGGACAGTTTCCCGATAGTTGGGTTCGCGTATATAGAACTAGGTGCCAGCTTGGGAGCAGATGAACCGCCTACATGAGGAGATATGGTCCTCTGAAAGGTCTTGGCGAGTTCGGAAGTTTGTAAGGAATCCATACCTAAAACAAAGATGTCGTCATCATCCCCATGAGGAGCCTGAGTTGACGGTAACAACCATGCCACCGCTGCTCTCACATACTCCCGTATGTGCTCAGTCGAATCCCATGAGTGTAAAACGGGCCCCTCAGAATTCGCCTGCTCGTTGTATAGGGCATCAATTTCGTCAACATATAGACGAGTCGTCTGGCCCCTTATCACGGTCCCTTTACCAGCACGTTTGAATGGTTTATCAGGTTTCGCAACCATGACTTTGGATCTGAAGATGCGGCCATGTGCGGGACCAACCTTATTAGCTTCTTCCACAGTTGGCCAGATCCGATCAATAAACTCGGAATCAGATAGGTTTGCGTCGTATTCCAAAGGCTCGATAATGAGACAGGCTTGGAAACGGGCAGTTCCAGCGATCAAGGCTCCTCTAACCAAAGGATGCCCAGTGATTGCACCTTCCATATTCACAGGGTTGAACTTTTCGCCGTTTGATAGGACGAGGACGTCGTCTCTTCGTCCGACAAAGCGCCAGAGGTTGGGATTATTCGGGGCCTGGACAAATAAATCGTTTGTCCTCCAAACATCGAGGCTAGGGTATGCTTGACTTAGATGTCGAATCCAATCTAGGGAAGAGTCCCTGTTCACAACCATTTCAAAGGTACCATCGCCCATGGGGTCCATTTCATTTTCCAACAAGGGATGCCATTCAAAATAGTTCCAATTCTCAGGCAGCGGGACTAACGGAATATGTGGCCCCGTCTCGGTTGATCCATAGAGTTGACAGATCGAAGTGACATGACAGAGTCGGTCCCCTACCCGGGGTGCAAGAGGACCCCCAGTGTACATGATCCAATCAAGTGTCGATGCCTGGTCGAAGCCACCGGGGAGATCGACGAGCTCCTCGATAACAGTTGGAGGGCACCAGGCAGCACGAATGTTGAGTTGTTTCATCGCTCGGCTGAGAATATCCCCGCTGGGAGGTTTCTCTGGAGGACCAAGAGTCACTGTACAACTATAAAATATGGGCATGATTGTCATAGCGAATAGTCCCGCTAGCTATTAAGACACTCATAAATCAGTTACTTGAGGCGAGGAATTATTAGAAGGACGAACATACATGAAACGGGGGAAAAGGATTAAAGAATTTTCCTCCGCCCTCAAACTCCAGTAGATTATAGCTCTGGATTCGACGACCTGGAACAGATGGTATTTTTCGGTGGTTATCGTAAGTTGAGTACACGCCGTTTGTGAGAGTCGTCGGTTTTGGATTACCTGCATGCATATGGAAATGTGAGTCTCCTTTTCTGATTGACTTCAATAAAGGCTGTCATACCAGTAGATCCAGACGAATGAGCAATCAATATTGGATCTGTCCTTGCATCCACCCAAGTCTTCTCGTATTTATAGTGCGGGGTGCATTGGCCGATGTGGTGATCGAGGCTCTCCACGAGAATTGTGCGTAGAAGTGGCCTCTCCTTCTTCAATTCTTGAACACGGGTCTCCATCTCGACTGTATAATACAAAATATTGCAGCCCGCTTCATCTAAAACCGCCAGATGTTGCGAGAGCGAATTGCGCACGGAGGGAATCATCAACTAGAATATGTCAGCACCATGACGGGTTCAAGATACAATGCGGACCTATAACAGCCAAAAGGGCTAAAGCGTACCTTGTAACCAGTTTTGATAGCCGCAAAGAGGTAAAATGCATAACGAATGTCGGAGACTCCCAAGTATGCAATTACCCCAAAATCATCGTTGCGGCCAAAAAGCTGTTGGTTGCGCCAACTGACCAGATTTACAGCATCGGCCAAGTTCCGGAAGGTAATATCACGAAACCCTTGATCAACATCATGGGCGGATTTGGTCACCGTCGCATATATCCTGTGGGGAGTCCTCTCGGCCAGTTCGTCCACAACTTGAACAACAAGTCGCTCGCCATAGGGCCCGCATGCGGTTCCAGGGATGGGTTCTAGGGCATTTATCTTAATATTATCCTTCTTTTGAGACTGTGAATGGCCCACAGAAGCCCGATCCGGTAGCAAAACTCGTGTCATCGTGATAGGGAGAAGTCGTGCAGTTTGTGAATGCCGCGACGAGTAGCCTTTCAGAGTCGCCTCACCACAGGAGGTCACTAGTCTCTCGTTGAAGATTTATGATATCCAACTTTCTGAATTAGCCGAGGCTTTTTGCTCTTTGACCATCCCATCAACGTGAGGTTGACGATACCCGCATCTCTTGCAAGCGTGCATCCTTAGTGACACTAAACCCCGCTCGTGGATCATCTGAACTTCCAGTGCAGGGATTCCCCACGGGGAATGCGGGCTCCGCGGGTCAATTTCCGATATCTATATGATCTTGGCTGAGCTCACAGTGAGCTGGACACTCCGGAAAATGGGCATTAGCTGTGGTGATGGTGGCGGATTCTCATTTTCCGACCACCTCGACAGTGACGTTAGCAGCTCCCAGTCATGGTCCGGAGAACGAATTCCCCTCAAACCATGAAGCAGCTACTTCCTCATCCAGGTTCAAGCTAACATAAAGTTTGAGCCTGATGCTAGTATCCAATCTCTGCACAATTTGCAACGTTTCAGGGACAGTACTGTTCGTGTTTTTGGTGATCACCGGGTCACTCAACCAAACAACCACAGTCTTTTTCCCCTTGATAACTTTTGCTTCCGTGCTCAGCAAACATCATGGCCTCCGTAATTCGAGACAAAGGGATCTCAGATATTCCCCATCATGACATCATCATTGTCGGCGGTGGCTTCGGGGGCTGCTACGCCTTGTGGAAGTTCCGACAACTGGGCTTCTCAGCCCACGTGTTTGAGGCCGGCTCGGAGCTCGGCGGCGTTTGGCACTGGAATAGTTACCCCGGTGCTCGTGTCGACTCTGAGATGCCATACTATCAGTTCACCATCCCTGAAGTCTGGCGCGACTGGAGCTGGTCGCAGCGCTTCCCAGATCATGTTGAGATAAAAGCCTACTTCCGGCATGTGGACAAGGTCCTCGATCTATCCAAGGACGTGAGCTACCAGAGCATCGTCAATGGGGCAGATTTCGATGCCAGTTCCGGTTTATGGACCATCACTACCTCAAGTGGCGAGATTGCAACCTGCAAATGGTTCGTTCCCGCAAGTGGCAGCTCTCACAAGGCATATTCGCCTGAGTTTCCCAACCTCAGCTCCTATGAGGGTCAAGTAATCCATTCATCCTCTTGGCCGAAATCGGAAGTTGATTTCAAAGGCAAGAGAGTCGCCGTCATTGGTGCCGGTGCAACAGGGGTCCAGCTTGTTCAGGAAATCTCCAAACTCGCTAGTAACCTCAGTGTATACATCCGAAACCCCAATATCGCGCTTCCAATGGGTCAGCGAGAGATCTCCTCTCTTGAGCAAAGATCGCAAAAGGGGATATACAGAGGGCTATTCCAACTAGCGCGCGATACGAATGCTGGCTTGGCATGTGATGCACAGTCCGTTGCCGGTGCCGACGTGAGCGCCGAGGAGCGTGAGCGTTTTTGGGAAGAGCTCTGGTCGCGCGGAGGTTTCAGTTTCCAGGCAGGCAACTATACAGATGTTCTCTCCAACGAGGACACGAGTAAACAGATCTATGAGTTCTGGGCATCCAAGGTACGACAACGAGTCCGGGATCCTGCCAAGCAAGAGATTGTGGCCCCAAAGGCGCAGCCTTATCCATTTGCCACAAAAAGAAGCAGTCTAGAGCAAGACTACTATGAATGTCTGGACAGGGATAATGTAGATATCATAGGATTGAAAAGGACACCTATCCGTGAATTTAGCCGCACGGGAATTATCACGGATGATGGAAAGGAGAGGCAACATGACATCGTCATCATGGCCACCGGGTACGATAATATGACAGGCTCGCTCACCAGCATGGGGCTACGGGGCAAGGATGGTATTGATATGAAGAGACGCTGGGAGGATGGTGTTTGGTCGTATCTAGGAATTTTTGCAGGAGGATGCCCAAACATGTTCATGATATATGGACCGCAAGGTAAGCGTCATTCCCACGCAACTCACTATAACAATAGCTCATGCTTTCTCACAGCACCTACGGCCTTCACCAATGCTCCCATTTTCATCGAAGAACAAGTTGAGATTGTTTCTGGTCTGCTGTCGAAACTAAGAAAGGAGGAAGTCCACACCATAGAACCACGTCGAGCCGCTGAGCAGCAGTGGAAGACACTGTGCCAAGACATCAGTGATTCGCTACTATTCAGGCTCAATGACTCTTCGTGGTATCTTGGCGCCAATATTCCAGGCAAGAAGCGAGAACAGCTAAACTACCTTGGCGGAATGATTGGGTACAGAGAGGCTTGTAAGAGTGGTCTGAAAGACTGGTCGAATTTCGAGGTCAAGTGGACAGAAGCCAGCACTTCGGCATTGACCAAGTCCAATACACCAATGGCTAGAATTTAGCAAATCTTCCTAAAGGATTTTTTCAATTTCACTTCTTCTTCCTAAAGTTCACCTAATTTTACAACAAGGAAAACTAGAGAGCCAAATAAACTTCATGATATTTGGATATCCCAGGTGTAAGCCTTCCATACAAGTATCAACGACCTGAATTGCCCTAGTAAAGATTATTACAGCCACATCACAGGAGCTGTATCGTATATTAACCGAGGGCACCCTTACTACCAGGATAACTTCAGAGAGGTCGATGAATTAGTAGGGTTCGGTTAGGATCTCCCATGTAATCCCTCAGATGCCACGTAGAGGAAATAAACCGCAATAGACTTCCTGAACGAGGCTTCTGCCGTCAGGAATAACCCTTAGACCTGAAATGAGAAGGATTCGACCGATATCTCGACGAACAGGGATGCGGGATAAGCTATTGTTCAGGACAATGAGCTTCCGGTACGCAAGAACTCATCCATTAGCGTACCTGCCAAGGAAGGGGGCTTTCCAGTAAGCCCTAACCCAAGTAGTTGATCTATTCCTGAACCTTGCTCGCTGTTTGCTCTGATAACTACCCGAAGCGGCAGGGACATCTTTGCGGGGAAGCGGGGTATCTTCGTTTATCGGACAAGGAGGGTCATTGTTTTCGCGTGGATTTCGTTTTCCCGTAGCCTGGGCTTCTAGGCGTTAGCATCGATAGCCTCTCTCCCCAATCTCTACTACCCAGGGTATGTCTCAAGGTCTTAAGCAGACTAAACCTACGCAAATGTCCACAGAGTTATCAGACAAACTGGATCGGACTACCAAAGTCGACTTCTTGATAGCTTTGAGGTTACTGCTAACTACAAAGAGGCACCATGGATGATGGCAAGAAAGGCGAAGTCGACATGATCGAGAATCGAAAGGATGATCCTGCAATCGTCCCCCAAAATTCTGGACTCATAGAGGAGGAAGGCGCCGGTGTTCCCGCAGGTTATTGGTACTCTCCAAGGTTCATCGGTTCCACGGTCGCCATTATCCTCCTTGCCAACAACCTGTTTATTGGCTACGCGATGCCTGTATGGTCATATATCAATACCCAATCTCATCATATAATGTAAAACTAATCTTGAACTAGACAAATGTCCTCAATGTCATCAATGCGGATTTAGGTATGGACCATCAAATTTTCAGAACGCTTTCTACAAAGTTAACGCATGTTGTTTCAGGCCCCGACTCCAGCATCTACCTTGCCTCGCTCATCAACACTCTCATCAAAGGCGTGTTCCTCCTCCTTGTGGGCAGTATTAGCGATGTTCTGGGTCGACGATACTTTATCGTCGCCGGCCAAGCCCTCGGACTGATCGGTGCGATTATCGCAGCAACGGCGAAGAACATCAATACATTGATTGGTGCCAATGTTTTCATCGGCTTGGGCGGCGCCACGCAAGTGCTGTATCCGCTACTGATTATGGAGATCGTGCCCAACAAACACCGTGGTACGGCGCAGTCTCTCATCACCCTCTCCGCCTTCCCTTCGATGGGCTTAGGTCCCGGGTTTGCGCGGATGATGGTCCAATACACAGCGCTTGGATGGAGGTATGTGTTCCCCTGTAGCTCAAAAACAACCTGACATACTGACTACATGCAGATGGGTATATTGGCTTAATGCTATTACCGTCGGCACTTCACTTGTTCTGTTTCTTGTCTGCTATTTCCCTCCTGACTTTGAGCAGCTGAGCCAAGGCACGAGTAAGAAAGAACAGCTAAAGAACATTGACTTCGTTGGCTTTCTGCTCTACGGGGGAGGTCTCGTGTGTCTCCTACTTGCACTCAGTACGATATGCTTCCTTGACACATAAACTGAAGCTTGGCTAACTTATAAACTCGCAGCCTGGGGCGGTCGTCAATACGCGTGGGGCTCCGCTCAGGTCGTTGCCACTCTTGTCATTGGAATTGTGGTATTAGTCTCGTTCGTTCTATATGGTATGCGAAGGTTTCTGGGTATCGTGTTCCTTGTCATCCAGCTAATTCAAATTGCTAGAGATATACATGGCGCCGCGAGCCCCGCTGGTTCCCATGAATCTGTTCAAAATCACCAACTACAACGTCGCTGTCATTGTGGGATCTGTTGGCCAAATGTCTTTCTATGCGCTGAATGTGATATGGCCGCAGCAAGTCACCAACCTCTACACCACAGATAATATCAAGATTGGTTGGATGTCGGTAAGTTTCCCGGATTCGTGTGATCTTTGTGCCAGGGCTCACGCCATTCCAGTGCACAACGGGGGCTGCACTCGCCTTCGGCGAAGTTCTCACCGGCCCGCTCTGCAAGAAGGGCATGCATGTCAAGCTGCAAATGTTCCTTTCAATGACCGGGCTGTGCATCTTTTGTGGCATCATGTCTCTTGGCAACGAGTCTCGACAAGCTCTCAGCGTTGCGGTATGTACATTCTAACATTCACTTGTCACACATTCACAAACGTTTCAACTAACAAATAACCTAGATGACTGTGGTCATTGGACTTTTCGTGGGTTGGATTGAACTCATATGCATCGTGGTGGCCAGTCTTGTTATTCCACCGGAGCACATCGGTTCTGGCACAGCCTTTTTCGCATCCTTCCGAGCCGTCACCGGCACAATTGCGAGTATGGCAACCCTAGAACTCGTCTACTTTATTTTCGCTAATACTTTGAGCAGCAAGCATATATGTGGCCATCCAAACTAATCAGTACAACAGTAAGGTAGGAGGATATGTTTCTGACGCTGCTACGGACGCTGGTTTTGCGGTGGATGGCATTCCCGAACTCTTGAAGGTGATCGCGAAGAGCACCACAGCTCGAGCCATTGGGTCTGTTCCCGGAATGACAGAGAGCATCAGCCAAGCTGTCACTGCCGCAATCAAGCGCGCCTACGCACAGTCATACTCTACTGTGTATCTTAGTAGTCTCGCATTTGGCGGTGTTGCTCTGGCTTCTTGCTTCTTCGCTACTCACGACATGGAGGAATACTTTACATCATTCCTGAATAAGACTGTGGATGCGCCGCACCTTCAGAATGTGAGCAAGGATTCGAAGCAAGAAGATGCGGAAAACTAGGGACACAGGGCTCAGCCAAGTATTGGGAACTATAGCCTCCCTGTTTCTTTGGATAATTAAGTTCACATTATCCTTCAGGGCAGACAATATCTAGGTATACAGTTAAGGTACATATAGCGTGACATGGCTCCCAATGGCGATGGTTGGTTGTTTTCCAACCTCCTGCCTAAAACACACAGCCTAATAAAACCGTCTCCAATCTCAATCTTCCCCGCAGTGTGACATCAACATGAACGCAGAAGTAACACCAACAAACAGGATCCCTCCCGCCCTGACCACTTCTCGCGTATCTTAAAAAATGAAGGTCATTATTACCGGATCGACTGGTCTCGTGGGCAGTGCCGTCATTCGCGAGGCCATCACGAATAGCAGCATCACACACGCGTTTGTTCTCTCGAGGAAGGATCTCCCCAAGGAGATTAGCGACAATGCCAAGGTTACCGTAATTCCTCACGCCGACTTCTCTACGTACCCGGAAGATCTGCTCACTCAGCTTGCCGGGTGTGAGGCTTGCATCTGGTGCGTCATCACGAGAGACAAAACCATTCAACTGCTAACAACTCATGCCCAGGGCTATTGGCGGACGCGCTGCTCAATTCCCCGATCTCGACACGTTCCGAAAGGTGTCTGTGGACTACACCCTTGCAGCTGCTCGCGCGTTCAAGCAGCATCTCGCGCCGTCCTTGCCAGACAATCAGCGTTTTCGGTTTGTGTTCTGCAGCGGGAAGTTTGCTGAATGGGATCAACAAAAGTCCCTCTCATTCATGGCCGATACTCGGCTGGTCAAGGTACGCGACTTGAGGCTCAACCCATCCATCTGTCCACCCAGCACTGACGGAGTCTCCAGGGCCAAGTTGAGAAGGGATTGTGCGATCTTGTGGATAAAGATAGTCGATTTGATGCCTTTTGCGCCCGGCCGAGCGGCGTGTTGGCTTCAGATGTCGGCGCGCTCGGAAAGCTCACAGGCAAACTTTATGGCGCGATCCAGGTCCAGGATCTTGCCAAAGCATTGGTTTACATTGCACTGAACGGAGCGGATAAGCAGATTATCGAAGCCGACGAGTTGACCCCTTTGCATCAATAATACACTCCGCTATCTCTTCCATGTCGTAGCAAACGAGCCGCTGATTTAATACCGTATCTACCACGTACTCAGGCGACCCGATGATCCCTGTGGAAATTGAGGTATCTCGTGATGCAACGGTGCGCATTTGGAGGGAATTGTCCGCTCCAGTTCGAGACAGGGGCCATCGATCTGTCGAACTTTTCCCCTCGACCTTCTTGCGAGGTATATGGAGGTAATAGCTCTAGATCTCGGCCGTCTGATTACGGCATAATAACGACTCGAAATGGATCACTTGGGTCAAAAGAGGATTTTTCCATACATTACTGGCCAACAGAACTCTCTGATATTGATGTAACTGCTCTTGTCTCTAGCTCCACGGTCATGCCCAGCTCCAAGGCCGGAATTACGGTCAGTTTCAGCTTTCCCTCATCTCACACCAAAAACAAAGCTCGTGTAGGATATTCGCATAATCCATCGTTTCGGCCTTTGAAATGCGAGGTGACATCGCGGCCCAAATCCTGTGGCCTCGGGAGTCCACCAACTGGACCAACGAACCAGTATGCACGGCCTCTCTCGCCGTTGATACCCATGAGGCTGTCAATTTAACACACCGTAATTTTGAGCAGAGAATAGCAGGTGCCATGTCAAGGGCGAAACGCGAGAGTTACCATACCGAATAACATCAGAAGCGAGCAATCGCATGCGCGAGACCGCTTACTAATCGGCCAGCGTGGTTGAGAAGCTGCCAACGAGGTCGAGGAGGATCTGAGGGATCTTCCAGGGTGATGATTCCCATCTACTTGTTTGCATTGTGTCAGCGGCCCGAGAGGGGCGAAGGCACGGGGCGCACGGCTCGCTGGCACATTCCCCGTCACAGATCCTATGGCGATAAATTGGATCTCGGTTACATCTCTCGCGCGCCGATTACATGCTTAGATGTGGCCTGTGAAGCTGATAGGCTGACAGTCAATAATATGCTTAATTTCGCCTTTCCGGGGCTCGGCTTGCAGATCTTCCAGAGTTTGCCGAGGGGGCAAGATGGTCAGCATTGGTGACTCCTTCTTCCAGGAGCTCCCGAGGATTCCGGGCCTGGCCAGAGGTTGTCAGGGTGTTTGTTTGTTCGGCCATTGTGACAATATGGTGAAGTTGATGCTTTTGATGTAGGTGAGAAAAAGAAGGGGGAAAGTATATAAGTCGCCAGTCCTCTGTCCATCCTGGAGCTCTGATACTTCACCCATCCAAAAGTTCAGCAATCCACTCAAAGAATCATATCTTGCCACCATTTCGAGTGTCTGAAAGTCCCAAACTATCAATCAATATGAACTCCATCAAGAACATCGCTTTCTTCGGCCTCATGGGAGGTGCTCTGGCAATCCCCAAGCCCGCTACCAGTCAAAGCCACCTCAAGATCAACTACCCAGCCGACGTTGGCTGTGGTGAAGTCAATGTTTTCTACACGTATGTCAGCTTGCAAATTTTCAGTTTGAGGAATCTCCAACTCACATACATACAGCGGATTCCCGGCCCACCACCAAATGGTCATCGACCAGGGATACAATGTTACTGCGGTTGATATTTCACTACGCAACGAAGCCGCCAACCTCATCAAGGCTGGGTTCAACGTCTACGGTATGTCTCCAGACCCAGTAGTCCATAAAGAGCACAAAATCTTACAATATAATCAGTCCTCTTCCAGGGTCCTGACCAGCCCGTATCCAACATCGCCGACCGTATGGCGGGAACCCAATGGGGAATTGATGCCGTTGGCTGGGGTCAGCGAGGCGCCGGCAACGCGGAAGTTACCTACCGATTCGAGGGCAAGTACGCCATATCTAATTCTTCCTTTATGCTTCTAATTCTGTAAAACGCAGATAATCTTCACCAATACCGCGAATCTGCACCTTTGACACCGACTGTCTTTAACTGGGGTCCGGATACCCTGTCCGAGTCCATTACTCGTCGCGTTCCTCTCAATGAGGATTGCACCAACAAGCCCGGCAAGCTTCTGGTAAGTACCTTACTACCGACGAAAATGATTTACATGAGGCTAATAAGCTACCTTTCCAAAGGCATACGAGGAGATCTGTGACCCGACACTTTGCGAGAAGATCACCGTCATCACCAATGGAAGTCTGGAGGACCTTCTCAAGGGCCCCAACGCGTAAGCTTATTTTTCCAAACATGGGCTGGATGGTTCAGAACTTCAGTCTAGCCGTGGATGGCGGCTTAAGAGGGGGGATGAGTACATTAGGGCTCTCGCCTAAGGAGTCATTTCTTGGAAGAAGCTATACTACGAAGCCCGGGGTTTTTTCGTGCTGAATATGGGGAGTAAACAACTAAAAAAGAAATTCAATAACGAGAAGAGGTGATATTACAAAAAAAGCTTTATCTTCTATCATAAATGTTTGAATGTTAAGCATATCCCAGACGCATGGTCGAGTATCTAACGAAACAAAAAGAACCTCGTAGTGATGTTAACCCAATGTCCAGAGCGCGACTTGAAGACTAGTCATCGAATCAATCGAGCCAGATTATTAATGTCACTTATTTGTATCTGCATTATAGAATGAATCTAATTCAAGTACAGTTTATGCCCTTCTCAAATCATTCTAGCTAATATGTTATTGATTAATTTCCATGGCCTTTCGATACAAAGCACCCAGTCTTTGTAACATAACGCGTCATCGTCTATTTCTTGCTCCCATTTCCAACTCACGTTTCTAGTATAGACAATTAATCAATACCCTGAGCGTCCTCCTAATATCGCCTGTCGCGAGTAGATTAAGATTACGTACTTCGTCCCTAGCCAAAATTGTGTTTGCCATCCTTAGTAAGAAAGACGGGCTGAACGGAAAGGTCTAAGAAGCAGGGAACTAATGCTACCTAAATCCTGGTAGCTCTCCGGAATTGATCCCAGCTTCCACGTACCGGCCGAAGAGTTTTCCTTGGTGAACTGGCAGTTTCCGAAGAGGGATACCCCGTTGATGCAGGCTGCCTTGGCCATCAAGCAGTCGGCCTGCAATGAGACGGACCCAAGTGGAAAAACAGGGACCACAGAGCCACCTCGACAGGACAATAGTAATTGTCGCGGTCACGTAATAACGCTTCTTATTGTGCAATACTATGTAATTTCATCCAACAATTACTCGATAACTTGCAGTTTTACGTATTGTCTATAGATATTGTGCCCGGGGTTAACGCTCTTTTTTCAATACGTCAGTGGCATATTTCCGATTGTGAATTCATTTTCAATCTTCATCATTCTCTAGGGTAGTTTTTGAAACGAAATTGGAGATGGGAAGCTAGGAGCTGATGTCGACATTTTAACATGTTTCTACACTGTCTATGATGCATCTCCTGGTAAGGCATTAAAATTGAATATCTACAGAAATTCATGCCTGAACCGTTTTTGGTTTTTAAAGTGCAACACCGTCTAAGTCGAGTTGCGGTCGAGGTTGAAATAAGTCTCCCAGCAGCAAGTCCAGCCCATCACATGGAAGCCCAGTTTGTCATCGAGATCCCTGATAGTCTGCCTGATGCCTTCGATTTTGCTTCCAGTCTAGTCTCTTCAACTGAGCAACCTTACAGGTCACCAATGGTGGTCTTGTTGCAGGGAGACCTGTTTCCGGACCATCCCATGACACGGTTGGCGATGTCGCTGGAGTAGCAAGCGTTGGCTCGTCCCTTGCCCAGGTTTCCGCTCTCGGGCATGACGCCGGAGTTGTAGTAGAGAGCGCCCTTGTAGTACTTGCTGACGTCGGAGGCGCCGGCCTTCTCGTTGACGCACTGCATGAAACCGTCGGAGGTGGTGATACCGAGACCATCAGTAATCATACCTGTCACAAGTGTTGTTAGAAACGAGGGGCGCAAGCTGTTTAGAGCTAAAGATGAGGAGGGCATACCGATGATCTGCTCATCAGGGCAAGGCTCAAGTATCGCGACACCGGCGTCGGGGTCGTTGCAGGTGAAGTTGCCGTTGAAGCACTGAAGCAGACCGGGGTTGCGGATCTTCGCGTTGGGAGAGGTGGAGGTCTTGACACGGACACATCCGGCAGACTCCTGGAAGACGGCGGCAAGCAGGAAACGCTCATCGAGGTTGGCCTGGGCGGCACCCGACTTGATGGAGGACTTGAGAATCGTGTTCTCGGCCTCGCTATTGGGAGCAATGGACAGGCCGTTGCAAGCAACTTCGTTGAGAGCAATGTTGCGAGTCCAGCTAAAGACGGGATAAGCATACTTGGCTTGAAACCGGGGATTTAGAATGTGGGTTGACAACTTACAGGGTCTCGAAATCCGCCCACTCAGAGATATCCGGCCAGCCCTGGGCGACGGTACCATCTCCCTTATAGTTCTTGTACTCGGTAGGGGCAGCTCCAGAGGCGCTAGTGGTGGAAGAGGCCTTGCTGGAGCTGGCGGGAGAGCTGGCAGCAGAGGTGACGGCAGAGGATACAGCGGCGGAGCTCAAGCTGGTGGCGGACTTGGCGGTAGAGCTGGCCTCGGGGGTCAGAGAGCTGGAAGCAGAAACCACGGGGCGGCTGGTAGGAGTTCCGGCGATGGTGCTGGTGGGAGTGACAACTTGGGAGCTGGGGCGATGGGAGTGGTGGCCACCGCAAGGAGAGGCCTGGGCAAGGCCAAGAAGACCGCCTGCGGCGAGGACGAATGGAATAGCAGCGACCATGGTTGCGATTGAAATGAATGTGGTTGAATGAATGAAGGAATCAGTGAAAGAATGCGAGAACCTGCCTTTGATGATGAACAATCAGATATCGGCAAGAGGAGCCGTCCTGCGATGGTTATATATCGAGGCCATCCTGATGTTTAGGCTTGTGGATCAACCTCCCAATGATCCGATCGCCCTGGCTTGTGCTGGTGGGCCGACAATAAACGTCGAATAGCGTCTTGTTTCACTACTGCTAAAGAGGATAGTCGAACATCCTAGGAATCCTACTGGATCAACACGTGTAGCGCTTGAGTTCTGATTGTATGGGAGCCGAGCCCCCAAGATCAAGATCAACAGGCCCTGTGCCTGACTTGAGACCGGCACATCAACACCACGTCTGACTGGCTGTGGCCCGAAGCTACGGCTAAATATAGGAAGCCCCATGTGCTTGGCAGGCCCTCTAATAGGGAAAGCGATGTGCTGGACAGGGATGATCCTGGTTGTTCCCCGCCGCCGTGGCCGACGATGGCTCCCCAAGCTCAATGCTCAGGTTATTTGTTTAATGAGGCAAGCAATCACTGAGTCGGCCACTCTAGAGACAATTTGAACATCCTTGGGGCAAGAGGGGAAAGTATGACAAACGCTGCATATTCGCGCCTGTCTCGTAAACATTTGTGGCAACGCCTTTGTTACAGAACTCTCAGCCAGGATGTTGATTGGGAGAGGAACGACTACACACGGGTCTCCAAAAGCCTCCGACCCGACAGTAGGTAAAAGAAAATCCTTTGGCGATCCCGAAACCCTCGCAAAGATGCATAACAACGTGATCTTTTTCTCCGAGCTGCCCACTGTCATGTATTCAGGATCCCAATTAAAGGGGCGATGTGCATGGACTCAGTTTACCCATCAAGAAACAATGGCCAGCGGCGGCTAAGGATGAAAGAAGTTGGTATTTGCTCTCATAACCGCTGCTGTTATGTGGAGGAACGTTTGTCCCCCCCTTGATTCTACATAATATGCGAATTAATGTGCCCGCATACCACTCCCAGCGAGTGTCTGTCTTCTCACAGCAGGGCCAATGTGAAGAGCATCAGCGCAATCAAGGACGTTTCATTTCCTTATCATCTGCATTCACTTTCTAAAATCTAGCAGTCAGTCGGCTTCGTATACTAGCAGTTGAATATTTCATAGCAATCAGGTCCAAATCCAGTTGTTCTTGATCCCGCATTGTTAAGTTTAGGCCTTAAAACAGTTTACTTCCTTTATTAGACTCCGGTTTGGTTTCATGAATATGCCCATGGCAGACCTCAACAAGTGCAGATCTTTTACCCTCGCTGACAAATACCGATGGGATCTTCCCCACGAGGTTTTAATTAACTCGGGACGAACCCAGCGAAACTCGCTTGCCGAATTCAGATCCTACACATTGACCTCCTATCCTTCCTTCTACCAATCGTTGTCAGGATAACCACTCCTTTAACATCGGCTAGATTCATTCTGCGCACCAAACCGGACTTTTTAATCATCATTTTTAGTGAACCCCTCCACGGGACACTTTATTCTCAAGGGTAAATACGGAGCACGCTCATCTATTTTGAGCACCACATTATTAATTGTTTCTCCAACTTCGATAGCCTCCAGCTAGCTGACAAAATTGATAAATTGGCTACCCAACGGAGCTATCTAGACCTCTAGTGAGGAGATGTTTAGGTTGACGATCAGGCACAATTATCCGTGGAGCTTCATCCAAGCTACTCTCTCCGAAGAGGGCACTACATCCTCGTGAACGAGGGCTAGGTCGAATAATCACTATGCCATCTAAAGAATTCCGTTAAACAGGGGGCGTTTTCTTTGCTCTCCAACAAATTGAATGGTAGCCCCTTGCCCGAGAGGAGCATGTGGTCAGTAGCTGCATTCTAAATGGACACCTACCTGACTTTCGCTACAGTTGCTTCAAAAGTTCGGTAATTCCCACGTTCTTGTGAGGAGAAGCCCAAGGCGTTTTAATTTTCACCCTTGACTAAGTCGAATAACCTACCTAAGAGAAAGAGAATAAAGTTCAACAGCAATGGAAGCTGCCAGAGCCCGACAACTCAACACAATGAAGGTCGAATAACAGTAGCCCTTATATACCCGACCAGAACCTGTAACAGTTGATAAATCGTCTTGGTCAGGCGTAGATTGCCCAAATGGACATCTGATGACTGGATACATCTGACAGAGCCACCACAGCCATTGGCCTACTCAGCCTCTCTTCTCTTTGCAAACCACATTTGATCGGTTTCTCCTCCTATCTTTCTCATCTTAGGCCTTCCAAATACGTTTCCATCTTGCTCATGAGACTTAGGTTCATTCTAGACACGCTGCAAGCTATTTTTGACATTATTACTACACACACAACTCTAGCATATGTGAGCTTATTGTCTTCGCAAGCAGTTTCCCATTTTCTTTTTTCTTCGCTCATCGACCTTCATTGAAGATCAAATACAATCAATCGGCCAAATTTGGTTTTACTCGAGAGCATACAACGTAGCAGAAAGTAGATGGTGGGCGAACATAAACTACGGATTCAATTTGATTCAAGGTTGAGTTCAGAGCTACTTGCTAAAAACTCCTTCGTTTCGACATGAACCCTACCCCATGGCCTTGATCTCTGATTTTAGTCATCTCACAAACTCCGCTTCCTCCTAGAGACAAATTCCTCTACAGTCGCTTCCTCCTCGATTGGGATCGCAGTCATCCCACGGCATATCGTAACACTTCTCCGGCGCTGGGCAATCACCGTCCGCGATGCCTCCACACAAACGAAGGCCCTGGTAGCCCTTTAGGAGACAGATGCCAGGCTTGTCGGCGATCCCTGGAGGATCGCGAGGATCCTGCCTGCACTCATATCCCGCGGTACATCGTTTAGCAATGCTCGGGTAGCCGCCGCAGATTGGGAAGTCGTTGTTTGAGACGCAGTGGCCTAGACATCTGTCCAGGTTGGTGCAGTCGCTCTTGTTGGGGATGCAGTGCGTTCCCGGCCCGCAGGGGGCGATTTTCAAGCCGCATGGTCGTCGGGTGGGGATGTCTGCCGCTGCCAGACCAGTTGCGGCGAGGAGAATGGCGGTCATCGAAGGAAGTCTCATGATGTATGTAGTGAGCGGAAGTGGTCGAGCTTTCTAAGGCTTGTCACGCGTTGTGAGATGATGTTTGCGAGGGACTCCAAGCTGATACGTAGTGACGCAGAAAGATAACCAAGGTGAGGCCTGGTTGTGATGGCAGAAGGGTTTATATAGATTAAAAGCCCATCCATCACCCAGTGGTAGAAAGATGGCGGGGGACTGAGACGCTCTTGACTCAGATGACTCTTGAAACAGTCAGCCCCAGATTGTGCTGATGGTGAAGTCAAGTGATGGCGGCTTTTCAGTACGACTTCTGACTAGCGATTCGCTGGGGGGTCAAGCCAGTCGGTGTCATCTTAGCCCGCGTTGCGCAAGGGAGAGGATCAAGGGAGATGTCCGCATTCCAGTGATTCGTGATTCAGCGTGTTTGCGGGCCTCGCAGCGTCACTGACTGTGTCACTTTCAGACAGTTTGTGGATCTCTCTGTTTCACGGACTCTCTCTCTGGCTTGGATAAGCTGTGTTGTGACACAGGCTTCACGCCGCTCATTAAAGTCAGCACAATATAGGCCATCTCTTTTTCTTGCCCCATTATCTCACCTAGAATTCTCTGTAGACTTGAAGAAAGAACAGAGACTAATTGTTCAGTTTTCAGAGTTTTAGCCGTGTATACTGGGAGAACACATGGGACCATACGAAACGTATAGGCACTCTTCTAGCTAGATACCATAAAGCATCAAGGAACGTACACTATTTTACAATTTCACAACGGCATAGAATTAATCAAACCTAGTATTCCATACTAATTACGTAGCATCCTGCGAGTTGCTCTCTCTTTAAAACACTATGTGCTGACACCAAGGGTATTCTCAGTGTTTACCAGCCTTTCAAGCGTTCCTCCTTCAATACTCCTGACTAGTCCAGGAGCGAAGGCATCAAATAGAGCATTATTGCTCAATCTGAGAAAGTTTGCTACTTTGATGAGGAGTAAAACATCCAGCCTGTTACTGTCCACGACTGTCATACAGTTTCCTGAACTTGTGGGCAATGAAGACGAGCGAATGCATTTGATAAATAAAAAAAAAAAATAGAAAAACTCGGCACCCTTAGCACGCGACCCCCAATCCAAAACGTGCAGTTGGCATACTGTAACCCTGGACTCCAGAACAGGATGCAGCTAGTATTACCTTGGGGGAACTATTGAACCAGTCGCCTTCTCTGAATATTGCCCAGGATATGAAATATTAATCTCTTTATCTTTGTTGTATAGTTTGTCTACGAACCGAACCAACTCTGTCACGGAAGAAAACACCACGCTCAACCCCCGGAACAATCTGCATAATAAGTATGAGATTTGGTCTTGTCAACCATTAGAGTTATGAATTATTATGTTTGTTGTGCGGAAACACAGTGCGGTGGCGCCAACTTCACAAACCAAGCACTGGGCTGGGAGCAGATCTCGGAAAGCTCGTTTAAATTATGTAACGGGAAATGACCTTTTGATGCGGCTGGCTCGTAACAGGGCCCGAGCGTACATAGTAATAAATCCGTAATGAGTCAGACGATGGAGATCCTCGGTTGCTTCGTATCGTGCCTTGCCTGGCTTAAGCTATACGATTGCATTTGAACGTGGAGAGAAATGTAGCGCTCATCACTCCATGATAGTTTTGGTGGCTGTTCAATTCAATCGCCGTAGTGGTGGTATCAAATAGTGTCATGTCACTCTGGCACCACATGCCAAACCAACCAATCGTATTGTTGGAAATGCACAAGCTCCGATACACAGCAGCTTAATTGGTCCGTGGACGAATGAGGAGAACAAGAACGAGGTGAGATTTCAGGAGGTCCTCTTGGTCCTTTTGCTGCATGTCTCAAGGGTGGCGGGGACAGCAAATTGATCATCCCTGTAGGCTGATTTTCTTGTGCGAGAACCGAGACAGCGGTGTTGAGCGATGCCCCGGCTAGCCGGCAGTACTAACTACTAAGCAGTGCTTTCTCGGATTTTAAGGCACTCTGGAATGGATAATTCCTGCCTTTTCACTGCAGTTGGTGCACAGGGCTCGGTCTTCGGCACGCGACATCTTCCCGCACGAGGAAAAGTGCGTCCATCTTGCACTCCACTGGGCTGAGATGTGGAACACGGCAGCGTTGGTGCACCGGCGGTAGGCAGGGGCTGTACGTGAAGTGTTTTTGTGAAATGTGAGACAGAGGTAACCTTGGGTTCTGGAATGAATCAGCTCGACACACGGGTCCTCGGGGAAGAAGTGTCCTTTTGCTGGGCGTGTCAGCACACAGAGAGCGGGGGAGTGGGAAACGAGATCCTTCCAAGGAGAATCCAGAATAATGCACAGTAGGGAGGAGGTACTTTGTGCTCTGAGGATGGGATGAGATCCGATCAGCCGCTGTATCGTATCCATTTTGGGAGATCCCGGGACATCAGATCAGCCCCGTCATCATGCATCATGCGTTGTAACTTGTGCCTGAGCTGGTGGTGCCCATCTCTGCCCCGGATGGGCTGGAAGAGAGCTGAATTCGCTGATGTTGGTTCGTCTCGTGCACACTCTCTCCTCCTCACCTTGTTCCCCTCCCACCTGTCTCTTCTGCAGCCACTCCTTCCTTGTCGCACCCCAGCTTCTCCGTTCTTCTTTCTCATCCCTGCCAATCTACCACATTGATCTTCCATTTCTTCTCTCGCGGGTAGGCATGGGCCGATCCGAAGCCTCCTCTTCCACCCAGCGTCCTTCATGATGCTCCCAAACCCCAGATTCTACGCTCGATGGCTGGTCCACGCTCTGGGACCGCGTCTCGCCAACCGCCGCTTTGCATTCGCGTTTACTGTTCTAGCAGTTCTAGGTGCCAAAGCCGTCCACATCGTCGCCCGCCACGATGCCTTGTCGACAAACCAGATCGGGCTGTGGATGACCTCCTTCCTCGCCCAAGACTTCGCTGTACTCATCCTCATTCGGCTTTTGCTCGACGACTGTATCACCACCGTTTCTCCCACCGCACTTCGAACCGCCCTAGGCTTCCTCGGAAACGCCCTTCTCGTCTATAATCTGGTCCTTGGCTTCGCTGCCACCACCTTCTTCGCCGTTACCGGGTCCGAAATTCCCTGGCACCATGTTGCCCTCGCAAGCGATTCCTCCTCACGAACATCCATTCCTGCCGGTATCTTGATATTTTTTGGAATCACGGCCGCAATGATCGCCCTGAGCTGGATGCTCCAGGATTTCCTGTATCCCATGTTTGGCTTCTATGCGAATGTGGTCGCCACCTGTTGCTCCGTCGTCACCCGCCTGCTCAGTCGCTGTGTCCCTTGCCTTCGCCCGATGCCGTATACGAAACTACCTAGCCAAGATATCGAAAACAGCCGTAGGCCGAGCGAAGACTACACAGACCCCAACTCCAGCTCGGAAGACCTCATCATGAGCGGCAGCAGCAGCGAGATCTTGATCCAACCACCCATTATCTTCCGACTCCTGTCCCGCGGGCTCGCCAGCGTCAAGATTTCCGTCTCGAGCGCTTCGCTTTACTCGGCTTTCAATTTCATCATGCATTTCCTCGCTACGGCCTCTATTCTTGTCTTTATTGGCTTCAGACTCGCCCGGCCCGACGACGGCTCCTTAACCTACATCGCTTGGACGACGGGGTTACTTCCTTTTGTTGGCTACAAATCATTATCGCCCTCCCTCGAAAACCTTCGGCCAACCTATGGAGTGGGCATCCAGCACGAATGGGACCATGTGACTGCCCTTACTGAGCCGATTCCGATGCCGTGGCTTCCCACGGAAGAGACGGAGGGTTTTGAGGATTGGTACAGGAACGTACCGCACTATAACGCTTCCGCAGATCCGATGAAGATTGACAACTTGGACGAGCCCTTGCTCCCTGAACTGAAGGATAAGCTCAAGGACCTGGACATTCGACACGTCGTCCTCTTTTTCATGGAGAGTGTGAGAAATGATGTCTTCCCGATCAAGAAAGACGGTCTAGTTTGGAACCGTCTGGCGGAAACATGGCCTGAAAACAAGCTCCCGCAAAACGTCCAGGATAGACTTGCGAGACTCACTCCAACGGCCAACTTCATCACCGGGGACTACGACGATGGCTTCGATCATAAGGAACACAGGAAACGAGGAGGTGCCCATTTCACCAACTACTACACTGCTGGAACTTACACCCTCAAGAGCTTGCCTGCCACGATCTGTGGCATGGGCCCCTTAATTGGCGACTTCAACCTTGATTATAAGCACCATATGTATCAGCCTTGTCTTCCACACATCTTCCAGGCCCTGAATAACATGAGTACGAGCCACACACAATCCGGCCCTTACGCCAAGTCCAAATGGCAGTCATATTTTTACCAGACCGCCACGCTCCAATTCAATCAGTTTGATAAGTTGATGAGGAAAATCGGTTTCCTTGAAGAGAACACCATTGATGTCGAGTACCTCCGTTCCAGCAAGGCCAAGCATGGCCCTGTTACCATCCCTTACACCAACTACTTCGGCTTCGAGGAGGAGCCACTTATTGATTATATCCATGATGCTTTTACATCCGCCAAGGAGAAGGACGAGCGAGTCTTCCTCACCCACATCACCAGCACCACACACCACCCTTTTGTTCTGCCGTTGAACGCAAAGGACAAGTACCTCCCTCTATCGAACGGACTGGATGAGCTGTCACATTATATCAACACGCAGGGATATAGCGATCAGTGGATACAGAAGTTCTTCAATATCCTTGAGAAGCAGGGTGTGTCTAACCAGACTCTAGTCATTTTTATGGGGGACCACGGCACCTCGCTCGCTGAGAATGATATCGCGTCTTCCTATTATAATCCCAATATTGGAAACGACCATGTTCCGCTTGTTCTCTCCCACCCGCAGCTGCCCGCTTTCAACGTCAACAGCGCCGTTTCGGGGATCCAGGTCCTCCCCACGATCCTCGATTTCCTGCTCGAGACGGGCTCTCTAAACGAGGCAAGCCGCGAAGCCATCAAGGGCCTCGTCCGCAACTACGAGGGACAGTCCCTCATCCGACCCCAGAAAGTGGTCAACAAGAAGACCGGGCAGGGGAACTGGCAGTTCACCACGGTCAACCCTGGGCGGGCGCAGCTGGTGGCGCGGGACGCACGCCATCCCGAGCGGCGCCTCATCATCCCCGTTCTCAACAGCGTAAAGTGGAGGCTCAGCAACGTCACCGAGGATCCGCGCGAGGAGAACCCGGTCCAGGCATCCGGCTTTGCGGCATTTCTGAGAAGCGTAGAGAAGAAACACAACATCGAAATGGCCAAGTGGGCTGAAGAGGGCGCGTTCGTTGCGCGGTACTTTGCCACGGAGAATGCTGAGAGGTGGCACTACGGGCCCTACGCTACATAGACTTGTTTCTTGTCTTGATATTTTTATAGGTGTCTTGTTTTACTGGTTCATGCATTGGGACTTTTTGAGTTTGGCGTTTGGGGCAGCATAGCCGGCTGGTGCATACATATAGAACGATGCCGTCATTTTCTGTATAATAGGTTTTTGTACGCTATCGGACGCGGTCAACCCTGACCAGATGAGGATATATTTTTGGCGATGGAAATAAAAACCGTAATTGAACCGTTTCATCTACAAGTTTTGTGCGACTGTGTCTATCAATGAACGTAGTTACTGTATAACTGAAGCTCTATTGATATATGCAAGGAATGTGCCCGGGCGGTTGGCCGGCTGTCTAAGAGCGTCTATATCTAGAAGAGTAATTCCGACTGAACTCCGGAGAAGTACTCGAATGCATCCTGTCGATCGTCGTCAGGCGCTACAACGGTTGCGTTATCCGAGAAGTGAATCGACAACCGTTCATCCTTGTCCCACTTTGGCCAATGCGGCAGACTCTTCCCACATTTACCGTGGATGTCGACGTTGGGATCCAGCGAGTTGATAAAGTTGACATAGTACTGCACGATTGCCTTGTACGGCAGAGCAGGCTGCTGCGTCTGCAAGAGCGTCAGGTCCGAGCCATGCGCGGTGCCCAAGAATTCAACCTTGTTGTATGTGCTCAGGTAGTCCCAAATAGGCACCAGTCCATCCAAAGCGATGTAGGACGATCTCTTTTGGAAGTGGAAGACGAGATCTCCCAGGACCGCGGAGTTGCGCTTGAAGCTGGGGTAGAGCTCGTTCGCGGGGCCGGTGTTGAACGGGGAGCCGACTGCAGGGTCCGTAGGATAGAAGCTGATCATTCGCTCCAGGACATCGTCCGCGGCTGAGTGGAAGAGGCCCTTGAGTTGCTTTACCAGGAGAGGGGAGGTTGTGTCGTGTAGTAGAGGCAGGGCGAACATGGTACCTTCATCGTCTTGGTTGCCCGAGAGGAACGGGACGGGTGCAATTTTTCGCTGCTGGACTGCTTTTTCCGGCGAAAGAGGGAAGAAATCATCCGTGGGATCTGGGCGAGGAGGGAAACTCAGTCGGAACGCCTCGGGGCCAAACAGTCCTGGGATGACCGCCGTTGCGTTGAGGAATTCCTCGTAAGGTAGTTCACGGAGGCAGGTCAGCGCATCCTCTGACCCACAGCCCGCAGCTGCAGAGAAAGTATCAAAGAATCCCTGAGCTGTAGGGCTGTCGACGGCTTCCGCGGGGAGCACGGCTCCCGAGTTCATGATCCCACCACGGAAGAGTGGTTTGCCACGGTAAGTGCTGTTCCCGTTATTGATCAAGGCGTGGTACATGACCGATATGCTGCCGGCGGACTCTCCCCAGATAGTGACCTTGTCTGGATCGCCTCCAAAGGCAGCAATGTTCTCAGATACCCACTCGAGGGCCAGTCTCTGGTCTCGAAGACCGAGATTGGTGCTTCCATCGTTCTGGAGCTCCTTTCCGGGTAGGAAGCCAAACGCCCCTACACGGTAGTTCACCCTGACCACGAGGATGGGCTGTCCCAGAGCTACCGACTCTTGAATTAGATTGGAATAGTCATATGGAACCGAAGACCCGGTTGAGAACCCGCCGCCGTATATCCAAAACAGCACGGGAAGCTTGGAGTCGGGCGTTGTTGACGAAGGTCGCTGAATTATCAGGTTGAGGCAATCCTCACTGATGACAGGTGGAGGCGTTGCAAATGACAAAAGAGGATCGGCAACCTCCGGAGGGAGCTGGTTGAAAACCTCTGGATCGACTATGAGAGGGTGCTGGGGACAGCTGGCGGGTATTGCTGTAGCGTTCAGAGTTCCAAAGGGCGAGGAAAGACGTTGCGGAGGGCGGAGGCGTTCTGGCGTGTCCGCGTAGGGGATTCCGAGAAAGTTGTCAATTGAATTGTTCGTGAATCCAATCACAGTTCCATCTGGAATTTGTACTTTTGGTGCTTGAGCAGCGGCCGTCACAAGACCGCATGCTGTAAGAGCGAAGACGACGGAAGAAGGTACCATTGCGAGCACAGGGAAAAGCCGAGGTGGAAAATGCTTCCTTCAAATCCAATCACAATGAAACCAAAGTCCTCTGACAAAAGAGATAAAATATCTTTTATATAGGTATATCTTCTCGGCAAACTTGGCCGAGTCTCGGCGGACTTTATGCGCTCAGCGGACTTTGTGGACTCAACGGAGTTTATGGCAAGGGTAAGGGGGTATGACAAACTACAAACTGTTCAAGAACATTTCCTATATGTCAGATTATTCGATTGTACTATGACGAGAAGCAGTGTGAAGGCCGGCAAGTGCGGAGAGCTGCATCCAAATCGCCTGTCGGATGCGCCCTTCACCCTTCCATCCTCGTGACTATTAACAAGAGATATCTTGAGGCTGTCATCTAGAGTGATCTTACAAACAACGGAAATCCTGGGCAACTATGATGTGCTAGCTTTCAATGGGGAAGAGTAAGCAGTACTGCTTACTCCGATCCTTGCGCATAAACCCTGAACACTCCGGAACTCATAGATGAGATGAATGAAAACAAAAATTCGGTATGTCACATTTTCACCAAGCCATCGGGTATTTTGCTTTCTTTTCCTTCATCATTCTAAGAACACAAGACTCAGTTATGGGCAGCATCTAGGTCGTACCACACTGCGGAACCAATTGAAGGATTAATTACTCAGTACCTTTTGGAGAGTGTTCCGGAGTTCCGTGACCTTAGTGGAAAAGTTGATGCTCAAGTTCTCAAATCGTCCAGTGATGGTTATTACTGACACTACCCTCGACATATTGCCCAAGGATTCTACTACCGCTCTACCTACTGTTCAATCAGAAAGCCAGGCGTGCCTTGTCTTTTCCACGAGCAAGGCTAGTTCGCTCTTTGGCTGTATCCTCACTCATGAGAACCTTTCCAGCCTTGTAAAGTACCAGCAAAGTGCCTTAGGATACAAGCCCAATTCAGGGGAAGACTGTTGCTGAGTTACAGTCCCTGACGAACTATATGAGACAAGACATCATTCGCCCTGACCGTCAAAAGAAGATTTCAGATGCACGCAAGAATAACAAAAACCCCAAGCCTGTTCCCCTCGGGGTAAATGAGACTCGCTTCCTCATAACTCATGGGCTTATTGCAGAGGTGGTTATACGCCGAACCTTAAGCACAAGAATCGACCTCCCTGATGGGGGCAGTGAATTTGCTTCAACCCTAGGTACCAAGCAAGTGGCTGAAATAAAACCTGGCACACCAAAGCCTCATCCAGCTTTAAGTTTCAACACAATATTAACACAATATTAACATAATTAGCTTAATAATAAATAGAATATTAAGCTAAAATATCATAGAATAATTTATTATTCTCCTAATATTATTTTTAGTATTATTAATAAGAAAAAGAGGTCTCTAGCTTGCACGAAAAGAGCTCCAGTGTGCCATGTTTTATCCCAGTCACTTGCCTAGCAGTGGTAGAATCCTATCGGCCAACTTGGCCGAGACAGACCAAGTCCTCCGTGAGATCAGCTTGAGGAACAAAACAACACTTACAAATGCATCCATAAAATCGAGGATCGCCTAAAAAGCTTATCACTCTGGCCTTTATCCACGTATGAATTCGACCAATTTGATAAACATAGTCACTATGGATTGTGAAGAGACGGGGGGAACGCCCAATTACGTAGCGGCCGAATGGCGGCTGCTATCAAAACTCTTCGAAATGAGGATCAAGCGCGGGTCTCTGCATCTCGCTAAGAGGGGCATGTCATCTTCAAAAAGTCAAGAAATGATGATGACAGCTTAATCGAAACTTTCAAGAATGGGAATGAAGCAAGGTGCGACGAGCTCCCAAACACCCCAGAAAGACGAAATAGTCCCTTGGAGTCGTACTGCTATTGGCATGTCGCTGTGATGATGGCGTGTTTGCTCAAATACAAGTCAAAATAGACACTGTATACGGCTTCAGAGATTCTTATTCTCATTTAAGGCATAAGGACACCACTCGGCGGTCCACTTCTCAGGTTTCTATTAGTACTATAGTCGTAAATCTTGTTCAGGATACCGTATCCTTACTTACCCGCCGTATAGATCATGGGGCCACTCTCTGACATCCGACAGGATGCATACACAACCTTTTTTCCTCGCTACCGGTGCCACGTATCTTTTCACTGGATTAGTTGGTCCTAACTTCGTAATTTAGCCCTTCAAGCCCAGATTCATGAAAGGAACAAACCAGTACCACCAAATCATCCACTGTCCGCCGAGCTAGAGAGTAGCGTATCGCTAGGTTTTCTTACCCGCCAAAAGTTTGGAGCAATCGAAAAAGCCCGCATTCACTTTTTGAGATTATATTAGCAGGCTTTCAGGAAGTTCTCAGTTGGTGGCCATCACGGTCGTGCACCAGCCTAACAAGCCACTGGAATCGCGCTCTGCAGCCATAACCAAACTTTAGATGCGCATCGTAGCTCGTTTTTCGCCCTAGTTTTGATGATAGGAATGCGGTTTCATGGCCTAGCCTATGCCAGGTTTCCCTCTGTCAACCTATCATGGCCACCGGTTTCCCTATTCCAAATGAAGGAACCAAAGTAAGTTTGGAAACACCGCTGTGTATTGCTTCTTGGCCGATCAGCTCACCGCATGCAGCTAAATGGCATAGCGGAGAAGTTGACGAGTGATTCTTATCCATGATTGTCCCTAGGTGGAAGGCGGATGATCGAGTCCAATGGCACTTCATCTCAGGCAATGGTGAAGAAAGCCCCTTATGGTGGGGTTATAAATCGGTTTCCAAGCCGTATGAATTCTTCAAAAGCCAATATACGCTCGTCGCTTGCCAGTAAGGCCTTGATTAGCTGGCATCCCAATACTAGGTCCAACTTAGTGGTGGCCCAGCAGCTTCGACTACAGCACACTTTTGTTGCTTTACGATACCACTGAGAAGAGAGCTTGGCTGGTGCCAGACTCTGAAGTAATTCTGCACATGGTTCAGTATCTGCTCGGCCAGGATCCTGCTATTGTCAACGAGCAGCCCGTTAAACTGAGTCTTACGGCCGTAGCCAGATCAGACTTGACTTCAAACGCCGCCATAACGATCGAAGAAGGCTACACATTTGAAAATGCAGTGAAAAGTACCTGAGAGGTTCGAGTCTTTGCACTGTGAGCTTCAAACAAAGAATATTCTTCAACCTTTTTTTTTCTTTGCCGAAACCATCGCTCCTTGGAAAGATTTTCGGCAATGTTCAGAGGAAGCGTCGACTTCAATCTTCAGCAAATCAGTCTATCCTCCAGTTTTGTGGATAGTTGGGTTTCGGGAATCAAATAGCACCACGACTAGACGATAAGCCGGGCATCTGTCCGCTCTAGAGACAATGTCACACGGGAAGGACCGAATGGCTACATCCGTGAGGGTTGTGCTGGAGCAGCTATACGGCTTAGCACCTTCCCAAGGTTCTCGAAATTTCCTATCACATTCAAAACTGGAATGGCGCATCGGAGATTCTCATCTCTTCGAGCCTTTTCACGTCCCTCTACCAGAATCCGCTGTCAGATAGTTCAGGCAATCGTTATTTTGCCGTCGAGGGTGCAAGCCGCTGCACATTCTCGCACCGGGAGGAATTACCGGGCCTGGAGGGCAAAAATGACTGCATATGCTCGTATCTAAACTTTGCCGCCAGCCGTCGAATGATTGGAACAGCAGTAGCGCAAGAGGAACTCGGAGTGATAGTGGGGACTGGAGATAAGAATTGCCTCAATAATTGGGAAATTTGATCCCATGTGAATTTTTGGACAGAAAGTCGTGATATCATTGGTTTGTAGTGCGGTGTGTTGTGCAGCTCGCTATCATGAGGCTTGCAAGGGTGGACTTCGTTTGGCGGCAGTCTAGTAGGTATCCTCGCTCGCCATACCGCTTTTCCTGGCCAAAGCCATGGTTGCTTGAACTGCAGCCCTGGCCGTTCCCCTGAAATGCTGTATGGGCGATTAATTATCAGAGATCGATGCTTCAAGTTCTGGGAAGGTTGTTTGGGATTGTTGTCGTTTGTCGTCGCTGGGCTCGGTGCAGGGTAGTTCAGGCTGTTATCGAACTGATGAGTAATGCAGCCGCTGAACTAACTGCGTTACCCTAAGGCAAGTTGCAGGTACAAACGGCTAGGCCCACTTGGCCTGCGTCATGGAAGTACTCCTGGTGCAGGTACCTCCCCAAAGGGTCTCGGCACAGTGCTGGGTGAGGTGGGACCCGGAAAGTGGCCGACGCTACTTGGCAGCAAAGTATCCCCGAGAGTCGAGGCCGCTCCCAGCACGCTCTTTTGGCTCGAGCGAGACCCAAATCATCTTGGGCTACCGCCAGCCAAACAAGGCTCACCGGCCGTCCCTCGTGCCGGATCATCAATTCCTACTAGTGCCGTCCGCTGAGTCGTCGTCCTCCCTGAAATACGTACTGCCGACCGACGCCCGTCTTCATCGCTGGTCCGTGTTTCCCGGATCTCTTCTCTGTACATCTCTGTCGATCGCCCATGCCCACGCATTGTCTCAGTACCGGCCGAACAAATTCCACATCGGGTTGGGCTGGGTCTTGAACCCACCACCATGACGGCAGACCACGCTGTGGATGGCAATGCCTTCCTGCCCTCTGGAGGTCTCGACGAAAGCTCCTGCTACTACAAGCCTATCTTCCCGGGCGACCACGGAAAGCACTCCAAAGACACGCCATTCTCGCTTGACGGCCCTTCCTTTCCGCTGTCGTCGTCAACCCTCCTCAGCCGCCGTAATCAGTCTCACCAACCACCGTCATCCGCCACCGGCAACGTGGCCTACAGCTCGATCGCTCCCATCTCCCGCTTTCCAGACCCTTCGCTCTCCTCATCGAGTTTCCCTAAGCCTGGAGCCGCCGGCGCGGCCCCAACCTTACAGACGCTAGACCACCATCTGCTCCGTCGTCTGGTGCAGCAGAACGAAATCATACGCGAAGCGTGGGAGGCAGAGCGCAAGTACCTCGACATCAACCGGCGTCGAGTCGAGCAAGTCTACCAAGAAGAGAGGCTCATCATGGACGAAGTTTGCGAGACGTGGGAGAAAGAGAAGGCCGCATTACTGCAGGAGATTGACAACCTCAAAGGCCGCGTTCGGGGGTTAGAACAAGAAAACCTCGCTCTCAAAGCAGGCAGCCCACGAAACTCTTCCCAGAATGCCGCCTTCCCAGCTCGAGCAAGTCAACAGGATGGTGCCATCGATAATTCAGGGACTCTCTCGCTCTCAAGTCCCAACTATGGGCCTGGAGTCGGGGTCCACTCTCCCACCCAAAGACCGAGTCATAGAACCAAGAACTTCTCTTGCGATCCATCAACTTTACCTCCTGGCCTCGACGGCGCATCTCGCCGCCCTCACTTTGCGTACCCAGGTAGCTCCCGGGCATCGCCGACTCGAGCTCCTGAGCCTGTTGCGTACCTCTCGCTCGATCCCCGTGTACAGCCCGAAACCTCCACCAACCGAGACTTTCTACCGACGTCATCGAGTGATGACAAGGATAGCACCCCTATAATAGATGTGAGGGAACTGGACCCCAAGCTCGAGGGAATTTCCCTCAAAGCTCCTGCCGTGCAAAGAGCAACGTTTGGGACGAATGGATCCAGCATCACCTCGCCGGCGTCACCCCCCGTCACCGCAGACGAACCAATGCACACGCTCGAGCGAGCTTTGGCGCCTGATCAAATTCCACGAGACGCTGCGGTTCAAGCGCTGCGGGATGAGGAATTAAGACGGTTAACAATGCACGCTGGTCATACGCCCAATCATTCGCTCTCCAAAATGGTTTCGATGAACGTGGCTGGCAGCGGGGACGTTCCTGGATCGGATGACGAAGGCTCGTCGCCGTCACCTGCCATCGGAGACTGTTCTCTTCCTCGAACCTTTGGCCAGCGAAATGCTGGCCACGGGATCGGTGAAGTGGATAGCGAAGCAAACGGCAAGGCGCTGGAGAGGCTCAATAACGAATTGTTGCTCGACCATCCCGAGGAGCAACTGGATGCCGCGGACGACGTCCGCCTCAAAGGCCCGCTCATGATCAAGAACATCCCAGCACAGGACGAGATATTTCTCGACCAGCTAAACAAAAGACTCGAATCGATTGGTCATGGCGATGACGCATTGCCAACTGTCATGAGCTCACCGCCTATAGACGACGACGAAGATCCCGTGTATTCAGTGTCTGGAAGCCCAGGCCAAAACCAATGGAAGGCAAACCCGGCAGTTGGCGGTGATGCCTCACAGGATGTGTTTCCCGAGGCCTCCGGTGCCAACGGCGGCGAAGACGCTCCTGCGACGAAGACTGAAGAGATGGAACAAGACGTCCCGCTGAAACTCAAAGGGACCTCGAATTTTGGAGCGCCATTTGGCGTAGCATGATGCTCGCATATTATTTTGAGTCTAGGAAATTGAGAACGCCCGGACTCTCTGGCCTTATTTTATTAACCTTTTGACCCACCCGCCTCTGGATGACCGCAACTGCTCCCTACTTATATTCGACAAACTGGCTAGTATTGACAGCCGAACTACATCACAAGACCGTGCTCATTGATTGATGCATCATACGTTAGAGGCGACTTCGGATTCAATCAGGCTTAACCAGTGCGCTTGGCCTCGTGACCGTTTACCCCCACTCACCGAGACTCCAGACAATAAGCCTGCACCCTGTGATCCAGACCGCGCTAGGAAGGCTCACGCGGGAGAGGGCAAAAAAGGGACCTATTGTCTATTAGGTGCTAATAAATGGAAACAACTAGAAGAACATCTCTACACCTGGCTGAGGGACAGGACAGGACAGGGTTACCACGGCGCCATCACAATACTGGGGCTTGCTATTACCCCGGTGTAGGAAATCGAGTATTAGATCATCTATCTTATAGTTCATTTGCTTGGCGAGACAAGTCGACAAGGAGCTGCAAAGCAAGAGAAACAAGTAAAAACCCAAACAGCCCAAATCATCGCATTATTTCAGCGCGCTTTACACACCCATCGTGAAGTCGTGCTCAATACCAGGAGTGACGCTGGCCATGAACTGTGATTTTGCCCCCCCTTGTTAGTATGGATTTCTCGATGGTTCTCTTGAGGGGTGTGGGGACGGATGAGTGACATACCTTGAGGAAAACAACCAAATATTGATCTACCCGGATGGCCACCTCCTGGTCATCCACCTCGGTCCCCTTGACCTCCTCCCACTCCTCCTTATCCGCGGCCTCCTGGGCGCTCTTGATGTCTAGACCGCCAATCTCGTCCACGAGGCCCTCCATGCCGGCGGGGGCGGGGGCGTCGGCCTGGCCGGCACGCAGCTTGTCCCGGCGGATGCGCAGCGCGGCGTCGGCGCGGTCGAGGAGGGTCTTCATGACGGACGCGTGCTTGCAGGGGTGGACCGAGGCCATCTTGATGTTGTTGGCGAAGAAGGGGAAGTCCTCGAGGGTGACCGTCTTGTCCTTGTAGTCGCCGACGATGTCGTCCATCATCGACTGGGGGTTGAGCGGCTGGCCGTTGGGCAGGTAGCCGGAGAGGTAGAGCCGGGGGGTTCGGTAGTATGGCGTGTACATGATGTAGAGGGTGTACGTTCTTCGACCGCTGCGCGAGGACAAAACCGGGTCAGTTTCACGGTCAAACAAAAACAAGCCCACGTTCTCCTCTGGTGCTTTAACTTACCCGTTCTTGGAATCTGGGCCGGCGTCGCGGATTATCGCCTCGTCGTCATCCTCATCCTCCATGTCTGGGATGTCGTCATCGTCGATGTCGTCCTTCTCGGCGTTACCAGCCTCGTCCACGGTCCGGACCTGCTTGGCCTTGAGGGGCTGGGAGCTGGCGAGGCCGCCCGTCCGCAGCCAGCCGTCGTCGTCGCCGTCCGTGCCGGAGCCGGTCTTGAAGTCGTCGCCGTCGTTGACGAGGGCCTCCTCGTGGCCCGCGTCACCGGCGAAGTCGTCGTCGAGGCGGCGGTGGCAGGGGACGTTCCTGGTGACGAGGAACTGCTTGCCCGGGGGCAGGTAGCTGACGCGGCGGGACTCGTCGTCGGCGTCGCCCCAGGACCAGGTGGGGAACTTGTAGACGAGGTAGTCGCCGGCGGCGACGAACTCCTCGGGGGTGATCTGGCCGGTCTGGCGGAATGTGGAGGTGTGGGATACGGGGGTGTAGCGGTCGCGGAGGGTGTTGACTGTCGAGTAGATGTAATTCATGGTGGGCGGTCGGTGGGGGGAGGTCGAGGGGAGATGCCGTTGTTGAGCCTGGCGAGCTCGGCCTGGGAGAAGGGCAGCTGCGGTATGGTGGGTGTGGATGACGTCGCGGGGTACGCTGCAGGGAAGGGAGGTAGATGTCCTGGTAGGCGAGGCGCTAGATGGGCGAGAGAAGGGTCTTGGTTGAGAAGTGGGAGGTTTGGATGGAATGCGGGAAGGAAACGAAAGTCCAGATGGATAAGGCGAGAAGTAAAAGCCAAAAAGAGTCGGTCGGTCACTGCCTGCTGCGCGTCACCGGCCGCCATGTGACTGGCTGGGCGACCGCTGAGGGGGATCATATGGCGGGGTTCCTCTGCCTTACGTGACATCAAATGCTCCAGTGACTTGCTGCTGCTGCCTCTGCGCTAATGGGTGGTGCCTGGAGGTGCGGGCCGGTACGTACCGATCTGCCGATAAGCTATCGGCTCTGTACGAGCTACAGGGTAGGCCTGTTTTGTTGGGGCCGTGTCTCAACCTGCCGTGCGCATCTCGTGGAGCCATTCACAGATGGCCGACGGTACAAAACAGGAATTATATCGAAACAAGTGTAACCAGACCTCATGCGCTCTTTAGGTGGGCCTGGGGAACCTGGTTGAATCCCCGCACTTTCTTTCTACTTGTGCCACGTTGTCGAGCTTGGTGTACAACATCTCCTTGCGTGAGAGTGAGATATTGGCTCCGAAACTAGAAACCTCGTCGCTTGTGTAGTGATCCTGTTCGTGCATGGCCCTCGGGTAATGGGTTTTACCCGAATATATGGTTGCCTAGCGCTGTCTAGCGAGGCATGACAAGTGATGAATGTCTTGGCGCTGCGTCACCAATTCCGGTCTCTGTTCTCCGTGAATATATCTGAGACGGGGGCGACCTAATGCATCCTCAATCAGAATTTAGAAAGTCACCTGGGATATCCGATGCCAGCCAAATGTCTTGCCCAACTCGCATCTACTCGCTGCGGAAGTCTCGAAACCACCGTTTACCCATCCGAAGATGGCAGCTAGCATTTCCACGGGATACAACACAGACATTCACAGCATATATTGGCCTTCAGAAACTATTTAGCGATGAATATGCTTGCCAAGCGGGCACCAAAGCGACGAGAAAGGTAGTGAACTGGTTAAATCAAGATAGGCCCGAAGCCTACGAGAAATTTGACTTGGTAGCTGGCAACGACTCACCAGGAGCAACTGTCTGGGCTCGCTACTGGCTTAACGCTGCGAAACTATACCCAGAGTCTTGGGTAGATTTCTCTCTCAGCTATGTTTAAGGAATTACACAGTCCGGGTAGCAGCGAAATTGGACTGTGGTGCGAGAGTTTCAGCTCATCTGCTTCTCGACCACAGACCAATTATTCTGGGCTGGACCACCTACCAGGTTTGGCCAGAATACAAGGTACAAGTTCTAAAGAGTATGATGGCTCAGCCTATTGGGGCCCTGGTTCAGGATGGGATCTATTCCCGCCTACCACGGATACGAACTTACCAGATACAGCCCCAATGGGCCTTGGGAGCACCTGGTTGAAACTAACTACCAGAATCTGGTTCACATTCGCTCTGGGCAGTGTTAGGAGAATTGCGATCTCCCTGAAGCAGGATCGTATAAGGAGAAGCTCGAACCACCTTAATATCAGACCGCACGATGACACACATGCAAACTGGTCGGTCAGCCTCCTGCCTGTGCACCTCGAGTCGCACAATAGGCGATAAATGATAATGCAGTCAGGATATCAGCTCCTAATGCGTTTCTGGAGAAGAGTCGGTTCATCAGAGGACTCATCAAAGGTCTTTACAGCCTTAGATGTGGCCGCTAAAATCGACAGGAGAGATGCCTCAACAGATAACATTAGAACATGGTGAGGTGGGCTCGTCCATTGGCCGAGAAAGTTGGCTTTCACTGACGATATGAAGCAAAGTAATTTCGAAGCTCAGACTTTCCCTTTCAAGTTTATCAAGAGTAGGAATTCCATACAACCAGCGTTGGAAGTTCAGGGGGGAGTATATCTGCTGTACTTTAGAAGCATGTCGTGGGTGTCTAAGGGGCCCCATGGGTTTTTTTTTGTATAGATTCTGCCTGGTTTACTGAATAAATTTGGTTAATCATTCTTGAATAATTGGCTTAGACATTAGTTTTTGCGGAGAAAAAAATGGCCTCTCTCACGAAACAAGAAACCAATCTCCATTCGCTCCATTCGCTTCATTGCCGTCCACGTCACACCTCAAGCGTGTGGCAGCTTTCTATTGATAGCCAACCTATTAATACTATAAATAGGTACCTCCACGAATATGATCAATACTTTCGATTCCTGGTAGCTCAAATACATCAGATCAAATAATCGCTCAATACTATAATTGCCTAGCGTTTTGAGACCGTCGCCATTAGTTTGTTGACGGCGGAGAGAAGATAGTAATGAGCTTAAATAGACGACAGAGGGCTACTCTGTTTACTCTTCCAATGAGCTCAATTCGGGCAGATGTAGCAGTTGGCTTCTTGATTCCCTGTGGAGAGGCGTCAATAAATTGAAGTGAACTGTCTCTGTTTTGAATACCAGGACCTTCCGAATTCGAACGACTGCCGCTGATCACAGTGGCTGGTCTCATAATTTGGCCACCTAAAGTGGGTTGAAATAAAACATGGCACACCAAAGCTCTTTTCACGTAAGGCAGGGACCTCACTTTTTATTAAACACAATAATAAGAGGAGAATAATAAATTATTCTACGATATCTAGCTTGATATTGTATGTATTACTAGATTAATTATTTTAATATTGTGTTAAAATTCAACGCTGGAGTGTCCAGGTTTGCCATGTTTATTAATGTCAGTCGCTTGCGACCACATACTAAAGCTCGGTCTTATGTCCAATTTCTCTGATTTATTGCCGGATGAACTGCCGTTTAATTAACAGGTCCATGATCTCCGAGGTTCCGGTGCCTCACCAGGTTCATGGCGTTTTCCATACTAATGCTTAGCACTCACTTCAATATTGATTATGATGACGAATTGGCAAATCAGGATACCAAGAAATGTCACAGGCTTTTGTAGGTGACAGATGCCAAGGAGACATTAAGTGCTAGCTCAACTCAAAGGGAGGGGGTTTATCAATTGCGCCGTCAAAACCCGGTATCACGCAATTTGTCCTCCATTTTGGCCCGCTTCCCACGCGGAATTTCTACAGGCATTTTACAAATCTTGAGCGTCTGATCCAATAAGGTTATCTAGATATATGCACGTCTGGGTTACCTCCCGACCCAAATGCCGTACATCAGGCAGGGGACAGATGGCGTTATCGAGATATGATGTTCTCTTAAGGCCTTCTTTCTCCTATGCCTGGTGTTGCTCTGAATGGCACCCTGAACGATAGCTATTGAACTTTATATACGTGACTGAAATTCTTAGCTAGCTGTGTCTTTTGGCATTTCTACACCATGAGCAGCGAGACGGAATCCCCCTCGCCGCCAGCGGACGACGTCGTCAGACAAACTGCATCGCCAGGTGAGGAATCTTCTGGCCCTGGACTACTGAGATCCCATACCCGAGTGGCTAACGTGGATAAAAAGCCAAATGGAACAGAACCCCATTTTATAATGCCACCATCCTGGGCATCTGCAGCTTCGCTGCGCCGGGCCTGTGGGGAGCCATGAACTCGCTCGGTGCTGGAGGGTTGCAGAAGCCGTACCTAGTCAACACCGGAAACGCCCTTACCTTCTGCCTCATGGTGGTGTCGTGCTGGCTCACTAGCGGGCTCGTCAAGTACGTCGGCATCAAGGGCAGCCTCGTCATCGGCACCATTGGCTTCTCCGTGTACAGCGCCGGCCTGTACCTGAACAACAGATACGGCGTCGAGTGGCTCGTCATCTTCGGCGCCGCTTGCTGCGGTGTTTCCGCCGGCATATTCTGGGCGTCTGAAGCGGCCATCGCGATTGTCTACCCGGAGCCGAAGAACAGGGGCCGGTTGGTCGCGTACTGGCTGTCCTGGACGCGGCTTGGCCAGATCGTGGGCGGCGCCATCAATCTCGGCCTCAATGCGGACAGGAGCCAGGCGGGGCAGGTCTCTTGGAAGGTCTACCTTGTCTTCATTGTTCTCCAGGCGCTTGGTCCTTTTGCTGCCCTGCTCCTGAACAAACCCTCCCAGGTGCAGCGAGCAAGCGGCAAGCCTGTAGATCTGGCTATCTTTGACCACCCGTGGAAGGAGTTCAAGGCGACGTCCAAGACGTTTCTCAAGAAGGAGTTTTTACTGCTGGTTTTGTGGATTGGGCAGGGAGTATACTCGGAAGCCGTGTTCTTCAGCTATATCGCTCTGTGGTTCAGCGTCAGGTCACGAGCACTGGGCTCCTTCGTATCAGGCATCGTCGCGGTCATTGCGGGGAATCTTCTGGGGCTATGGTTGGATCAGAACCACATCGCTCTACAGAAGCGATCTCGATGGGCTTTCGCCGTCATCATGACTCTGCAGGGTGGGTGGTGGATTTGGCTGACCGTCAACGTCACTCAGTATCACCGAGAGCTACCGACCTTTGACTGGAGCGACCCTGGTTTCGGGAGGGCCTTTGGCGTGTTCGTGTTCCTCGTGGCCGGCTTCCAACTCAACTACAACTTCGCCTTCTTCTTGATTGGACAGATCTCGAAGAACTCGCAGGAGACGATCCGGCTTTCGGCGCTTCTACGTGCGACTGAGTCGGGGTGGCAGGCGATCAGCTACGGCTTGGGCTCCGTCCCACTCTTTGCTTCGATTGGGAGCGTCTATCTCAACTTTGGGCTCTGGGCGATCTCCATTGTACCCGCGTGGTTCGTTGTCAGCCGGATCGGAGAGCTGTATCGTGCGCCGCAAGATGAGGAGCAAGTGGAAAATTCTCAGCTGGCGTCTAGTGATGAGAAGGGACACCCGGCAACCGTTAGTGCAGGGCTGTAATCGAAGGAATATTATTCTAATGGTCAGTTGGATCGGGTTTCCTTGCTAATTTTTAGTAT